CTGCATTCGTATGCACACAAACATACACACAAATTTTTAAAACTAATAAAAAATACTGTTATTGGTTACATTTTACTTAGAACTATTTTTCTCTGCTTAGGGCTACTGCTGTCAGATAGTGGTTCCCAAAGCCCCTAACGGGCTGTGCGTGAGGCGTCATTTAGTTTCAACCCTTTCAACAAACAGCCCAACTGTACTGATTACTAGCTGCTTGCTTTTAAAAAAGATATTAACACGCTTGACTTTTACCTTCATCTGTTAAACCATTTCTTTTGTTAATAGTTCACATGAAATTATCAATTTAAAAATTCGCCTCAGTTATAAGGGTCAAAGGAAAGCTATGAAAGGAAGCCTATGAAATGCCCATTACAGCGCCTGCCACATAACAGGTACTCGATGCTAGTCTTGCATCATGGTTTGTGTGCCTGCGTGTTCCTCTGTGGCAGAGCTGGCACTCTAGACACAGATAAGACAGTGATGTCAGTGTCGTAGAAGTCTTCATGTCTTCCTAACACAGTGACCTTAAGTCATTCTTTGTAAACGGGGATGTTGTGAAACAGGGGATGGATGTATGTAGCTCAGGGGCAGAGCACTTGTCTCTGTGTGTGAGATCCTGGGTTGGATTCCCTAGAACCACAAATGAATTGAAATTTAAAAAAATTCCCAGCAAACGTTCCAAAGCTTGTTTCGCCTGCCCTCTAGTGGTGGATGTCTTAACCTTTAGGGCAAATGTACCGGATGCCACTGCTTACTGATGCCCCTCCTCCACTGTGCTGGCAATCCGCACCAGAGGCTGGACTCTCTCATTTTCCATTTTCCACTTTCAGAGCTTAAAAGACCCTTCTTAAGGTGCAAATGTGACCTAGGAAGTCACCTGTGAGTCCTGGAAGTTGAGTTACACCAAGCTGCAGAATAAGCCCATGTGAAGAGCAACCCAGTGGCTCTTCACACGCTCAAGAGTAGAGAGTGCACAAAGTGCTAACAGTGTAAACAGCAGGCTTTCCTGTCTAGTCCCGTGTCCCGACCCCCCCCCCCCCAGGCCACAGGGTCCCGGCAGCCGCTTATAAGATAATCACACAGACTCAATATATATTTATAATTGTTTAGCCAATGGCTGGCTCTCATAAATTAACCCATTTCTACTAATATGTATATCACCGCGTGGCTGTAGCTTACCGGTGATGCCCTGGCTTGTAGTCTCCCTGGCAACTACATGGTGTCTCCCTTCTGTCTCCTTGTTTATGTTCCTGCCTCAGTGTATTCCGTCTGTCCATTGCCCAAAGCAGCTTTCTTTATTCATGAACCAATAAAAGCATATTCACAGCAAACAGAAGGACATCCCAAGTCCTGTTGTAGGGATCTACTCAGTCTGCATACATCTCTAGCTGTACTACAGAGCTAAGGACATGATGCCTTACCTTGACGTCACTGGGCCACCAGATGAGAGGACAAGCATTTCTTTGCTGTGAATCCCCCCTTTTAACTATCAGTGGCAGCCACACATTGTTCTAGTGTATGCACAGAATTAAACAAAACCATCACAGTCTGCTCTTCCCCCAGTCCTCTCCCTGAGAGATGAGTTACCACAGTCAAGCCCATCCCATAGATGAGAAAACTCATGCGCAAAAAGTCCAGAAGGTTCTCTGGATGTACGTCTCGTCATTAACAAAGGTGCAATTCTATCTTTGGCTTCTAGGCCTCCAAACCTAAGGGTCTGAGTGCCAGCAAGGATTCAGGTTCAAGACTCACCTTTTGAGTTAGCAGACGTAGTTGTATGGTGGTGGCACAGGGCGATAATGGTGGTCAGACTATTCTTAACTTACAGATAGCATTGCCATGTGCCGTTCATTTAGGAACAAGTCAAATCAAAGAGGATCCGCCAGAGCTTTATCACGCCAGACAGAGTAAGGGAGTGTGAGGTGGTGAGTTTGGAAGGGCTTCCCATTGACTCGGGGAGATAAGATCTGGAGAGAGGAAATGGGTACTGGGGGAATCTGTCATAACCCAAAGAATTAACACCATGGCTGGGAAACACAGAGTCCTATTTTCATCTACTGATTTCAGTAACACCTATGTGTTTATCTCCTGTCATGGGGCTTTGTGTGTGCCGGGGCTTCGCAAACATTGAGGTGCTTGTAAACAATGGACAGGTCTATTTTGAAATAAGGATTCTGAGGGCTTGGGGTAAAACTCAGCGGTGGAATACCTCTCTGGCATGCATGAAGGTCTGTGTTCAATTGCTAGTGCTTAAAAAAATGTGAAGGACCTGAGAGACTGAATTTCTGTCCATCTCCTAGTGTCCCTACTGCTGCTGCTGGCCTTGGGCTACACTTTGAGCACTAAATGTTTAAATGCATGTCAATTAATGCTGTGCTCACAGTCAAGAGAAATATTTTTGCTGCTTCTGCTGTACTTTGCAGTTGTTTATTTTTGAGGCTCAGTCTCACTATGTAGAACAGGGTGGCACAGCCCAAGCTGGCTTCAAATTGCTATTTTCCTGCCTCTGCCTCCCAAGTACTACGGTTCCACATTATGTCTTCTAGCCTTACTTTGGAAATAATTTTAGCTGGAAGGCATGCTTTGCAAGCAGGAGGTGTTCTCAAGAGACGAAATAAAGCAGGTGAACTGGCAGTGATAGAAATGCTAAGATGGATGTCGCCTGCTCTTGTTCAGTAATGGTGAGCAAATCACACTGGTCTTTTATTATTAGTTAGGCTTCTAGGAAGATGACTACAGTCTACTTAGTTTTTACAGCTCGGGGGGTTTTATTTATTCATTTGTTTTATGGGTGTTTTGCTTGTGTGTGTGTTCCACAGAGGCTAGAAGGGGGTGTTGGATCCCCTTGCCTTCCCAGCCATGGTGGACTAGAAACCTATTAAACTGAAGCCGGAATAAATCCTTTCTCTATTAGGTTGTGCCTGCCAGGCACTGAGATCATAGGATGCTAAAGTGACCAGTGCTCCAAACCCACCAGGCTTCAGCTATATCACACAGACACCAGCCACAATTCTTCCTCTTGCTGGGCAGTGTTTTCTCCAAGGACTGGGAAATGGCCTGATCAATAGAGCGCCTGCTATGCAGGCATGAGGAATGGGGTTCAGATCCCCAGCACACTTGTGAAAACCAGGCTAGTGGTCTGGGCAGTATGGGGAGGGTGTGTTTAGACAGGTTTAGCCCTTGAGGACCCTTGTCAGTCTTGCTGCTAGTCTAGCCCAGTGAAAGATTTTGTTTCCAAAGAAAAAGGGGAGAGTCATAGAAAAAGAAACCTGACATCAAAACCTCTGACCTCCATGCGTGCGCACGCGCACACATACACTTCATTCCCAATGGATGGACAATACTATGACATAAACATACACATCTTCTCTACACCTAAAAAATTACAAGGACATCATTGAAAATCATTCAAAATCAAAACCAAAGCATTATGCGGTATGGTGGACACATCTTTTAACCCCAGCACTCGGGAGGTAGAGGTAGACAGATTTCCGCGAGTTCGAGGCCAGCTAGGCCTACACAGCAAGTTTCTAAAGTAGCCAGGAATCCTCTTAACAGCTTTAAACCTCACAGCAACCTTTTGGAGCACTTCTGCTACATCTGAGTTGAGAAGACTGACTTCCAGGGGAGTTTAGGAATTAGTACAGTGTCAGAGTTGGTAAGCTAGGTATCTACATCCTTGAAGTTGGACTCCGGATCCTACTGTGAACTATTTATCTATTCTAGCCCCCAAGATGGCAGATATTATGTCAGCAGAGCATAAAGCTATAGCCTGACAAGCTGTGGCGGCACAGTCCCAGTCCCTTAATCCCACCATTAGGGAGACAGAGGATCTCTGTGAGTTCAAGGCCAGCCTGGTCTCTATACGGAGTTCCAGAGCATTCAGTAAGATGGTGCCTCAAAAACAGAACTGTAGCCTCTTTCAATTTACAAAAACAGAACCCCATGCTGAAAACATCTCAAATCCACGGTTCCTGTCATATAGGTGGTGACGCTGACTTCAGAGATAGCTGCATGCAGGAGTTTGGACACGGATGGAACTCCTTCTTTGTGCTCCCCGTCGTGTGTCAGTCAGGCTTGTGCTTTCAGATCAGCTTTGTGGAGTCCGCTGAGTAAGAATTTACACAGCGAGGCTTATACCGGATTTATACCCCAGCATAAACTTAAGGATGTATTCGGTTTTGCTGGTTCCAACAAGAACAGTTACTACAAAACACTGTTGGCCCAGTTTCGGTCATGTATCCATCCATGGCAAGGGAGACGGAGGATGGCCACTGTCCTTCTCGGTGATACTTCTGTGATCTGAGGGGCTGGGTGCCTTCACTCCGATTAACCGAGTCTCCACGGTCTCCGGGAAGAGCGCAAGTCAAGTCTTACTAGGGACACAGCGGCGGCTTAAATGCCCACAAAGACCTAGGCGCCTCCTAACTTGAATTCGGGCTGGCCCTGACAACTCAGCCAATAAAACGCAGCAGCTTTTACAGCTGCTCAGCTTCCCCCGCAAAGCCCCTGGGCAGCCCCCGTCTTTCCGCGGAGAAGGCTCGGCGAAGGCGCAGTGACGGTGCCAAGCTTTGCAAGGCTCGCAGCGGGGCCCTTGGCTGAGGAGGCGTGCCCGGGGGAAAGCCAGCAGAGCCGGCCGGGACCTCCCAGGGACGCGCCGCCTACTGCGCTCGCTCGCGGACGCCCTGCCGGCTGCACAGCACGGAGCACGGAGCACGGAGCACACAACGCGTGCCATCTGCGAGAGCCCGCAGCGCCCGAGGAGGAAGGAGCGCGGCCCAGGCGCCCTCCCGGGGCTGTGCGCACCGTTTCCCGTCCCCACCGCTGCGCTTCCGGCCTGCGAGCCGGAGCCGGGGGAGCGGGGAGGAGCAGCAGGGCGGCTGCTGTGAGACACAATGGCCCGGCTGCGCGTGCGCGCGCGCGTGTGGGCGTGGCGGCGGCGGCGCGGCGCGGCGCGGGGCTGCGCGTGGGCGGGGCCTCGGCACGGCGCGGCCTACCCGGCGGCCCCGGCGGACGCGGGACCAGGCTGCTTCCCGCCGTCCGCTGCCGCCATTGGCGGGCCGTTGGGATGACGGAAGTGACGAGGGCCTGGCGATGGCCGTCCCGCAGGGGCGCAAACGGCTGCTGGCTGGCCGGCCGGCCGCGGACGCCCGGGAGCCGTGAGGCGCGGCCGCACACGCTGCCAGGTGAGTGGCGGAGGCCCGCGCGCCCCTCCTCGGCGCACGCCTGTCACTCAGCCCCGCCAAGCGGCCGCCCCCAGTTCGCCCCGTGAGCCCAGCGGCGGCGCCGCGGGTTCGAGGCTAGCCTGGGCGACTCGGCCACACCCGGCCTCGGGGCGCGGCGGGCGACAGCGGCGGACGGCCCGCGGCCTTTGTTTACTATTAGAGGGTGCTCGGCGGGGGTTGCCTTCCGCTGATGAGCGGCGATGTGGGCTCTTGCGTGCACATCGTCGAAGTGTAATATTAACGTCGTGATGTCTGCGCGGATCCTCAGAATGAAACGCGTCAGGTCCCGTTGTCTCGCTGTTATTGCACCGTTACAAAGCGTAGAACTTAAAAGCCCACACGGGTAGGAATGACTTGCGAATGAACCGGACGACAGGATCCTGCTTGATCGGTGTAGAAGGAACCGTCTTCTCCCGTGGGAAGCAGCTCAGAGTATTCCTCCCTTGGATCCCCGGCAGCCCTCCGGAGTTCCCTTAAAGAATGTCAACGGGGTGTACTGGAGGAAGGTTTCAATTCAAGCAGTTACTGGTGTTTGACATCAGAGCCCCCGTGCATATGGATAATCATGACGGGGTCTGTCCGTGAGCGCTGTACCAAATCACTGTCTCGTTGGTCCACCCTAAATTGCCTATAAAGCGCAAGACCGTTTTGTCAGACAAAACAGTAAGGTGATGAATCCGACCATCCTTGCTTGTCCTGGTCATACTCCTGTGGAGAATTTGCTGGAAAAAGTATTGGTTCCTACCAGATTACACTTCATCAAAACAGTATTTTTTAAGTTATTGCGTTTGCTTGAGTATTGAGACTTTAAACAAAACTGTAGCCACCATCCCTGTACAAAGGACAAACAGTAATTAGTGAAAAACCAAAGGGCAAGCCGTCCGTTTATGAATACGCATGTAGATGGTGTATATTCTAGGTGAGATGAATGAGTCAAGCTCATTCGTAGAGGACAGCTCCTTAGAAGAGGCGTAGCTTACAGAGCTGTAAGTACCCAGGAATAGTTTGCCTGTTAACGGTGGAGACCAGAGGGAGGTGCGCTCAGCTCATGTGAAATCGTAGTGGTGTGGTTTTGCTAAGTGATCGTGAGAGCCGGCTGGTAGCAGAATTACTTGGAAAGAGTTTTCGGATCACATCAGCTATAATTATCACGTTCTCGTTTGCCACCACATTGCTCTAGACCAGAGCATGTTAAAAGTCCTGGAGAAGAGGAGGACTGTAACACTGGGGGGGCGTGGTGTGTGTACAAAGCCCTGAGCTCCAGCTCAGAGCCAGGGACATAGAGGAGTGTGGGGAGGACACCAGGGACACCCAGAAAGAGCAGCAGGGTAGACCTCATACATGCAATTAGGATTATTCTATAGGGGTTTTTTTTTTAAGTGGTAATTTTTTAAAAAGGAAACATTTCCTGGTTAGTTTTATGTCACCGTGACATAAGCTCGAGTCATTTGGGAAGAGGATTTTCAGCTGAGAAAATGCTCACACAAAGTCTACCTGTAGGTGCATCTGTGTACGTTTTCATGATTAATAATTGATGCGGAAGGGCCTGGCGCCGTGTACTGTGCCATCATTGGGATGCTTGTGCTGAATGGATAGGCAGGGTTGAGCAGGCCAGTGAACAGAGCCCCTCCCCGGCCTCGGCATCAGTGCCAGTGAACAGAGCCCCTCCCCGGCCTCGGCGTCAGTGCCTGCTCCAGTGTTTCTGCCTGCCCTGACGCTCCTCAGTGATGGACTGTGATGTGGAAGTTAAGCTGAAATAAGCCCTTTACGCCCAGGTTACTTTTGGTCATGGTGTTTTACTGAAACAATAGAACCCTGACCAATACAGTATGTTTGTGATTTTGGAGGAGCCTTTTGGACTAAGTCCATGGAATTGGTAAAATCAAGTGATATTTAGTGGCACTGGTGATCAAATTATGTCAGCAAGCCAGGGGCCCCTACAGTTACTTTTTTTTTGTTAAGGTACAGGTTTCCAGTGTTAAATTGTTCTTGAGTAAACATTGATTCAGTGCCAGCACATCTTTTAAGTGCTTAATAAACTCTGGAAATGCCAAAACCGGGAAAAAGTAATCCTGTCAGTCACTGTAGGTGGGGACGAACTTCTGAGTGATCCCACTGGCTCTCCATTTTCCTTCTCATCCATCTGACAACCAGTGCTCAAAAGACCAGGTTTATAACGATTTGTCAATAAGATGGACTTTGTTTACCTGTGTTATTTTGCATGTGTGTGTATATGTATATAAATCCATTGAAGTTTTGAAATATTTTAATTGTTGCCCTGTTTCAGTAATACATTTGATAGACATCTACTTATTTCCCTTCAATTCAGATCCTTTGTATTTAAAATACGTAGAAATGAAAAGAAAGGCGATGAACACTGGAAAGCTGAGATTGAGTCCTAATGAAGAAGCCTTCATTTTGAAGGAAGATTATGAAAGAAGACGGAAACTAAGATTACTTCAGGTATCATTTATTTGGAGTTTTAATTTCTTGTCTTCCTGAAATCCTTGGTTGTAAATTAAACCTTACATTTACAAGCTTTTTCTGTCCTTGAAAGAGTCCTGCTATTTTATGCTCTGTAATTACATATGTGGGTGCAATGTATTTGGATCATACCCACCCCCCTATTTCCTCCCCAACTTTCTCTCACATTCTCCTTACTTCATGCCATCTTTTTCTTTTACTTTTTTTCCCTTCCCCAATAACCCACTGAGCCCATTATGCCTGCACCTATATGTGTGTACCGCTATCCATTGCAGCGTGGGCACCTTACCATTGGACCACATAGCTGAAGAAAACTAACTCTCCTCCAGTGGTTATCGGCTCCCAATAGCTCCTTAGCTAAGGGCCGGGCCTCGTGAGCTTGATCTTATGCAGGTCTTATGTCAGCAGCCCTAAGTCCCAGCAGCAATTGAGTTATGTCCAAGAGATGTTAATTTGCAGGAATCTTCCTTGATCTCTGGCTCTTAAAATCTTTCTACCCCATTTTTAATAACACATAGCTGGTGAAAATTAGAAAGGAAGCTTAGGAAAATGTTGGAGAAGACTGCGGGGAAGATGAAACAGACTTATTTATATGAGCTTCTAAGATAGATTTTACTAGGGATCTTAGGTTGCCCTTTAAGCTTTCTATCTGGGACCAGAGATGACGTTTCCTAGAGCGGGAGCTCTCACCTGGCCTCCTCGGCTGTGAAACTTGTGAAATCGCCTTGCCTTTTTAGCACTGTATATGTTTTTAGGGGTAGAGAGAACATTGAACCAAATCAATTAAGGGCTTTTAGAAGCTGCTTTGGAGGTTGCTGAGATGGCTGAGTGGTAACTACGTTACTGCCGAGCTTGGCAGCCCAGGCCCTGCCCCAGAGGCCCTCGTGCTGGAGCTCGTGCAGGTTGGCCTCTGAGTCCTGTGCTACAGCACACACATATACAGTGAAGGAGTGCACTAAATATTTCTAAGTGACCCCTTTTCTGTGTCAGTTGGATTTTTCTGCTAACCACAGTCCTTATCTAATGAGTATTTAGAACTGATGCACCTGACGAGAATTCATTTGAATTCCTATTCACAGTTAGATTTTTAAATGTTTAAACCCTTCATATATGTTGTATGAAATACTCCTCTTTCAGGTTCGAGAACAAGAAAGGGGCATTGCCTACCAGATAAGAGAAGATGTAAAACAGAGGAAAAATCAGCAGTTTTCGCGTTTGGCTGAGGAACTAAGGGCAGAATGGGAAAAATCACAAAACCAGAAAGTACATAACTTGGAGAAACTGTATTTGGCAAGTTTAAGACATATGGGAGAGGGACATCGACAGGCAAAGGAAAATGTGAGTGAGCTTATCTCATCCCTGATTGAGGCAGTGTGATTATATTATGAAATTGCATTTATTGAATGCTCACATGATAAACGTGTTCCAGTGTATAGAACCAGGGGAGACAAGCTGACCTTTATTTTCTGATCAGTTTAATCTGCTGTGGGAGTAATGGCGCTTCACACCTTCTTCCTCTGGTGCTCTGGTTAACGTATTCCACTTCCTGCCTGTATAAAAGATGGTATAAAAGAGGAATCAGAAATTGTCTGTCTCAAGCAGTTTGAGTAGATTCAGGGGACTCAGTTCAGATTCATTCCTAACAATTCTAAGTGCATTAGTGAATACATATGCCCTTGTGTTTGCCTGAAGGCAAAGCAAAGCTCTGTTTGAACAGGTCCTTGAGCTCACTTGTTGCTTATTGTGTTTTATAACTAGAAAATAGTAGTTTGGTCAGGTGTGGTATACAAGGATGTTTGTAATCCCAACACTCAAAAAAAGAGACGGAGGACTTCCTTAAGTTCTGAGCCCGCCTGGTTAGCATAGTAAGTTACAGGTCAGTCACAGCTACATAACAGAGATAAATAAAAAGGAAAAGGGAGAGAGGGAAGAGGAGATGAAGGAATGGAATACGAGTTTGTCATCTCAGAGTCAGTCACACAATAAATTAATAACAATTATCGAGGAAAGGAAGACTTTGAAGTAATATAGCAGCTTGGTTTTTGTGTGCTTTTGCCAATAGTCCTAAGTTCTAATGTTATTTATGTATTTATGTGCATTTTTTCAGATCGCTATCAGCCTCCTGTTTAAACATTTTTGCAGACCAGAGAACCTCCTATGTTACTATAAATTTGGTGTTTTAGTTTAAATAAAATATTTCATTGTTTAATTTAACACTTGTCCAAGGTAGCTTGATATTTTGTTTCCCATACTAAGCTAAATGATTATTACTATGGCATGGTGGTGGTACCATCTCCGCACTTTGGAAAATATCTGTGTATTATGGAAAGAGATGATGGAATTGAAAGGTAACTTCTGGGCTGGAGAGGAGGTGGCTCAGAGGTTAAGCACACTGACTGCTCTTCCAGAGGTTTTGAGTTCAATTCTCAGCAACCACATGGTGGCTCAACCATCTATAATGGAATCTGACGCCCTCTCCTGGCATAAAGTTGTTCATGTAGCTAGAGCACTCATTTACGTAAAATAAATAAATCTTTTTTTTTTTTTAAAAAGGTGTCAAATAGACACTTTTCTGTTCATCTTGTTTGACATGACTTTTTAAGGAGTATCTACTTCTAGGAACCTGATTTGGATGCTCTGGCTCAGCGGGCAGCAGAAAGAAAAAGAAAAGCTGAAATGAGGCATAAAGAAGCCCTAAAAGTGCAGAAAAGTCAAAAAGAAGCCTTGATGAAACAGAAAACCAGGTACCATTATACGGTGTTTTCAGCTGAAACCAGTATAGCTAGAAAGCGGCATGTAGGAGGCTGTGTAAGGATGTGCTAAGTGAAGGTTGGGTACCATTGCACTCTGAACTGTGCTTCCTAATGCAGTAGGAGATGGTTTCCTTGGTGAGCTAACATGCTGACTTCAGTGGCAGTTGCTAAGTTTCTAAAGACATGTATGGACAGTTCAGACTCAGTGTCAACCAAAAACTGTCTCTGATGTAAAAAGGAAGTATAAAAAAAAACCCTGTGTGACTAAAAGCATTAAAGAGATCTTGGGGCAGGACATGGTGATGCGCACCTAGTTCTAGCACTTGGGAGGCAGAGACAAGCAGATCTTTGTAAGTTCAAGGCCAGCCTGATCTACATATCTAGTTTTGAACCAGCCAGGGACAGAATATTTTTAAACAAAATAGTGAGACTTTGTCTGAAAACATACAATACACACAGACACACACACACACACACACACGGGTATGGACTATAAAACTTCAGTCATTAGTAATTTTTGCATGCTGTTACTGGTCTGCACTGGTCAATGTACACAATAGCCTATCTTTAACATTTCTAGTTCTGTCCCTACTGTAAAGAACTCTACACTACTGGTTCTCAGCCTGCAGGTGGGGTCAGTTGGCCCTTTCATGGGGCATCTACGACCATCTGAGTGTCAGATATTCACAGTATGATTCATACAGTAGCAAAGCTACAGCTGTGAAGTAGCAGTGAAATGATTTTATGGTTGGTGGTCACCACAACATGAGCTGTATGAAGGGGCTGAAGCATGAGGAAGGTTGGGAACCACTCTATGATTCCTCTCTGGATAAGTCTCTTGTAGTTGGTAAACATGTTCTCACATGTTTGCTGGGTCAAACAGCAAATTGGGTGTGTACTCAGCTAGAAGATGAGTCGCTATTTTTAACTCTGTGTACTGATACCAAGTAAATGCCTGTCTGTTCCTCTTGGTGGTAGCAGGTATTACCTGAAAGACTAATTGGTGGCATCTCTTGTCTTTTAAGGCACATAAAAGCCCGAAAGGAAGCTTTGCTGGTGGAGAAAGAGAGATCAGCTAAAGTGACCAGGCTGCCTCCTCCTGTCCCAGCCCCCTTTGAGGTGAATTGCCTACAGCTTTGTTTAAATAGGCTTTAATTGCATAATAGTATAAGAGTATATGTGGAGTATTTTAAAACTCTATATATTGTTTTATATATAAATACCTTAATATATATTTTTAAGAACTTAAAAAAAACAGTACTGACATTTTTCTCAGTGTTCCCTAATGCCTACTATGTGTTGAGTTTTCCCCAGTGGGAATTGGTTTTTATAGTCCTACTAATCATTCTGCCTTTTTTTTTATTATTATTATTATTTATTTATTTATTTTAAAAGCCAGATATATTTTAAAAAGATTGTGCTTACGATAAGTAAACTATGTAGTGAAGAAACACCAACATGAAGTTGATGGATAAAAAGGCACATTTGAAAAGTTTAAGAGTACAAAGAGTTCCTTATTTGTTAACTAACACAGAAGGAAAGGGAAACAGACATACTGCAACTCTTTCTCAGGGAAGGTTCCTGCCAGTGGTGGAAGTGATTAACACTGGCTTCTTTCCTCCCTTCTCCGGGGCAGTCTTTTCCATCAGGGCTGCTGCCAGAGCTGAGGTGGCTGTGCATTGTGATTAGACTCAGTTTTGTTTACAAGTTTAAAATAGCTCAATCTTAGGAGTACTAGAATGGACGTGCTGTCTCATACCTGTATTCTCAATACAAGATGGCTCATAACTAAAATAGACATTTGTTTCAAATAAAAAAGAAAGAGGGAAAAGAAAAGAATCAGTTCTTTATTCACATTAGCATTCTGTAGTTATTGGAGTGGCTATATAGATAACTATCAAAATTACAGTTACTTTATGTGAAAAGTTAGAGGCTTTTTAAAAATCTTAAAACTTAACCCTGCACGCGTGGCGTGTGTGTGTGTGTGTGTGTGTCTGTGTGTGTGTGTGTCTGTGTGTGTGTGTCTCTGTGTGTGTGTGTGTGTCTGTGTGTGTGTGTGTCTCTGTGTGTGTGTCCGTGTGTGTGTCTGTGTGTGTGTCTCTGTGTGTGTGTGTGTGTCTGTGTATGTGTGTGTGTGTGTCTCTGTGTGTGTGTGTGTATCTCTGTGTGTGTGTCTGTGTGTGTCTGTGTGTGTGTGTGTGTCTCTGTGTGTGTGTCTCTCTGTGTGTGTGTGTCTGTGTGTGTGTCTCTGTGTGTGTGTGTCTGTGTGTGTATGTGTGTGTGAGTGTGTGTATGTGTCTGTGTGTGTGTGTCTCTGTGTGTGTGTGTGCGTGTGTGTGTGTCTGTGTGTGTGTGTGTCTGTGTGTGTGTGTGTGTGTGTGTGTGTGTGTGTGTGTGAGATCAGCATGAGCGTTGGGCTCTGGGGTCTCCCCTTCTGTCGGCCTCTCCACCTGCCAGGTAGCCCATGACCCAGTGAGGCCTGGGTGGAAATGTCCTGGCCCAGCACTCCCCCGGGCCATGGAGAATGTTAGAAAGGCGGGCAGGGTTTTACCCATAATGCCTATTGATGGCTTTTATTATAATCTCCAGTATTCTTAAACCAAAATAGCTGCTTGAAGTAGAATGCTTTCTCAGAGTTCAGGATGGGTAGAATAATCAGTTCCAGGGTAGCAAATTTGTTGTTCCTTTTTTTTTTTTTTTCAGTGGGGGGGGGGGGGGTGCCTTTCATTTTTGTGAATGTCATTCTGGAGGATTTGAGTTTTATTGTTCTACACATAGTAACTTTTTCTTTTTCTTTCTTTTTTTTTGGTGTTTTTCAAGACAGGGTTTCTCTAGCTTTGGAGCCTGTCCTGGAACTCGCTCTGTAGACCAGGCTGCCCTCGAACTCACAGAGATCCGCCTGCCTCTGTCTCTCAAGGGCTGGGATTAGAGGCATGCTGTCATTATTCTTTAATTTCATATCCTCGTAATTGAAGAGAATGCACTGGTTGGTTCTGTATCCATGTTAGCCCCCCCCTTCTGTGGTTTAAATCCAGTGGTAGTTTATAGCAGAGCAGAACTCAGGCTGGAAGCTAGATATTAACAGCAGTTTAAAATCATTTACAAATGTCTTAATAGTGCTGACAGTCCATGGACTTATTTGATGAAACTCTAAAGTCTAGCTCACTGGAAACTGTTTTAACAATTGGTGAGAGTTAAAATCTCAGCAGAGTCCTGATTTCAGTGTATATGTGTAACTACCTTAATTTTGGGAGTACTGGTTCTTAGAAGTTGCTTATTAATCAAATCTTGTCTTTATATCAGGTTTTAAGATATCCTTGTAAAGGATATTAAAGGATAATAATATCCTTGTGAAGGATGTTTTATTTGAGTTTTTTTTTTTTTTTTTTTTGGTTTTCTTTTTGTTTTGGTTTTGGTTTTCAAGACAGGGTTTCTCTGTAGCTTTGGCTGTGCTGGAACTCTCTATAGACCAGGCTATGGTGATGAGAGATGTCATTCTGTAAATATGTTTCTCTTATTGGTTAATGAATAAAGCACTGTTGGCCAATAGGAAAGCAAGATAGGCGGGACTAGGAGACTAGGAGGAGAGAGGAAGGACTAGGGAGGAGTCAACATGCCTTTGAACTCAGAGATCCGCCTGCCTCCCTCTGCCTTATGAGTGCTGGAGTTAGGTGTGAGCCACCACTGCCCATTGTGTGTGAACTTTAGTTCACAAGGCAACTGTTGGCGCATATCTGTAACCCCAGTGCCTAGGAGGCAGAAGCGGGAGGATCAGGAGTATAAGGCCATCAACTATAGCAAGTTTGAGGCCAGCCTGGGATATATGAGACCCTGTCACAAAAATAAAATAGTCAGCTAGTTTTTTCATCAGTTTATTTTTTGCCTCAGTTTAAGACTTTGAATGGGATCGCCCTGTTCTTACCTGTTGCTCCCTGTGTTCCCGGGTCCCACCAGCCTCTTCTGACTTGTTTAAAGAGGTCTCAGTTCGAACTGAACATTTATTTTCCACTTAATACTAGTGCTAGGCATTGCCACCAAAGTTCTGATTATAGTTGGTTTGGTGAAGGACCAACGTATCTAGTTTTCAAAAGCTGTTTAGGTAATTCTCTTAGCCTATTCATGGTACTTGCTTTTCCTTAATCCTATCTTGCCTTTTATGTTTTCCTCGTATTTATTTTATTTTATTTTATTTGAGTCTTGTTTGGTTTTTCCTACTCATTTATGTTAAATCTGAGTCCGATCATTTCTCAGTTACACTTCTCCCTCTGAGCTTGTCGGCGTTACCTTTCTGTGGTTTAACAGGTGCTTTCCCAGACATTGTGAGTCCCACAATAATTGGCACCATGACTATATGCCTACTTTTCATAAGAAAGCTGAGGGACAGAGCCAGCACTAAGGGCAGAAGAATCTCAGGGAATTGTATTGTTTCTGTTTACAGTGCCTAACTTGGACAGAGTGGACACTCAGAAATCCTTTGTTTAGTAGAATTGATTTAGTTACGTATTAGGGCATAATAAATTGTAATGGGCTAAAGCTACCTTTATGCCAAAGTATTGGAAGCAGAAAACTAGCTTATTTCATCTTTTTGAGACTTGCAGTGTTAGTGTACTTAAATTAGCTAGTGTTTCCACACCAGAACTTAATATGTGATTAAACATTAGGAGTGAGATTAATGTGAACTCCAGTGAAATTTTTGTGAGTAGTTGTGCCTCTATCATAACTAGGTGTGTCTTGTAAGCACATTTTTATTCAGGAGATTTGAAAGTGCTCTCAATTCTGGAGATGGACCTCAGTTGGAAGAGCACGTCCGTGGGTACAGTCCCCAGTAAAGGGCAGAGTGTAGGAGGCACTCTAGCAAAAATAAATGTCTCTTTAAATAGCTTAGAAGTTAGAGTGAACTTCTAAACTGAAATAAAAACATTGACTATATTACACATATCTAGAAGGTATCTGAAATATTAAATGATCTAATAGTTATTTTAAAACTTGAAGTAATTTAACTCTGGATGAGAAGACTTATTATTAAGCAGATTTTAGCATTGGTCTTGTTTTAGTGCATTTTTATTTGTTTCTAATAATACAGTGCAATAGGCAGGTAATTCATAGAGAAAAGAGTGGCTGCATCTCGCGGTGGTTTCTCACTTCCAGTCTTGAGTTGCTGGAGAACATCAAATGGCTTTTGTAGCAGACTCACTTTAGAAACAGCCTTGGAACTCATTACTCAGTTGAAAGGAGTAATCTATTCATTAGAAGAGCTTCCCTGATATCCCCAGACATTTCTACCCTTTTCCTCCTAACCTCTCCTACTGGTTGTTTGAACGAATTTTAGAACAAACGATAGCATGGATTAATACAATTTTGTGTCAATGCATACCTGTGATCCCAGTGCTCAGGAGTTGAGGCAGGAGGATTGCCATAATAAGTTCCAGGCCAGCCAGGCTACACATAGCAAAATACTGTTTCAAAAATAACAATTTTACTTTTTGCATTGGATCTAGATTTATTGAAAATGTGTGCTTTTAACCTAAAGTCTTCTGTCCTGTTTTCCAGAACATTGAAATAAACAGAATTCCTTCATTGAAAACCAATAGTTCTACCTACCATCACATTTCCACTTTTGTGAGTAGACAGATGGGCACAAAACAGGTGATTGACTTACTGATTGTTCATAACTTCACTGGAGTCTTTCTGTGTTCATTCACTTGAGTTTTATCTTGAGTCTATGTCTGCCATGGCCAGTTCTCAACATTTGAGCAATCCTACTAACTATTCTTGGGTAAAAGAGAACAAAAAGCCTTGCAAATGTGTTTTGAATTTTCATGTCAGATATATAGTTGTCTCATATGAATGGAAGAAATACATGACTATTTGTGACTATCTTTTAAAATGGTAAATATATTTTTATCATGCATTGTACAAAATAGGTTTTATTATAACATAAAGAAGGTTTGAAAAATTTTGATCATAAAATGATAGAGTTTTTACAGAAATGAAACTTTATATAGAAGGTAAACTAAGAGAAACATCAATGATCCTACCACCAGAAGTCAAAATGGTTAGTATTATATGAGTTAGAGTCTGTCTTTATGTATAAACATGCACACAAAGATTTAAAAACAGGATTTTTTTTTTTTTTTTAATGTTTACGGGTGTTTTGCCTTGCATGTGTGTCTGTACCATGTCAGGTGCCTGATACCTGTAGAAGCCAGAAGAGGGGTTTCTGACCCCCTAGGACTGCAATTAAAGAGTATTGAGAGTTGCCCTGTGGGTACACTGGGAGTTGAGCCTGGGTCCTCCAGAAGCACAGCTCTTAACTGGTGAGCCATCTCTACAGCCCCTAAAAACAGGATTTTTAACAACCCCCTCATAATTCATGCTTCACTAAGTAATAAAAACTGAATCTTGTACATTTATGTCTATATCTGATTTTATATTAAGAGTCTATTTCTAAAGGAAAAATTACTTCCAAACTGCAAAACATTTGATAAAGTTCATTGAACTACCTTTTAAAAAGTACCAGCAACATCAGAATGGCTGTCTTCCCAGAATTCTTTCATCTTCATAGATATTATGACTTAAAAGTCCCTGCCAGTAAACAAGCGGTATTTCCTTATAATAATTGCTTTTATTCTGTAACAGTAATTTTGTGTGTTTTTGTCTTGTTTAAATATTTTTGGAACTCACAGAGATCTTCCTGCCTCAGCCTCTACACTAGGATTAAAGGCATGTACTGGTAATCTCAGATAACTGTAAGCTTTAATATTTTTCCATATTAAATATTAAATTTAATATTTTTCCATATATTTGGCTACTAGAGAAATCAGCTACCAATACAGCATTAATGTGGAGTTTTAAATACAACAAAATTTTATTTGACTGCTTAATAGAGGTGCTAAAGTCAACATATGCTAATATATAGGATGGATGTCATACAATTAGCCTGTAGGATTCAAAACTAAATTGAAAATTTGTTTAAGACTGTAGGGATTGAGAAGATGGCTCATTTCCTAAATGACTACCACACTGTAAGCAGGAAGACCTAGGTTTGACCCCAGCACCCACAGTAAAACTAGATATGGTAGCACACATCTGTAACCGTAACTCTTGTGGCACCCATGGCTGGCTGAGTCTGTGAACTTCCAGCTCCCTGACAGCCTATTTCAAAAAATAAGGTAGAGAAACTGACCTCAACACATACGTACGTAAGTACATACTACACCACACAAATACACATGCACACATATACCACGAAAGATAAAAATAAACTTGTGCATTAATATGATTCTAACATGAAAAAATCAGACTAACTTTAGTGGGCCACTACATTTAGTTACCCTGAAATTTGTGAAATATTAAATACTTGTTGCTTAAAATGAAGTTTTTCATCAGGCACCTTTAAGCCCAGAACAAGAGGGGCAGAGGCCGACAATTCTCTGTGAGGCCAAGGTCAGCCTGATCTATAGAGCAAGTTCTAGGACAGCCAGGGCTATGCAGAGAAACCCTGTCTTGAAAAACCAGAAATAAATTAATTAAAATAGAGTTTTCCCTCCCCCCACCCGTGTGTGCTGTAGATTGGATACAGGGCCCTGTGCATGTTAGGTGAGAGTTCTAGCTGATCCACATTCTACCAAACCTTCTTTTATTCTTCATGTTGCACACTTCATGATCTCTGGATTAGACATAACTATCATTCATGTTGTGTATGGTTTTGATGTTTTCCATTTCAAGATTTTATCAAAATTGACATTCTTCTGCTTTAAATTTCATCCTCGGGAGGGGGAGAACCCATAGCAACTTTTTCCATTAAAACTTAATGGCCTGAATGGGGTGAAGTGTTGTTTAGTGTTCTGTGCTCATCATAATTTTTATTTAACCTATTTTGTTCTGCTGGCATTATTTAGATTTGCATAAGTATGTTTGGTTCGAAAAAGGTAATTTTGAGGGGAGGCAGATGTTTGAAGACAGAATTTTTCTATGTAATCCTGGCCATCCCAGAACTCTCTCTGTGGACTAGGCTGGCCTTGAACTCAGAGATCTGCCTACTTCTGCTTCCCAAATGCTGGGATCAAAGGTGTGCATCACCACCGCCCAGCTGGGAGGTAACTATTTTTGATGATAGGCTTATTTGAGAGAATGTTTCACTTTAGCCCGTTTTGGCCTTGAACTCAGTCTCTTAAGTACTAAGACTACAAGAGGGAGCCACCATACCCACTCTGGGAGGCTTTAATCTTGTATATAAAGTAAATAACTTGTTTTCATTATTTATTGCTTCAATTTATTGATAGAATTTGATCATATAAAGAACAAAGTTCTTCACTCCTGGTTACATTCAAAATGCTGCCTGTGTGGCTGAAGACATGGCTCAGGAGTTAGTGTTACTGTGCTTGCAGAAGACATGCACCCTCTTGATAACCAGCTTCAACTCCAGTGCAGAAAATGAGACTCCCAGGGCACTTGTACCACACATGCCCATATACATCATAAATAAGTGTGTGTATTTGAAAGTAGATGTTCAAATAACTAAGAGTAACAAGAGGCAAAACTGGCATAGTCACTGTTTCTTCGTGAGTTCTAGGAAGCGAGGGTCATATTCAAGTCATTATCATTGCCTTCTTTTTCGTTTGTTTTTGTTGTTCGAGACAGGGTTTCTCTGTATCGCTTTGGGGCCTGTCTTGGAACTTGCTCTGTACACCAGGTTGGCCTCGAACTCGCAGAGATCCGCCTGCCTCTGTCTCCCAAGTGCTGGGACTAAAGGCATGAGCCACCAAACGCCCAGCAGTTCTGGCCTTCTTAGCAGAATCAGCATTGCATTTAGAGAATTTTCTTATGTATGTGTTTTGTCTGCATGACCATTTACATACCAGAAGAGGGTCTACAGTTACAGATACTTGTTAGCCACCATGTGGGTGTAGGGAATTGACCTCTAGACCTCTGGAAGAGCCGCCCATGTTAACTGCTCAGCCATCTCTCCAGTCATAGAGCTATTTCTTAAAAATCGTGGAGTACTATCTTTGAATGCAAAAGGCCTGATTGATGTTTTAAAATGTATTCAGGTTCTACTAATAATTTGATCATTTTATAGTCAAATGTTATGATAATTGCAGAGAATAAAAAATGTTTTTACTATTTAATTTTATGTAAGTAGAAAAAAATTATATTAGTGACACTTTGTTTTAAAGTTGTTTCTTTGTTTCACACTTTAAAAAAAAGATGTAAAATTGTGTTGATTGACTGCTAGCCAGATGCGCATTTGGCTGCTGAAGAAGAGGCTCGGCGATTGGAGGGGCTTCGCAAGCAGGCGGCACACGAGAGGGCGGAGCAGTGCAGAAGGGCACAGGTGCGGGGGTCCCAAGCCATGAGGACGGCCCGCCTGGCCCACGTAAGACCCGGCATCTCCCCGGCCTGTGGGGTGGGCTGCTTGCTGGCATTGTAGAACTAACTGCTCAGTGAGTGTTTCTTATTGTCAACTTAAGGAAGGACAGGATTACTCTACCTCACGGTTCAAGGTACAGTCCATCATGGAGGGCAGGTCGGGGAGGTGGGAGCTTGAAGCGCCTGTCACACCACACATAGTCAGCTGCTTCGCTTCCTTTCTCATACCGTCCAGTGCCTGCAGGTGTCCACCCCAGTGCAGTCAAGATAATTCCCCAACAAGCATGCCCAAAGACCCGTCATGTCGATAGCATTAGCCATCACACAAGGTCTCCGAGTCATGCAATTTCATTACAGTTTTCCAGAGTCCTTTTCCTCCCTCTTAAGATCAGGTTGAATGAACCTGTTTTCACAATGTATGTTTTACATGTTTACCTGTACATTTACATCTATTCAATCCAAAAAGAGCCTACTTTTTTGATGTAATTTTGACTGCATTTGTATTGTATAAACTTATGTAATTGATTCAGTAAGTCTTTTCTGAGCAAAGCACTTATTGGCCGCTTTGAGTTTTGATTCAAAGGTAGACGCATATCCTTGCTTATTCTTGGAACAGCATAAAAGATTCATCTCCCTGTTTCGTTTTACCTTCTAAGTTTGACTACATTTGTGTATTTTAAACACCTAGCACCTTAGGAGAGGGTTTTAAGTGCCTCATTGGACGCTAAACACTTACTCTAAGGAAGTCTACTTGGGTAGTAGGGGTTAGAGTACAACCTTCTCCCTTGAATTTTTAGTTTTCATAAGTAGGAAGTGAAGTATGACTTAGTTAACTGAATTATTAATCATTCCTGCCTAAGAAATAAACCTATAAGAAATAACCACAGGAACTGAGAACAGTTGTTAAGTTGAGCACATCCTTCCATAAAAGCAGCAGTGTTGAGCGGCCGGCCGCAGAAGTGAGCTCCCACAGCTTGCCTGGACTTAACCTCACCTCCATATTATTTGGCTGTTAGCTCGCCTTAGCTCACTTCCATCATCTGTTTCCCGAGGAACACGCATGCAGTTAAAAATTCCGTTATTGGGGAAATATGAATGGATGACACACTGTGCTCGTTGGGAGTAAAGAGTGATGCATGGGGACCGTATGAGAATTGCTGCGCTGGTGGGTGATGGACAGTGGATGGACGGGGAAACAGAGACCTGTACATGTCACTCATATTGAAAGTTTTATTGAGGGGGAGGTAAGAAAATAAAGACACACAAGAGACAGGGCGGACAGTAGAGAAGAGGGAGACAGTAAAGTCCTGTCTGCCCCAGGGGAACAGCAAGAGAGAGTGTGAGTGGGTGGGGTCCTTCTTTAAAGGGGTCCTCTGCACCTGCATGCTGACCAGGTGCTGCCTGAGTGCATGCTGCCAGGTGACGGGCAGGCCAACGAAATGCCTGAAGCCTTGCAGTGCTTCTAGTGAGCCAGCCACAATAGTGCATTTATTCAAATAGCAAGTAATACATGTGCCGCCATTAAAAATCCAGCTGTTTGGGCCACTTCTCTTTATCCTAGACTAGTATTTCTCACATAGGAAAAATCATCCGAAACTGTGATATCTTAGTGTTAGTAGATTCCATTGCCCTGTTTGAACCTTTTCCCTACGACCTTCTGATCTAGAGTGTATTTATTGCTGGGTCTGTTGGAATTGGCATTTAGACTCTATCCTCCTTTGCTTTTATATCTTTTTGTCCGTAATCACTTTGCCCCCTGTGCCTTAGCTGTACAGACGCTGTGCCGTTCTCTGGTTGCCTTCACAGCCATACCTTGTGACTAAATGCTTACCCAGAAACTGAGGAGGTTTCTCTCGTCACCCTTTTTTTGCCTTTTACCATCAGAATTAAATTAGATAACCTCATTAAGACATTCTGATTAAACTTTCATGTTAGAAGTACTCTACACATACAGAGATACACAAATCCCTTCAGGGGAAGTATCAGCAGTTAAGTCTCAGGACCTGAGAAGTACAGAGAGCTGAACGGAGCGCCTTTTAGGAAGTCACCAAATGGTTTTCCTCTGCAGAGAACGCAGTGGCAGATACCTCAGACTATTGTCTAGGCAGCGCTCCCTCTCAGTGCTCCCGACTTTGTCCCTTACTAGTTTAGAGTTGACATCCCCCCCCCTCAGTAGTCTCAGTATGTCAGGACAGGTGGAGGGGGGAGCAATTTCAGGCCCTGATCTTCAGACGTTTGACTCCGCTGTCATCTGTTTACTTTTGAAGACCCAAGAGAGACTATTGGAAGAACTCAAACGGCTGCAAAAAGAGGACCTGTCACGTCGGAGACAGACTGTGGCACAAATGCCACCACGGCTAGTTGAACCGCCATACAGGCGCAGCGAGGTGAAAGAGGATTGGCAGCGGGAGCTGGAGTTCGCCTTTGAGGACATGTACAACGCAGACCGCAGTAAGGGGCTGCCAGCGGTGTTTTAAGAGCTTTGTGGGAAGTAGCACTTGTAATAATAAGCAGTGTTTATTTTGAGATGAGGCATTGTGGAGAAAGGCCTCAATGCTTTAGATGTAAAACTGATAACCTTAAGATTTTTATGGTTAAATTCCTCTTTTTTTTTTTTTTTTTTTCCAAATTATTTTCAGTCATTAGAAGGAAAACCGGTCTCTGTGTTTCTTTATTCAGAGGTGAAAGGAAACCTGATTTTGCATCTTACACCAGAGCCTTTGCCTGCCATGTCTGATCATCTCCAGGACGAAGAACTGGACCTTTCAATGGAGCGAGAAAGTAGAGGTGAAAAGGAGACCCCTTAAGAGCCACACACTGAAACAATACGTTCTAGTGGGACAGGGAAAAAGCCCCTAAGCTCAATGTTAAAAATTCACAGAAAAGGATTGTAATCATTAGCCGAGATGAAAATCCATTCAGTAAGCGCCGATAAAGACACTCATGAAAGCATTGGCAGGAAGAGTCTGCATATTCCTGCCACTAAAGATCAGTTCCGTGCTTGTTAGAGGGAGCCATTCACACATGATTAATGTGGAAATCTTTGGGTTGTGTGCGTTAGGTGCTTAGTTCTGGATTCATTTGAAGGGTCGGCGACTTTTACACTTACAAATCCTATTGTGTCCCATTGCTGCTGGGTACTTCATGTATCATGACGAGTTGTACAGACTTTGGTCTCCTGTCGTTCATACCTGGCTTCAACTTTCTCACCTGGCTGTCCCATAGGTACTTAGCGCTCATATCCAGCACTTAGCGCTCTTGCTTACTGAAGCCTTCGCTTTCTCACTTAAGTGAATGATGGGGCCAGCAAGATGTCTCAGCCAGTAAAGGCACTTGCCTCCAAGCCTGATGACCTCAATCTGACTCCTGCAGGTTGTCCTCTGACCTCCACATTCCCTCCCACAGTCAGTGGTGAACGAGGGTATCATGGTTACCTGAAACACATTACACATTTTTCTCTCTTACCCTGTGTCCCCTTACAGACCAAGCCCACACCATTGAGCTGGCCTTGCTTTAACCTTTGTTCTTGCTGTCCTGCCTTAATGTCACGCTGCTCAGGGTTCCGTCTCACTCCCTGCCCCGCATGTGGAAGTGGCTGTGTGTGGCTCTGACTGGATGGTGGGGTCAAGGCCTTCTCCCTGTCTTTCCCGCCCACATGCCTCTCCTCCTGAGTCTAAGACTCTGATTTGGTTCTGCTGTGGCTCAGCAGACAAGTGGGCTCGGTGCTTACCACCCTGCTTTCCAGGGTTTCCCCAAAAATGATTTCTTCTGAAGAATCTTGTTTTCTTGCTAGGTTAATAGTGTCTTTAAGAAGATTTTTTTTTTTTTTTTTTTTTTTTTTTTTTAAATTCCCATTTCAGCCAGGGTTTTGTTGTTTTAATGGGACTTAACATTTGTTTTTTCTAGTTAGCCAGAATTGAAGCCTAGTATTACCTAAAGAAACACTCTATTTCCTGCTGATCCCAGGTACAGTCTGGCCTAATGTTGTTCAGTCTTCCAGCTTTTCATAGAAAGCTAGGAAGGTGGGCATTGTGTAATTTCACTGTTCAGGAGGCTGAGCCAAGAGGACAACCAGTTACTTGGGACTGGTCTGAGCAAAGTAACAATACTTTATATCTTGAAGGTATCAGCAACAGAAGGCTGGGAACAACCATTACCCTTCTTTAAAACTAAATCCTCATTGAAACATAATTACAAATTAAAGTTGGCAATGTAGCTCAGTGGTAGAGAGCCTACCATGTGTAAGGCCCTGGATTCCATCCCTAGTGTGTACACACACAAAATAATGGATCCATGGATGGATGGACGGACGGACGGAAGGAAGGAAGGAAGGAAGGAAGGAAGGAAGGAAGGAAGGAAGGAAGGAAGGACGGGCTGATGGATGGATGGATGGACAGAAGGAAGGAAGAAAGGACGTACGGAAGGATGGATGGATGGATCTGCTTTAAAAGTAGGCAGGTCATAGACTAACAGTTAACTGAACAAGGCAGGCAGAAACTGTTCCTCAGGACACAGCTCTGTGTAATTAACCAAGGGACAGGGTAAAACTGTGTGGCTGTGAGGCAGAGTGCAGTAAAGTCACTTTTTGTGTATATTGGCTGGGAAGGACAAAGAGCCTTGTTGGTGCTGCAAATGTTGCACAGTGGCTTGGGTGGTGTTGATAGACACTGCTGTGAAATTTGCTGCACTGCACGCGCAGCTTTTGTGTGCTGAACCATTCGTTACGTTTTTAGTTCTGTTGGAACTTTTCTTTAAAAATGTACTACTTTGCCAGTTTTCAACCTCTTTGGTATTCTTAGTTTTTTCTTTAGTCCCCGCTGAGAAATGTTAGTTCTGTTGTTAGGTAGCTTGTGCCATCTCTGTGGAAGGGTGCTTGAAGAAACGCCTTGTTTCTGGTTTTTGATAAATGGAAGGGTCTACTTACAACCAGAGATGGAAATTTCCCCATGTATTAGCAAGAATGATCTGAAAGCAGGTGCTTTACTTCAAGGCTGTAAAATTGTGTTTCTAGTAGCCATCTAAGAACTGTTTAGACCATTCCCTAGCCCTGTGACATCTTACAGTGCATGACTCAAACATTAACTTCAGTCCCAAGCTGATTAGGAGTCAATCTGTTATCACCTAGCATGTAGAGTGAATGTTCTGAGAGTTAAGTTTGTAATTAGTATGTATGTGTTATGTTGTTGTAAAATGGTCTACATTTGAATTTAAGTTGAAAAATTATACTTGAATGTTAAACTAAGACAAGTTAGCATTCTTGTCTTACTGAACTTTAAATATTGAAAATAAAGTTATAGCAGTAACTGGGTATAAAGAGAATAATTGCCCAAATGTAATGATTTGCTTTCTTTCTTTTTTTTTAGTGCCCTTTGGAATGAAGACCCAACAAATCCCCTCAAGAGTTCTTTTTAAAAGATTGTTAAATAAGATTCGAAGCCAGAAATCTCTCTGGACGATTAAATCTATGTCTGAGGATGAAAATGAAATGACTACAAGCATCAGTGAGGTTGAGATCGAGAGTAAAGCACCAACCGTGGAGTCGGGAGCCATTGTCCTTGAGGAAGGGACACTGTCCTCCGAGCAAGAACAAGGTGCTCTCTCCCGAGATTCAAGGCTCTGGTGTCAGACTGCTTCGCTGAAGGGGACATGGTGGTAGAGTCATGCATGAGAAAACAGAACAGAGGACAAGGGTTAAGCAGTGGGCTGGGGGTGCTGGGGAGATGGCCAGGGGGTTAGATGTGTGGACTGCTCTTCCAGGGGGCCCGGGTTCAGTTTCCAGCACCTGCATGGAAACTCACAACTGTCTATAACTGGCACCCTCACCCAGACATAAATGTAGACGAAACCTCCCATTCCTCAGACAGCTGAATTGCAGCTCATCTATTCTTCATACCGGTTGATGTTTTGGCCAGCATTCTTCTGTAGATGTTTCTCTGGCTGTCTCCCTGCCCTCCCGCCTGAATCTATTCATCTATTTCGTTCTCAGTGAGACTTTCTCCTCGTTCTATATAAAATGCCGCCCTCTGCCTTCCCAGTAATGTTCCTTCCTATCACTTCATAATCTCTCTCACCGTGCCTCTCTTCATAGCTCTTACCGACAGGCAACAGACTTACTTTCTTGTTTATTTTCTTCACGTCTAACCCATTTGTGAGAGAGGACCTTGAAAACTTTATTCATTGCTCTGTCCCCAGAGGCTTCGTGGATAAAAAGTTGAATTAGTAGTATAGCTGAATTAGTTGTTGAGCTTAAAGCAAGAGAGATAATTTGGGAAGTCAGATATTTAAAACCATGAGAATAGAAGTTTCCTTTAGAGGAAAGAATTCAGTGAGAAGGGGGCTTATATATGCCCACTTGAGGGATTCCAGCCGTAAAAGCTACAGGAAGCCAGTCAAGTAGGGAGAGCACGGTTTTGGATTCCCAATAAAAGGAGCTCTGCTGTTGAATCTGTAGTTACATTTTGAGAAATGCTGCCACATGAACACTCACTCTCCATCTTGATCTTGATTCACTCTTCTCTGGCAGCTGACTCTGCTCCTTGCCTGTGGGTCTTTCAGATTCTGGAGTGACCCAAGGTGTGTGGGGGCGGGGCTGTTGCTCCCCTTTGTTCCTCTCACAGGGTCTTCATGTCTGTCTTTGGATAGGTCCGTTTGTCCCCCTCACCTGACCCTCCTTACCTTTCAGTGACTGCTTAAAGATACTTTGCTCAGAGAAATCACACCTGACTCACTAATGTCTTTATCATGTTTCATACTATAGCCTGTTTTCTTTGCATAGTACTTGTTTTTAATTCTCCAAATTTGAATGAGGTGATATGGTGTTTCTGTCTCTCGTTCAGGCTCTAAACCTTCTTGAGGCCTCTTGTCATTACCCTGCCATGGTAAATGGTTGAATGAGTGGTTTGTGCAAAAATACTGGCTACCCTGGTATGATGGGATTCATACCATGACATCCCTAGAATCTGTTGGCGTTTTTTTGGCACCTCTTTTGTCTTTGGTATTTCTTATATTTTCCTTAGGTTGGTGGTTAATGTATGTAGCTACCAAAAAGATGGCTGAGCCTTCCTTGAGGGTCCTCTTCCTGTTGACCAAGAGAGAATAGTTGATCTGATGTAAATGCAGTTTGCTGTTATTTTGCTCCCTTTGAGCCTGACACGATCATACTAACAGTGGCATATGTTACAGTCATGGACAGTGACCGGCTGACGATTGAGTCTGGACCACTGAGCAGTGAAGGAACAAGGCAGGAACAAGGTGCGTCTGCCGGGTCCTCCTACTAAGCGTGCGCCCCTTGGGAAGGGCGCCTCTAGCGGGCGCCTCCTCAGTGGCCGAAGCTAACTTTTGCCTGGTGATTCCTTAGCAGTTGTTGTAAACCCACCTGTCACAACTGTGGCTCAGCGTTCAGTGCTGCTTCACCCTCAGGAAGAAGCAGTCAGAGTTCGAATGTCAGCGAGGCACAAACAGGTAAGCAGACCCTGGGCTACAGCCTTGTTAGACCTGTGCAGTTCTTACGTGTCTGTCTTACATAGACATTTGGTCTCTGCTTACGCTCATTCCCCTAGGAAATGCTGTGTGCTTCTTCACCTTTCTCTTGGTCCTGACATAACCCCCTTGTCAGTGCCAGTGGCAGATTTAAGATTACATGCTTCGTGAGTAAGAGGTCCTTAATGCAGTGTGTGTGAAGTTTTCTCGAGAGTCTGTAGTTAGAACAGTAGTGTTCTTGTTATCTAGATAATGGAGATAGAAAGGCAGAAGCAGAAGCAGTTGGAGTTACTTGAACAAATTGAGCAACAGAAGTTAAGGCTAGAAACGGATTGTTTCCGGGCGCAACTGGAAGAAGAAGAAGGGAGAAGGAAGAAAGCGCAGCAGCCCGAGGTAGGGAACAGTCACTGTTTGTGTGCTACCCGCCCGGCGCGCGTCCTCATCAGTGTGTGTGGTGTGTGCGTGTGTGTGCGCGCGTGTGTGTGCAGCCAGCGTACATGTGACCAGCCTGACTGGGATGCTGTGTGCCGAGCTTTTTGAACCTGCCTGTCATCACAGAAAACAGTAACTTACTCCACGTCTTCATTTTGAGGTTTGCCCTGCTCCGATGTCACATACTGTGATCTCTGATGAGGACTGTCACAGGCAGATGATTCGTAACTATCAGCATCAGCTTTTACATCAAAACAGGTGTGGACCGGGGTATGACTTCTGTGCTACATTTTTGGGATTTATTTATGTTTTATACAATGATCTAATTGGGATTCCCTTAGAAATTGCCGTGATGCCCTCTTCAAGGGGATGTACTTTTCTGTGGTAAATATGGCCAACTTTAGATTGCTACTTAGTGTTTAATGTGTAAATATTAGACAAGTTGAGGGTTTTTTTAATTACTAACACTTGTTTTTATATTTGTTTTTGATAGGTTACACAAACGGTCTGTTGAAACTGCCAGGAAACGATTACTCGAATACCAAACTATATTAAGGGAAAGGTACCCATCCATGTCACCCACATCACTGATACCTGATTCTAATATATCAGGACCACCACAGAAATCTCAAAAGCCTGCTGCTGCATCAGAGCACTGGGATCTATGTCAGAGACCTGCGCAACCCTCACAGATCCCTGAATTAGACCAAAGGCGTATTCAGGCGCTAAGACAGGATCACTTTCCACAGAGGCAAGGAGAAACAGGTGCATCAGAGATGCTAGCCAAGCGGTCTGTGGGGTCCCAGGAACATCGACAGCAGCTCTCTCATGCGGAAGCACACCAGAGAGACTATGAATTTGTCCCTAAACATCCTCATGCACTTTCAAGAACTTTGTCTTACGATAGGCCACAACTGTTACAGGATGCTGGCGAGCTATCGAAACCACTGAGGGCAATAACTTGTCAGACTTTAGATCCCCAACAGATAGCATCAGAGGATAGTGAAAATATATCTTCTAAGCCAACCGAGCCCTCCTCATTTCTCCCACTGGTGCCTGAACGCTCTTTTACTAGTCTCCCCATTAAACTCGCATCTGGGAAAGTTCAGGAACCCTTTACAACCATAAGCAAAAGTAGGGTTTGCATAAACCAGTCTGTAATCAGTCAGATGCACGATCAGCCTCTCTCATCCTCAGACACAGTCGCCACCCAGCAGGATGACTTAAAGTTTCTCCAGAAACAGTTAGAACTGCAGAAGGAAGTTCTTCAAGCAAGACAAGAGGCTCAGGAAAAGCTGGCCTTTTGCGCACAGAAAGAACTGGAAAAGCAGGCTGGTCTTCCAGTATTCATCCCGTCATCAGCTGGACATTTATTTACTTCACTGCTATCTGCCTCAGCTGAATCAGGAAAACTCCAGACATTTTCAACAGAAAGTGATACCACTGTTTCCTCGGGCAATATGGACAAGCTTTGGGTTTTTTCACAACCTGTCTTATCACAGCAAACTAATTTAGAATTTCCCCAGGAACAGATGAGTGTTCAGAAGGATAACCTTCAGGCTAGGCGGGAAGCCCAGGAAGTCTTGTTGGCTCATAAACAGAGTAAAGTGGATGACGTACATTCTGAGAAGGCTGGGCACTGTTGGTCACATCAGGTGCCTCAGCAGTCTAGTTCATTAACAGTGACTGATAGACTATATAGAAAAATCCAGGGACAGCCTTTACCTACAAGCAAGAAAGGGCTTCTTCCAAGCCAGTCTGAAATCTCAACATCTCAGGATGAGTCTTCAAGTTCTCTACAGCTGCCCCTACCTCTACACAATAGTTTAAAGTTGCTGCAAGAGCGGCTGGCTACACAGAGCTATGCAGTTCAGACTAGAGATGAAGCCCAAGAGGAGTCACGTTTACATAGAGAAGGAAGTTTGGGAGATACATTGTCTGCGCCAGGAAATTCATCTTCCTCGGTGGCACCTCAGCATTCGGATGCTTCTCGTGCAGTTTCAGAACCCGGGCCCGGGTATTCATATGAGGAGAATATGGTTCCCTCTAATTATGTGATCACCGCAGCACTTGCAAAGGAGCCTCTTGGCTTTCCACAGCACAGCCTGCCAAGACAAGAACATTTTACAACACTCCAGGAACAGGCACACATTCAGAGGGTTATACTTGGTGCTAGAAAAGAAACTCAAGAATATGCACACGAAGAAAATGAATTAGAAAAAGGACTTAGTTCTCAACAAACTGGTTCCTTGTCTTTTCCATCCCAGGTAGCTGAATTGGAAAGATTCCAGGAGTTCATATCAGTTAAGGGTGATAGTACAGGGCCCTTAAGCCTTAAGATTCCAGGGTTTCAGGAAAGACTGGTTAGATTTTCACAACATGCATTCCCTCTGCAAAATAATTTGCAGGAACACCAAGAATGGGTAAATACAGAAAAAGAGAGTTTTCAGTTTAATCCTCAAACTTGGGAAAATTCATCTTCTCAACAGACAGGCTTTTCTTCCTTCATACCCTCATTAGGACCATCATCGTGCGTGTCCTTACCTTCTGCTGACTCTGGTACAACACAGCCTCTCTCAACAGAGAGTGACAGTAAAGTAACATCAGTCCATCTTCAGATACCAGAATTGCAGGATAGACTTGTAAGGATATCTCAGCTTATCCAGCCTCAGCAAGACAGTTTGAAGGCCCTTCAAGAACAATTGGCTACTCAAAGGGAAGCCATCATCCAGTCTAGACAAGAAGCTCATGGAGAAATACTAAGAGAGTGGAAGGAACGGGTATACCCAAAGCAGACTGGTTCGCCTTCTCCCCTGATACCTCAGCATTCACTTGCTTCATTCCCTCTTTCTGACTCTGAAAGAACACAAGAACTTTGTTCAACCCTCAGTGATGATGCAGCATCTTCAGGTTCTGAGATGCTGGGTTTGCCCAGCAGGGCATTGGGTTTATCACATACTGCTTTATTTCAGCAGAAAGAGAACCTCCATGCACAAACAAATTCTTCCCATTCTACTGAGAGCGTGCAGGGAGAGATGATGTTTACTAGACCGAGTGAACATTTTATCCAACCTCCTCATGGTGACTCGAAGGCATTTCAACAGCAGTTAGATGTGCAAATGACAGCCATTAGGTCTGTCCAGGAAATACAAGAGGAACTACTTTTGCAAAGGTTAAATAACTCGGAGCAAAGAGTATCTTGCAAACAGACTAGTTCCTCTTTATTCTCACCATGGGTAGCACTACCTGTTGCCAACTCTGACAGGACTCTGCAGTCTTTCCCAACCAAAAGGGATAATGCTGACATACCCAGCTCCCATGGTGAGCATCTGAGCTTTTCACAGCCCCTTCTACCTCAGCAGGATAAGCTGACAATGCAGATAGACTTGGAAATGGTGTTTCATAAAGAACTGCTTTTACACAAACAAAACAGCCAGGACAAAAGTGACTCTCCTGAGCATGCCACCCCAGCTTTGTCTCTCTCCAAGGAAACAGAGCATCCATTCATTCCATTACCTTTTGCAGAAGCTAAATCTAAAAGCATTTGTGAGTTGTACTTACCTAAAAAAGAGCATGAAGCTCCTTCTAGTGATGCTGTGATCCCAAGATTGCAGGACAGACTTTTGAGTTACTCCCAGCCTGTCTTAACCCAGCAAGACAACATGAGTCTTCAGAAGCAGCTGAGTCTACAAAGGGAAGCTCTACGTTCCAGGCAGAGAGCCCAAGAGGAATTACTTGTTCAGAGACAAACAGCCTTGCAGCAGCAAATCGAAAAACACAGAGAGACTCTGAAAGATTTCTTGAATGTCAGTCAGGTATGTTCTAAATTAAAAACTTCATTACACAAAGATGTTTAAACCTGATTCTATTTTAATCCTAAACTATCTTCCCTTTAGTTATTGGGAGTACAGAAATTAAAACAAAAAGTTACCTACTTTATAGGGTCATTTTAAATAGTCACAATTAAAGCATATCCATCTTCATTTATGAGTTTTGTTGTAGTAGTTTCTCAGCTGACCACAGAACTGGTTAACAGAATTTTTATTATGATGTGGTAGACCCCGTTCCCTAATGACTTCACTGACATTTGTATGTGAATCAACATCTATCCCATTTTTCCCCACATTGCATGTGGTGTAAGCTGGCCTGGTTGTAGGCTGATAGAGTCCAGAGCCGCTGCTGATGACTGCTTACATTTGAGCTGTTGAGAAGACTGGTGTGGTCATTTAGACACGGCCCCAAGTCTCATGCATATGAATGGGTCTGATCTATTTTAGGCCATTTCTTAAGTCTCTTAGTATAAACAGAGTTCTGCAGCCTCTAGGTGTTCAGGAAGCACTTGAGTCCAGAAGGAAAAGTGAAGGGGAAGACACAGAGGGGGCATTCAGGTCTAATCTGTCAGGAGGGGCAGAGCTAGGACTTAGGTGTGTGGCTTTATTTTACACTGGGAGTATCACCCCTTCAGGGTTAGAAGGATGTCTCAGTTTTCATCTGTCAACATAAGACAGATTGTGGGATGTGGGTTCAGGTTTTCCTGAATAACGCGCTCCACTGTGGAAACAGTTACAGGAATATTATAGTCACAGAACAAAGAAAACCATGAATTTGTGGTGTTTTCCAAGGACTTTGTTGGACCCATGAGCGAATTACAGAGATGCAGGGAAAAGCGTTACAAGTGATGGAGGCTCTGACTTAAGTGAAATGTAAATCTCGTGGGTTCTTCACGATTCCTTAACACACATCATCCCCGGGTCCCTGTCCACTTTTTCAGGCAAGGAAGCCCACAGGTGAGGATTACTTGAAAATGCACGGCCCCGCCTGGGACCCTGATCAGGAGAGCAGTAGCGGTGAGTAGTCACTTTTAGCAGATGTCCATGGTGAGCATAGTGGTGAGGTAGCCCTGTTGTCTGGTGATCGTGCCTCTTTGCCAACATCCCTGCCGCTTGCCGACAGAAGAAAAGCTTCTTGTGTCTTCACAATGTTTCATGTGTTTAACCCTGTCTTTGACCTGATAGGTGAGAGTCTGGGCAAAGAACTAAGTGGTAGAGCCTCTAAGCCACCTGTCTCCAAAGTGAAGTGTGGTTTGGACTTAGACCAGCATGAGCTTAGTACTATCCAGGAGGTGGAGTCACCAGCAAGTGGTGGCAGGACCCCTGTGCCAGGTAAACAGTGTGGTGAAATCCAACATTTTACACCGTTTTTTCAGTGTGCTGAATGTATCCAAGAGCTAGTCTTTGAATCTTTGTAAAAAGCGAAACTGGTTTACCTAAAAACAATTTAAAACTTGGGATTAGAGAGATGGTTTACTGGGTAGAAAGTGTTTTCCTGCTTACTGTATAAACTTGACAGCCAGAGTTGAGTCTCTGGATCCCAAGACAACTCCCAAAAGTATTTATCTGACCCCTACATACACCAACACTCACATATCACATGCATATGTAAATAATGAAATGGAATTTATTGGAGTACTCAAATTGTTGACTTAAAGAAACCTAGCTTCTTTCTGCCTTATATGGGGAAGACAGTATACACTGTAACTGTTAAGCCTTAAGCTCTGAAAGGAAAGGTATTCTAGAGTTGGAAGCCAAGAAATACCTACAGCTCTAAAAGGAAAGGTATCCCAACAAGTGTTAACAGCTCTGTTTTGATGGGGGATGGTTTCCCCAAAAAAAGGAAAGATTTCCCTAATATCAAGTGTAACAATGCTGCTTCAGCTGGGGAGGATTTTCCCAGCAAAAGCTCTGATCAACTTTCCTGAATGTAACAGTTTTACTCTAGCAAGGAAAAGTTTCCCTAGCCAAAGTGTTACATTCTGGCTGTTCTTGTTCTGCTCAAGCTAGAGCTGTTACGATTCTGCTCTGATAAGAGTTGTTACTGTGTTACAGCCCAGAGGGAAAGATGTCCTGGCAGGCAGGAACCAAAAAAACACCAAAGTCACACCACACAACAAACCTCACACTAGAGATTCATTGGGAGGGAAAAAAAGGAGGTTGGCTCTCTCTTCTTGGGCAAGAAGCAGCATCAAACCGAACAGGATGCAGGGCTTATATAGAGTTTCTTGGGAAGGGTGTAGAACTTTCCAGGGTGGAGATTGGTGGAATTTCATGTCCAGAGATTGGGCTTTTTCACTCTGCAGGGTGGGGGCGGGGTCCAGCAGTTAGGGCAGTTAGAATGTTCTGTGGGTGGAACCTGGCAGTTGGAGGTCCTCAGGGAGAGGCCCGGCACCCATGTGGGTCAAGGGGCTCACAGTTACAGCTTAGCGCTGCTCTACCAAGGGTCCCCATGGAAATGTAGCACTTCTGCTCCACTCCAGCCAGGGCCACTACAGCTGTGTTTGCTCCCCAAAGAAAAGTCACTGCACGTTTGACTCAAGAGATTTATTGGGAGGGAGGAACCCAGGAGAGTGGCTGCCTCTGTCAGGGTGGAAAGGGGCAGAAGGGGCAGACCTAAACTGAACACGTACAGGGCTCATGCAGGGTTCCTTAGCTTATTTCCAAGATGAAGATTTTCAGGGTGGGGATTGGTTGCATATCAATGCCTGGCCTTGGGACAAAGCTAAGAGATTGGTTGGTGTTAGTGCTCTGGGATTGGTTGGATTTCAGTTCCTGAGTTGGTCAGGGGAAGGTTGTGTTTTCTTGACAATCCAGGGTGTTGTTTCACTGGCCCTTTTTACCCTAGAATATAGCTCCTCTCTCACAGGGGAAGGCAGTGTGCACTGAGCAGCTCCTCTGTCTGTCCCAGGGGAGGCAGTGTGCATTAAGCAGCTCCTCTGTCTGTCACAGGGAAGGCAGTGTGCACTGAGCAGCTCCTCTGTCTGTCACAGGGAAGGCAGTGTGCACTGAGCAGCTCCTCTGTCTGTCACAGGGAAGGCAGTGTGCACTGAGCAGCTCCTCTGTCTGTCACAGGGAAGGCAGTGTGCACTGAGCAGCTCCTCTGTCTGTCACAGGGAAGGCAGTGTGCACTGAGCAGCTCCTCTGTCTGTCACAGGGAAGGCAGTGTGCACTGAGCAGCTCCTCTGTCTGTCACAGGGGAGGCAGTGTGCACTGAGCAGCTCCTCTGTCTGTCACAGGGGAGGCATTGGGCTGGGATAGTCTGGCAGCCCCACACTCTGACACAGCTCCTTTCACGGCTGCCACTCGGTTCTTTTTTCTTGTGCTTTGGTCCTTACTGCTCTTGTGCGTCTCGCTGGCACTCTGTTTCTAAGCAGGATCTTACTGCAGGCCTGGCTGGCTGGAACGCAATATCTAGATGCGGCCAGCCTGATGTACAGAGTGAATTCCAGAGCAGCCAGGGCTGACAGAGAAGCCCTGTCTGGGTGGCTGTCGTTTCCCTCAAGGAAGAGAAAACTAGCTGAGGGAAAAGTAGAAGGCCTGAAGTGGTTTTAGTTCACAAAGTAAAGCTTGGTTGGAAGTGAAATTTCATATGGGCAGGGCAGTTAGAGGGGATAGGGCGATGATGAAATCAAGGTGAAAACACTAATCTATATTGATTTTCTTTTCTCTTGTATTTTTTTATTCCACTATTTGTTTCTAAATATTTATTGAGTATCCGATTGCAGTTAACAGAAAGTCCTAGTCTCAGGCTCCTCCCACACACCACCTTGGAAACACCCGACTTTTGTTTCATGAATACAAAATAGGAGTTACTTTAAAAGTTAGTTTTTGGTTTGATTCTGTATTTTCAGTTGGTTCAAAATTGTATTTACTGTTGAATTCCATGGAAAAGGTGGAGCATTTCCACCAAGTACATTAATAGGAAAGTCTCTCATACTAACCCAGTCTGGCTGTTGTCTGGGTGGGAATAAGAGAATTTAAAGACTAAACAACCAGCATTTATTTTCTTGCTATATAAACCAGCCTTTAAGAGTTCAGAGTTTTAAAAACTATTATCTAAGTAGCCATTTTAGATGATAAGAGTTATTTCTGCAGTAGAGAAGTAGTTCAGAGCCTGGGGACTTGCTGCTGCTCTTCTAGTTCCCAGCACACAACCATTTTAACTCCTGCCCCTTCTGGCCTCCGGGCATTTTACACACGGATTGCAAATGACTACGCATACATACATACACACATACACATTTATATATACACACACAGAGGCAAGCCACTCAGACACGTAAAATATATATCTAAAGATAAATGGCCATTTTAGTTTTAAAAACTAGAACTGAGTCAGGGTTTGTTTTGTTTTTTACCCAGGTAAATCAGATTTTTATCAAGACCGTGACCCCTTAAGGGTCTCAATAAGCAGAGAACAAAGTTTTCTGGGGAGTCCATTGGCACGTGATCCGTTTGGTTGTCATCAGCCTCCTGCCCAGAACAGCAGAAGCCATGGGTATGCTGAAGCAGGTGAGTGAAAGTGTTGCACACAGGACGTGAACAAAGGGTGGTTGTTAGGGTCTGTGCAACAGTGGTGACTGTTGGTAGTCAGATCATTGTGGCACACCCATGCTCTCTTGTTGTATGTAGTCATTAACAGTCACGAGGATAAGGCTGGGATGTGTGGAGACCAGGGTGTCCTGGAACTCACGGAGATCCTCTGCCTCTGTCTCCCAAGTGCTGGAAAATCCATATTGTAAAACTGTCTCATTAACTGAATCCTATTAGAGTTATATGAGATATAATGAGCTGGTGACTTTGCAGGCCACATTATGAATATAGTGCTAGGAAGTGCTATCCTCTGAAAACTGTGACATTCAGAGAGAGAGAGAGAGAGAGGAGAGAGGAGAGAGAGAGAGCTGCATGGCGCCTGTAGACATTGTGAAGAGTTCTAAGTCAGTTCCACCACCCAGTAGCAACCCAAGTCAATTTTCTTCTTTTGAATTTATAGATACATACAGGTAGGAAGTTGTGATATTGCTTGCTGCCCTACAAAACGGAACCTCAGTACCATTTTATTAGTTGTAACTTCATCTTTAAGTAGTTATCTTTGTAGGATTTCTTTTCATGTTAGCTTTGTTTAAACACAGATACTTGATTTGTGAGTTGTAGCTAAAGCAAAACACAGGACATGAGACACTTCCTAAATATTTTAAAAATCTTACCCATAGACTAGCAGTGACTATATTTTTTTTAGAGTACATAATTTCTAGAACATTTCCAGTAATTGAGCGAGGTTTTACAAAGTTTTAAGATGTATTTACTGTTATGTATAGTCTTCTGTCTGCACATATGCCTGACACCAGAAGAGGGAGCCAGAGGTTATTGTAGATGACTGAGCCAGCATGTGGCACATGGATGCTGACACCTCTGAGCCATCTCTCTCTCCAGTCCAACTACCTTTTATTACTGAATATTACCCTAGTGAGTGTTATAGGTGGCAAGAGTAATGAATACCTATGGAGTATTATAGAGAAGTAAATTGGTATTTTTTTCCTTTGGTCTGAGGTAAGGCAGTTTAAAAAGCAAAATATAAAAACAAGGTATAGAAATGCAGGAAGTGACACCCTTTTGCGCTAACATTTTACTTCATCCTAATTTTCCCCACCCCTATTTTGAACCCTCCAATCTACATTTTAGTTAAAGTTGAGGAATCTGATGTTGAGGATCATGTGGTATTGAGTCATGCTGCCTCAGAAGAAGCGCATACATCTCTGGGTCCAATTGTGAAGCTGGATGATAAGGTCAGTGATGCTACTTTGTGTCCTATGTTGAGCTGCTTGGTTTCGTATTTGTGTAGTTGTTCTCTGAGATCTACTGAGGTGGATCAATGATGAAAATAGCCAAATCTGAGCATCAGAAGACCTTTTGGTCTGCTTGGTGCATGATCTCTTTAGTTCTGAGAAGCATAACTACAAATAGCTTAAAAGAGTTAGGATCTGTGTGTGGTAAGAGGTGTTGTGTGTGTGTGTGGGGGGGGGGGGCTGTGAAAGGTGAGAGAAGGTGTGTGTGTGACCATTTCTGAGCAATGATGAAAAGGCTTTAGTACTGAACTTTATCTCTGTGAAGGTTCCTACACTTGACCTGAGCTCAGAATTGACAGCAGTGTTGATGGTTTATGCTTTTTCTAGATATGTCATGATATATCACGATCTAATATTTACCTTTGAAATTTTAGGCTGAAACACAAGAGATTTCTCAGGAGCCATTATCTTCAGTAACTGTTTCTACTGGAAGCTTCTTAAGTTATGAAATCACAGATTTGAGCCTTACAGACCCAGGTACCATCAACTTTGTGAACACACTGAAGGAGCAGCATTGGCTGGCCTGCAGTGTCGTAATGAAGGAGACATTGCTTTTTCTTTTGGGGGGTGGGGAGGGGTCCGGGTTTTGCTTTTTCAAGCATGTCCAGGTGGAGTGTTTGGGGGAGAAGATGTCTCACGCCTACAAAGGAAAAACATCAATGTTGATGTTTTAAAAAAAAAAAAACACACACACACATTTTGGCACATTTTCCCACTTAGTGGAAGTCTCTGGGAACAGATTTCTTGGTTGCACCAATGTCAGCAGTATATACTATGATATACTGTGTTTGAGAGGAAGTACCCAGACATGAAATTAATGTTACAAATGTGTCCATTAAACTTGATTTTAGAGTCATTTTCGGAGCAGACAGAGCAGCAGGAACAGGAGTCTCCCAGTAAAGAAGAGGAGGCCGCTCCTCTCAGTTGTGCAGCCCCTTCAGCAGCTGTCACTTGTCAGCTGCTGTACTACTTAGATGCTGATGACCCTCTGCTGTCCATGGAGGAAGAAAGGGCGTCCCACCACACTCGTGCTGAGCACATCGTAGACAAGGGTAGAAATGCAGCGAATTTGATACCTGAAAAAAGAGACTGGCAGGGTAAAAATTATTTTAAAAGAATATTTTTGTAGCTTTTCACCTTTCCTCGTCTTTAGTTGTATTGTTTGAGCTTTGTATTTTTTATGGCCTGTACACCATGGATAATATTGAGGGGGCATTTATGAGATAGGGCACCTGGAAGCAGTGTGACTGAGAAATAGAAGGGACTTGGTATTAAAGGTACTTGCTATGAACCCATGACCTGAAACCATGAGTTCAGTCCCCAGAGCCCACAATGGTGGGAGGACAGAACTGACTTGTGGAAGTTACCACTGACCTACATGCAAGCACTGTGGCACGTGCTCCATGGCATGTACATGCACACACAAACATGAATGAATGTGATTCTTTATATTAAAAGAAAAAACAAAACAGCCTGAAGAGCCTATGAAGAAAAGATTAATGAGGACACTTCCCTACATCTAAGGCAGGGATTTGAGTGATGTTTACAGTATGTCCTGGCTATGAGACCTTTTCCTTCATAAAATAAATTGAAGTTAGAGGGGCACATATAGTGTCCACGCACCCCAGTAACAAGACAGTGAACTTCTCATTGTAAATCATTGATAATGAAGTGAGCAAAATAAGAGCTCAAACATTATGGTTAAGCTTTTCCACGTGGTCTTTTGTGGCCTGCCATTCCTAACTAACCAGAAAGCCTTTGAAGCTCTTAGAATGGAGATTTGTATTTTAGTTTTGGTCACTATGAATGGAACTATGTGCTGTATGAGAAATGTTTAAATGCTCTAATGAGCATGTTCTCAGGACTCCTTTTTTTTCCCCCTCAAAGTTCCAGCAGTGAACCTTGGCTTTCCAGAACTGGAGCACGCATTTCCACACTTGCATCATCAGCTCTTTCAACCATTAGAGCCATATCTAGATTTTGACTTATCGTCATCCTCTGGGATTTCTCAAGACAACAGAGACTTTTACCAGGTAAATTAAAATGTATTGCAGTATTTCCTGACAGGTGATTTCTTTGGTTTTTTTGTAGTCCAAGCTGAAACTTGGTATGTTGCCTCCTGTCCATGTGCTGGACACCCCTATGGCCAGCCTGAATCTTTCCTTTTGTAGAAAAGTTGGCAGCCTATTGGAATTATAGAAAAGGATGTCACTTCCTTCAGACGCCCATGCTCCACCTGTGTTTATGGAAGCAGCCCTAGTTAAACTCCGTGGCCACACACACACACACACACACACACACACACACACGTACAGGAAAGACCTGAAAGTGGGCAGACGGGCTCAGTGGGGAGGAGGGCAGATAAAAGCAGTAGGGGTGCCTAAACCCTTTATATATTAAACTGCCAAGTGTTAATACAGACATAGTTAGTGCACTTTCTAGTTATATCTGATATATTTTCCTGCTCTAAATATTAATACACATATATGTATTCAGTCTATTTATTACACAAGCAGTCACATCCTGATTTTCCAAGTTGTTCTGATGTGGAAACAAGCAGATGAGGTCATGCACACTTGTATTCCTAGAAATTGAAAGCAGAGGATGAAGGGATGGAGCCCAGCCTGCTACAGGAATGGCCTTAAGTCAGTCAGCTTGTATGATTACCTGTTTTGGTTTACTTCTTACTCAATCTGTTTAGTAACTTTAAAAAGGTAAATGATTTCACAGAATTTAAAGAATGTCTTCCTCTACATTAAAAGGCAAAGCTGTGTTACCCTGTAGTTTTTTATACTTGTGTGCCTATGTGTCATGGATGTGCATATATATGTATATATGTATGTATGTGTGTATATATATATATATATATATATATATTCTTATACTATGTGGATCTTGGGAGATCAAATTCAGGCCACTGGGCTTAGCTGAAATCGCCTTTGTATGCTGAGTCACCTTGCCAACCCTGTAGCCTGACATTTCTGTTCTACATAGTTCCTACTTGTCAGTAAAGAAAAAATTTAAGTGACCTTGGGAATTTATACCGAATAGAACATACAGAGCTTTAGTCTGTGCTCAGTGAGGGTGCTGTTAGAGTTTACTGAGATCACAACAGGCTCAATCCAAGTTATAAGTAATGTATTAACATTGTTAGCAGGGAACGGCGATGGAAAGTGTGCTGCACTGAAGGGACTAGGGGCTTTTAAAGGTAGAAACCGGAACGTTTCTGTGGAATTTGCAGCTGCATGAAGTGCTGTCCAGGTTAGCAACGAGCAGGGTTCCAGACAGCATGTGTTCTCACAGCAGTTGCACCATTCTGGGCAGAGCACAGCGTGCCAGTTCGTGTTTGAGGAATTTAGGCCAGCGGCTACTGAGGGTAGCGGAGTGTCTTGAGCCATCATTGTAATGGCAAGGCTGCAGGTAGGAGGAGCAGTATTAAAGGAATGTGGGTGGCTCAGCAATTGTAACTGTTCTCAGCAGAGCTCTGAATCTTCGTCTAAAAAACACCATGTTAAGACAAGCACAGGCGGTTTCACAGACCCGAGAGTCTGCTTGCAACCTGCTGGTAACCCTGCTCGTGCTACAGCTCAGAGCTTTACTGCTGAGGGTAAGTATAATTGTGTGTCATTTACGTCTGTCATAGTACTTACAGTCTTTGGCCTCTTTGGTTTCCTCCACCTGTAATCTCATCTTTGTGGATGTCTGTTGTCCCCATCCAGCCACCTGTTTGTAGTCCCTTTCTAGACCTTGTTTGTATAGTCACGTGTATGTGTGCCATATACTGTCCAGTGTTTATTCTGACTTTGTGAAATTTTGTTGATGCAGGATCTGAACAATCTTTTCAACAGCTTCTACCAGAATTCTCTTCACAGGAAAGCCAACATGCTGATTTGCCAAGTATTTATAGCATCGAAGCAAGAGGTACTTCCCAGAGCATGGAAAACAACTATTGTGAGCAGAGTGAAATACTACAAAATAAGGAAAAAAGTGTTCATTTTCAGCCCCCGACAGAGAATCTGAGTGATCAGTCACAGCTGCAGCACAGAGCTCCATGTGGCTCTACCTCTAGTGAGTGCTCAGTAAAGCAGTTAGGAAGCACAGAAGAAAGGCTGGGCTTTGAAGAGCTGTCAAGGACAGTGGTTACAGTGTCACAAAGACTCGGGGAAGAGGACAGTGGGGCTCTAAGTGCACACGAAGACACAGACTCTAAGGGAACGCCACTAAGTACTGAAAATGAAAAGTCTGTCCAGGAGGTAATTACAACGGAAACTACCAAAGCTGCAAGAACACAGTCTCAGCTAACACAAGCACAGCACATCGTGGACTCTGAGTCATTTTCTTTTCCCAGCTTTATTCCAATCTGGGTAAGTGGGTATTGTTTGGTGCAACAGCTGATTTCCACCTTCCAATGCATACTGTGGCTGAAGGAATAGCATCTGGCACATGTGATGGCTAGGAAGGAATGCAGGGGTGGGCTATGACATACTCCCACTCTTCCACACTTGGCCTGCACACATACCCAGTTCCATGGCTCTTCCTTATCCAACCGTCTAGCCAAATGAAGCTTTTCTGACTGGATTGTTACAGGAGACAGAATCTGGCTACGGTATAATGGAAGAACCAGATCTCACTCTGCTGAGCACCAGTGATCTCAGCATCACTGAAGCAGACCTTGCAAACTTAACCCTTGAAGACAAAGACAGTGGAGCACAGAGCTGTTTCCAGGTAAATCTCATCCCCCAGCACATGTCTGTCTGGGAAATGGAACCTTGAGGACAGGGCGCCAGCTGTCAGGCAGTGGGTCTTTGTGCTCCTTAGTTTCAGTGAATGTGCTCAGCCATAGAACTATGGAAAGCAAACCTAACCTGCATTGAGTGCACTCCTACATCAGGGATGGGAGCCAGAAAAAGCCAGTCAAGTCCAAAAAGGAGAAAATGGGGTAGAAGGGAAGCAAGGTTTGGTTTGAGGTCACCAAAGCCTGGCAGGCAAAGGAAAGTGACTGTCTCACAATTAGGCAGGTGCATCTCCGCCTCCTTTACCAAACACCTCTGGGCATGGAGCTGCATCAGAAGAGCCTTGTGTGGATCAAACCCAAGTAGCACCTTCAGGTAAGTCTAGTTTTCATATTAGCCCCTAATGTTTGAGTGAAATTAGAATACTTGTAAAGACCTTCTTTAAAAATTTACAGCCACACGAACGGTAAGGAAAAAGTCATTTATGGAACGATCCTACCAAAGACAGAGAGAGATGCGAAATAAAGCTCAACTCCCTCGAACAGGTACATTTCCTAAAGTATATATAAGGCTAACAACAGAAATTATTAAGAGCCTTAATCAATCACTTGATCTCAGGTTCTCCAGTGAGCCGCCTGAAGGGTGTGAGTAAAGTGAGAGTATCTCTCCCTGAAGACAGAAAGACCACACAAGCCCTCATGCACCAAAGGGCACTAAGGTATGTATGGGTTTATTGTTCAGTTGCATCTTTTTAGTGTTACGCCATTAAAGCCCACATTTAATTCCATGTACATTTCTTACAGGTTATATAGACAGTTAACTGAGGTAAAACAGCAAAGAGAAGAAAAAGCGAAGCAAGAACTCTGGGCCCAAAATAGAGCAAGGGCGAAAGAATTTCATAAGGTGAGCGAGAGCCGGTTTTCCACCCTCAAAGGTGCTGCCATTCGAACCAAACTAAAACCTAATTCTCATTCCTTCTGCAGAAAACACTAGAGAAACTTCGAGCCAAAAATACATGCTGACTTCCTACAAACTGTGTAAAGGGTTTTTCTTTTAGTTTTATACATTATACATTAGACAGAATTATTTATATAAACAATAAATTTTTATTTAAGGGGTCTGATTCTGTTCTTCTCCATCCAAGGCACACGGGTTCAAGATTTCTGAAAAGAGAGTTGACAATAAAGTTAAAGCCTTAAAAATGTGTGACTAAGGTAAATGCATGTGTCTTCTCAGAGAAACACAGCACTCAGTAATCCAGTGCCTGTTCTGCTCTGTGGAGAACTTCGATCTTTGGTCACAGCGTTAAGAGCTTTCAGTTTCACTGCCCAACAAGCCCTCTTTGAAATGACCTTCACCACTCACTGTCTTTGTTGTAAATACACATACCTTTCTCAAAAATGCTCAGTCTGGTTCTGATTATCAGGCCTGTGTGACAAGAACATTGGGGGGGGGGGGTAAGCAACAGGGCATTCATTCTAGAGCCATCTACCTCAGTTAGATTTATTTATCATCAATAAGATGTCCCCAACAGGTTAACAGCTAAACAAGTAGCACATGGAAAAACCTAATGGGAATTTTTTTATGGTCATGTCCACAGCAAATGAGAAACTGAATTTCTCAAAGCCTTGGTAATGACCATTATAAAAACAACATTAAAGTGACTACCTACCACTTAAACCGGCACTAGGAGGGGGTTCGATGCCAGCCTGGTCAACAAAGCTACAGAGAAAACCAGTCTCAAAAAAACAAAAAAAAAAAAGACTTGCCTTTGTTTTTTTCCTCTCTCCTTGGGTTAAAGACAAATAGGACAAATTCAATGTCTTCTACCTGTGGGGAAAAAAAGTGCTTTAAATTTTTATTTTAACTTTAAAATGCAGTAAGATTTACTCAAAGTATCCTAAAAAGCCACCTCCCAAAATGAAAAAAGTTCTGGTCTTTAATTAAAACTGTTCCTTCCGACAAATATTGTCTGAAACGATTGCCCTGGAGATTTCATATGATTTTCTTGCTCATACACGTAAGTAAACTCCATTACTGAAAACCAGATTCCAAGATCCTTGGGCTTCCATCCTTATTATTATCTGCATATGGAGACTCTGGAGAGACCTACCAAAAGTAGATGTTCAGAAAGGGTACTTTCACTCAGCCCGTTCAGAGCAGTTGAACATTTTGCCCATCATCATAACATCTTGTCACTAGTAGTGTCTTTCCACCCTGGCAGCAAATTCCCCTAACTATAATGCTGCACATTTAAAGTTAGCGCCTTACCGGAAGTTTTCTGGTGACTTCTTCCATTTATTTTTAGGAACCTAAAAGATTTATTATACAAATATTGTGAAATGAAACCAACAGGATAGCAGGCAAATGTTACAGGTCCCATTGTCACCACTGTAACACGTTTACTGTGATGGAAGCATGACCTGTGTCTCTTTCGCCACATTGACCAGTTCTGGACACTGATCAACAGTGCCAATCTCGCACAGAATGAGGCTCTGTAAAAGTTACTGAGTCTCGTGCACAATCCGCCCAGTAAAACCACCCTTAGTAAACAAGCAATGCCTTACCATTTTAAGGTCGGCTTCTCACTTGACAACACCCTGAGAAGAGACCGGGTGGGTTGGTTCATTCAGTGGGTGACAATGCTTGCCACCAAGCACACCAGTTACTCCCCAGAATGCATATTACCTCAACCTGACAACTTGCTCCGACTTCCACAGGGGACCCATACCCACAATAAACAACTGTGTCATTAGAAATACCAGGTTTAACATGCACAAAGTCAAGAAACCAACGATGCCAGATAATGAATTCCTATTGCACTGTCTTTTGAACACACCAACAGGAAAGAACTGCTGAGTGCAGATACCATGCAGTGCCAATCCCTAAAATCCTCAGCCTGGCACCCTCAGGGTCTTTTCCACATGGAAGGGGGCTGGGAAGGGTTGATGCCAGAGGTTGGGAATTAAATCTGACCCTTCGTTCTTACTCGCTGGAAAATTGTCCAAATCAAACTGTTAACTTGCCTGTTACTCTTCTCTTTGGGCACACATACACAGTTGGGTTCCCTCCCTGGCCATCTAACACCATTTATGCGGGTGGAGGGGAGTTCTCACTGAAGAAGCCAGAGTTCCCTATTTGGCTGCTACACTTGCCTGGCTGGCTGCTAGGCTTCTGAACTGCAGTGCTCTGGGACAGCTACTTTATCCACCCAGCAAGTTTCCATTTCTTAGAGAGGGAGTCTCTAACTTGGATCCTTCCGAGGCTCCCAACTCCCAGGATAACAGGAGTGGGTCATGCACTGCACATGTATCACTAGAGAACTCAATATTCCCACTGATTGAGCATTTCTCGGTACTTTGATCTGGCATGGGAATGGCAAACGTTTTACTTACCAATATGCTTGAAGAGTTCTGCTCATATTCATCCCTAGAGAATAGTACACAAGACTTAAGGATCACAGGATTTCCAAATATAAAAACTAGTCCCCGACTAGCTGTGCCAGTTCTATCAGAATTAAGTTTTAGTTCATGTCTGTATCATACAGCAGTTGAACAGTTTTAATTCATCATCTGAACTGTAACCATATTTTTCCAAGATATACTGCCAAACTTACCTAACACAATGCTAATCTTATGAAGGACATGCCAGTGCCTGGAGTTTAAAAAAAAAAAAAAAAAAAAAACCACCTGTCATTTAGTGTTTTATACTTTTGTTACATATCTTGTAGTAGTTCCTCCTTTCCACAGACCTAATAAACAGTCCTGTGAGTCAGGCAAAACACGTTATTGTATGAGGCGTTTCCAACGATGCGTGGCTACGAGAAGCCCCATCGGGATAGACCTCAAAAGCAGCCACTGCCATGCCACAGCCTGTGTCAACATCGATGAATAGTAGCATAAAGAAAACCCAAAAAGAAGTCAGATTCTTATAGGGCCGGGCCCTCAAATACTCATATTTACCACATAGTAAAGATTCTTTACCAAGTCTACTTACTAAGTAAAACAGTAAACTTTCACCAAGAGGCTAAATAGGCAGTCTGATTATTTCTTAGCACAGTATTGACAGTTTTTAAAATTACATGTCGGATTAATGTTACTCTTGCATTATCCTGCTTAACATTTCAAATTAGTTACTACATATGCATGCTTGAATATGCTCTAGGATTTACTGAAGGCCTCTAAAACGTAATAGAATATAAAGTTGGCATCACTCACTGAAGATAAGTGGACAATATGGTACTTACTGCATTGAAGCAAACACCCATGTACATTATCTTCAACTCTAGCTTCATAATCAAGACAAGCCTTTAAAACAGAAATGTTTTTCTTATTACCTATACCTTTAGGTAATAGAATAAACCTCATCAATACCATAATTTTATGCTATCTATATTCCTTCTTATATGTATCAAAACTCATACTGACAATGAGTTCTGGGTTGCAAAAGAGGATTTATTTTTGCACTGATCTGATCTGCCTTTGTCCACCAGCTGAACAAAAACGTAAACAAGTGCTTATGGCCGTAGAAAGCTGACACAAAAAAGCCAGCTTTTTAACTGTGACCACAGAATGAAGGCCAATATTCACAGCATCCTAAGGGAAGACATGCTATTTCACTGAAGAGCCACACTTGTGCAGAAGCTGGCACACTGGGCATTGTTTGGAAGGAGCGTGTAAAGAGGATTGTGATTCGGCTCCCACCACTTACAAGATAATAAGCATCCTTTAACTCCAATTCCAAGGGCCCTAATAGCTCCCGATGCCAGGTGCCAGGATGCAGTGTTTTAGTTTGCTTGGTACCTGTGAGGGATTTCCTATTAGCATTTCACTTAATGCTCCAGTAATCAAGCCTTAAAAAGAAATCACTAAGTAGTAGCTATCCCTAGTAATTTGTGGCTTCTTTCTGTGGCTGATCCAGGTTTTTTTTCCATCTGGTTAGTGTACAAAAGTCTATTAAGTAGTTTTGAGTGATGTTTACCTTCCTCGACGTTCACATGTACATCCCCTTTCCAGGCCCTTCTGTGTTCTCTCTGTGCAGCATCTTTGGCCTTAGGTTTTTTACAGAATGCAGACTCTTTCTTACTCTTCTCTTGTTCTAAATTTCTCTTTGAAAATTCTGAGCTTATTATGAAGCAACTGTCTTCCTGTATTTAATGAAAAAAATCACTTTTAGGAACTATGCTTACCATTGACAGGTGGTTGAGTGCTACATTCCTCACTAGTCCAAATTAACACCTACATGATTTTCTTATTTTACAGCCTCTGTAGGGAGGTAGATAGCTCAGTGCTTAAGAACATTGGCTTCTCTTCCTCGTAGAGGACTAAGTTTCAATTCCAAATGCACAAGTGTATAAATAACTCCAGCTCCAAAGGGCCTATGCCGCCTTCTAGCCTCCCCAGGTATCACGCATGCTCATGGCATAGACACCTAGAAGGAGCCTATATACATAATGCTGAAACTTACGTCTGACCACACACACACCCACACCCTGCATACAAATGTGCAAAGCTGGGGTTACAGCTCAGCTATAAATGTAAATGCATAGGAGTCCTAAGCTTTGAATCTCAACATGGAGGGGGGAAGCAGAAGAGCAGCAAAGAAAAAAGTTTAGTATAAAATATTCTAGAACATTTCCATTCTTAGGTTTTCTACATTAAGTTTAAATGGAATTGTAATAGGACCCCACTGCACACAATCTCTACATTCATAAATAAAAACCAGCCACTTACCACCAATTTGATATCACTTTCAGACTCAGCATCTGCTGCCTCATCTTCTGTTCTGTAGAGTTAAGTACAGATCTTAGGTCATTACATTCTGACACTACTGAAACCTATGCTCTAAAGAATTTATATCATGCCAGCACCTCTCCAAATTCATGTCCTGTACACACACTTAGTATTACAAACAATCTTGAATATGCTGCAAATTATACTGTTTAAGCATTTTATCAGGGGATGATTGGTCCAGCAAGGTGGCACATGTCTTTAATCCTAGCACTTGGGAGATAGAGGTAGGTGAATCTGTAAGTCCAGTCAGAGACCCATAGCTGTGAGACAGTCTCAAAAATAGTTAAATGTATTTTAGGTGGCTTAAAAAAAAAAAAAAGTACCCAAACCCAGGAGCAAAATACTCTTCAAAACCCCACTTACAGTGGCTCTTCAATAGGAGAAAGAGGACCGTCATCATCCATGTATCTGTGTCTCCGACTCTCGAAATCCTCCCTTTCTAGGTCTTCCCCAGCATGCATCTGCCTCAAGCATTCCTTAAGGTGGTGCTCATACTTGAGTTTTTCAATGTGGTGGAAAAACCCTCTTGCAACAGCTTGCTGAAAGTTAGAAAACACGACTCCTTAAATCTTAGAGCACCAAGCATTAATTATAATCAAGCTTAAAATTCTACAAGGGGCTGGCTAGACAATGGCTGTCTACACGTGGGCCTGGTTGGGAAGTACAGCAACCATGTAAATGCTGCATGTACATAGTGATTCTGCTATTCCAGACTTGGAAGGTAAAGAAAGCAAACATCCCAACAAACGGACTAGGAAAACCACTGCAATTGGCAAGCTCTGCTGCGTCTGCACATTTACACACATGAAAAGAATGACATTAATCCTTTCTGATCACAAACTGCAAACAAGTACTGCTTACATTTAATTAATATCAGGGTACTTGGGTTTTCCTGATTTCATGTGCCTGTGTAAAAATGCACTACCACATGCCAGGTACCCTCAGAGACCTGGGGGACAGCATCACTGGGGTTACAGATGGCATTGTGTAGCCTAGATTGTAGGTCAGCGCAACTAGGCTAACAATGCACACAGCCAGGTAGCAAGCAGCATCCTGCCCACTTGTAAAAATGGACTGTAGTAATAACACCCAGGGGCTGGAGAGATACTCAGCAGCCGGGAGCACCATCTGCTCTTTCAGAGGATCTAAGTTCAATTCCCAGCACCCACAGGGCAGCTCATAACTCTTAACTCCCGTCCTGGGGGGAGGGGTCTGACATTCTCACACCTACATGCAGGCAGGTAAAACACTAATGTATATAAAATAAATGACACCTGCTGACTTTGAAATGACACGTTTGTCTTGGGCTACTGAATAGAAAGCTGGGTATGGCATGCTTGAGTAGCTTAGAGACAATAAAATGAGGGTGTTTTGTGCATTTACACAAACTTGGACCAGTTTTTTACTGAATGCAGTTAATGGCCACCAACCATTCCACTCACCTACATTAGAATGACTCACCTCATATGTTAAAATTTTCCTCCAAGGCAAGGGTTTTCTTCCACTTTCAGGTTCTAAGAATGGAAACACAGCTCCTTTGTTTTTAATTTGTTTCAAACCTATTTGTGATCTTCTAGGGTTTTTAGCATTTTTTATTCCAGGCGGTCTTCCCCTTGGTCTTAATTTTGGCTTATATTTCCTCTTTTTCCGTTTCTTTCTCTTAAATCTTTCAAAAATAGCCTTTAACGTCAAAGGCCTTGGCTCTATAGAGGAGTCGCTCGATTCACTTGAGTCCATTCCAACACTTGCAGGTAAAATGACACGTTTTGCAGTAGAGTTTTTTCGCTTTTGTGTAGGTGAAAGATACTGTGTTTTAAATAAGCTATCAGATGAGTCATCACTAAAAATAAAATAGAATAAATTGCATTATGGAGACATCCCTAGATAAAATCCCCATTCTTGAGTGCCAGCACAGTCATTAGTAACAAGTTTCACAGAGCTCTCGACTGTTCTAAATGAAGCTCCAAAAGAGCATGTGTGATGACTACAGGCCAAGTAATGACACGCAAGAAAACGTTAAAAATCAAACGTACGTTCCTTTCAAAGCCAGCTCCCCCAAAATCATACCCAACATTTTAGAATGGACTAAATAACAGTTGGCTACTGTGTCCTGGCCTTCTTAACTAAACATTTGTCAAAGCATTCAATTTTATCTTTTTTGGTTTTGGAGAGGGTTTCTCTGTAGCTTGGCAGGTCGTCCTGAAACTAGCTCTTATAGACCAAGCTGGTCTTGAACCCCCGAGATCGGCCTGCCTCTGCCTCCAAGTGCTGGGAGTAAAGGTGTGTGCCACCACTGCCCAGCTTCAATTTTATCTTTCAAGAGAAAGAAGCTCCACAAATCCATCTGCTTAACCACTGAAGCTTCCACTACCTACCTACTAAACAATAGGCCAGTTTAGTCAGAATAAGTGTTGTCTCTAAACTAAGACCATGTCTCACTTTTACATCATCAGGTTGGGTAGTTAGTTACCTGCAGTACAAGTTTGCAGGCTGAGGTGATAAGCTTTTAATCCCTGCTCTGGGGGGAGCAGGCAGGATCTTTGAATGAGGCCCCCTACCAAAGACTCAACCTAGGGAGTTAACTCTCAGAAGCTGCCTTACCTTTGGTCTCCAATGTCCCCATCTCTGTCTGGTGCCATGCAGTCAACAGAAGCCCCTTCTGGTTGCGCCATCACTGGACCTCTACAATTGTAATTTCAGTGTCATGACCTAGCATTCTAACGCAAAGATCAACGCACACCACATCACCACCTGACTTTAGGTCAAACGGACGTAGGGATAGTGCACTTCAGATCCTCTTTAGAAGCCTCCAAGTGAGGAGCACAAGAGTCATTCCAGATTTCAGTTCCCAGCACGCAGGGGTAGCTCACAGCTGTAACTCCATTACACGGTGTTTCTGGCTTCCTGGATATCCCCACACACGGCACATGCATGTTTTACTAATGTCAGAGTGATAGCAAAGTTCTCTCTAAATCTCCTTAACAAAAGCACCCGAGTGGCCTTACCACCAGCCAGACACACAGTAAGGCCTTAACTAATTCGGATGCGTACCCTAGGAAGGCTGAAGGGAGCTTCACCATCCGTTCTGGGAGTCATACACACTGATACTGGCTAAAAACCGAATTTCTGGCCCAAATGGGAGTAGGCCTGTAACCCGAACAATAGAGCCTGTCGGGTGAGGCTGGGGACGGCTGAGCACTGCAGCACCGGCTGAGTTCCCAGCACCCTCACGGCAGCTCGGATGGCCGGGTGGTGGTGCGCCCCTGTCGCCGCGGCTCTGGGGAGGCAGAGGCCCCTCCCAGGGCGTGGATAAAGGGGAGCTCGCCACCACCGGCAGGACTGACTGCGCCTCCAAAGCACGTGCTCGCTCCACGCGGGGGAGCGCGCTCCCTTGCAGATGCTCGGGAGGCAGCACGCGGCTGCGGGGGTGACCCGGGTCCCCTCGAGAGCAGCCGGGGCCATCACACCGCGACGCCAGTGGGGAAGCCAAGCCTACCTGCGCGGCTCCCTCAGGACGGCAGGCGGCCCCGACCCGCACGAACCCCGAGCCCGCGCGGGGACGGCCGCCCGCTCCCTGCTCCCGCCGCGCCGGAAAGGAGGCGCGCGCCCTCCGCGGCCGACTAGACACGACGAACTCTCGCGCGAGCTCAGCGGAGGGCGGGCACGCGAGCGCCGCTCCGTGCTGGGCGTGGCCACGCGGGGGCGGGCTGCGGGGGCGGGGCCTCCGGGAGGGGCGGGGCCCCGCCGGTCCCGGGGCTGCGCCTGCAGAAGGGAGCCGCGCGGGCACTGAGTGCGGCAAGGCGTTCCTGCGAGCCCGAAGACCCGGGTCAGGTGAGCGTGCGCACTGGGGCCGGGCCCCGCACAGGGAGGGTGCCAGGAGCCCCGGCCACCCCTCCAGCAGGCAGGGGCCGCCTCCTTCCGGCCTGCCTGAGCCGCCCCCACAGCGTGAACGAACCGTTTTAGCTGGGGTACCCTCTCCTAGAAGAGTAGTGAGCTGCTTTGAGTTATTTTCCGTGCTGCGCCTCTGCAGTGGATGACAAGCAAGCCAGCAAAGCTGCTTGCCTTTTGCCATTTTACGATTGGACACGCCTTAAAAGCAAGGTCTTGCTGTACTTGGGAGCAGCCCGTGCAATGTAAGCTCCAAGGCAGGCATCTCAAACTGTCACTTTCAGAGCCCGTGTGTTACGAAAGGACCAGAGCAAACTCAAAATGTAGGGTCCTGTTCAAAACGAAAAAGACGAACAGCTGAGCACCGTGGCCAATCGCAGAACTGGAGAGTCTGAGGCCAGCCTAGACCATATGGCGAGACCCAGACTCACTCAAAAAGCGTTTTCCCCATAAGTAAGGGGATAATAAAATTATTAGTGCAAGTTTTACCATCTTTCTTTATGTTGTGTACTGCCCGTGCATAAGAATTTAATAAGCACCCTGGTGGTGGCGGCACACGCCTTTAATCCCAGCGCTCGGTGTAAGGATTCAGGCATTGCGCTTGCCTACCCCTGTCACCTGGCAGAATCCACCCAGGCAGGACCCTGGGCAGCCTAGGGTTCCATGGTTGTGTAGTCTGCGCGCAGGTGCAAAGGGCCGCTTTAAAAAGAGAGACCCCTGCCCGCTTATGTTCTCTTTCCTGCTGCTCCCCTGGGGCGGATGGCACGTTCACCTCACTCTTTATCCTAACACTCTGGAGGCAGAGACAGGAGAATCTCTGTGAGTTCGAGGCCAGCCTGGTCTACAAAGCTGCACAGAGAAACCCTGTCTCTAAAAACGATTAAAAAACAAAACAAAATAAAACCTAATGAGCATCCAAGCGGGTGGATAGTGAACAGTGAACGCCTTTAGTCCCAGCACTTGGGAGACAGAGGCTGGTGGATCTCTGTCAGTCAAGCCCAGTCTGGTCTACAGAGCAGTTCCAGGAAACAGTCTTAAAAAAAGAAAAGACCGTAATGAGCAGAATTGTGTGGCGTTCACCAGAGAAGACATAGATTAAAGCCATATATAGAAAGACTTCATTAGTAAGTAGGCCAGCAACCAACCGGGTGCTCGGGATCCCAGCATAGCCCTGAGCCTTTCACGGGGTGAGCTCTTAACAAAAAGCCTGTCCTGAGTTGGCATACTCCAGTTAACATAACAGTTAACCAAGCAGAACTACAAAAGCTAAAAAGCAAGTTAGTACATTTAGAGACTGGCTCGGAGCTATGGACTTGGATGGATTAGGCCTTTGTTTTAGTTTTAGCAGGTGGTGCTGTCTGTGTGTTGAGTTTTACAGCCTTAATGGCTCTTCCATCATGGAGTCAGCTGTGCTAAGGGCCCTGTTACAGAATCGCTGAGTTTGGATTTCTGCTCCCTAACTTGTACAAGTTATTTGTCACTGTAGCTGGAGCCATGCACCAAACTAGCTCACTTTCTTTCCGTTCACTTCCTGATCTTGGCACATTTTGCCTGTAATCTGGAGTTCTGCAGCACCGACTATCCGTGGACTCCCAAACATGGCAGGTCTGCCAGGATCAAGTTCTAATGGGACATTACAAACACCTCATCAGGCCACGGTTATAGTGGTGGTGCACACCTTAATTCCCAGCACTCAAGAGGCAGAGGCAGGCCAACCTCTGAGTTCCAGGCCAGCCTGATCCACAGAAGGAGTTCCAGAACAGCCAGGGTTACACAGAGAAGCACTGTCTCAAAACAAACAAACAAAAAACAAAACAAAAAACCCACAGTATTCAGCGGGGGACCAGGTATGATGGAGGACGTACCTTGGCCTTGCTTATGCTTCAGTATCCTGTGAGTTTTCAAGCACAGTTCAAATGGAAAGCTGTGTAGTGTGATGCATGTAGGTCTGTGTGGATGTGGGGCCCTGTGTGACTGACTGACAATGTGCATGGCTGTGAAGCCAGGCATGGGCTTGAACTCACCAGTCTCATCATAAATGCCTAATGGATAACTAATAGAGCACCTGCTGTGTGCAGTATACTTGAAGAGAGGATGAAGCTTAAGCATGACCCGTGCTGTTAGGAGCTGCAGGGTCACTCTGAATATGCCGCTCATTTTGTCAGCGTGGGAGAGGGGCGCACACTGGCTTTACATGGCTGCTTCTCAGTTTGTTGTGGTTGCTCTTATTTGACACAGGTTTCTCTATGAGGCCCTGACTGTTCTAGAACTCAGTATGTAAATCAGGCTGACCTGAAGCTCACAGAGAACCCCCCTGCCCCTGCCTCCTGTCCAGTCAAAAATAGAAATCACAGGACAGCAAGATAACTTAGGAGTTATAAGCATTTCCCACCAAGCCTGACAACCTGAATTTGATCCCTGAGACCTACACAGTGGGAAGAGAACTAACTCCTGCAAGTCGTCCTCTGACCTCCACGTGTGTGCCAGGGCACACATGCACATACATGCACATATTTTTAATGAAACAATTAAAAATAAACCCTGTGCCTAGGAAACCCATGAACCTGGAAAATACTGGAAGAAATTCCAGCCTAGGTAAATAGTGCCATAGCTAAAAGTGGGTACCACTTTCCAACAGTTCCATTCCCAGCACACAGGTCATTGCTTCCCTTTTAAATTCTTGAATGCGCTTTTAATCCTAGCACTGGAAACAGAGCAGGAGGAGCTCTGTGCGCTGGAGGAGTTCCGTTATGTACACAGGATATGGATACCCTGCCTCAAAACAAAAACAAAAGCAACCCATGAGGACTCTGAGGGGCCCACTTTTCTCCTGCTGTGTGACCACTTGCAAACCCACAGGTCAGATTGAGGAGATGTTCCGTTAACCGCATTGAAGACTACCCTGAGAGGCAGAAATGCCCTTCGTAATTTGACTGTCCTATGCCGCGACTGGCTTTGCCTGTCATCCCTCCCTACCTCCTTTCCTTTCCCTGTGTTAGTCTGCTCGCTTATAAACCTCATCTCCTGAACGGGGTGAGGTGTGTCAATACCAATCTTTACATATTTGCATCTGTTTTCTGTAAAATGCTCTTGCTGTACATTTTTGGAAATACAAGATTATAATTGGTTAGGTTATTAGATTGATTTAATGTTAAAAGTATTTACCAAGTAAGTATGTTCATTTGTAAATTAAACATTTGACTTCCAAAATCTAATAATTCCATAGGCTTCCATTTCAATTGGTAACTAAAATAGTCTGTAAAAACGATGGATAAAAGGAATGGTTCAAATGTAAACAAATGAAGTTTGACAACATATCTGGTAATGTAATTTTGTAGACTCGGGAGGGGGGGGGGAAAGTCAACTCCTGTTTTTCTACTATAATTCAGCTTTTGGTATTTTGTTGTTCCTGAGATCTACTTTTGGAATAAAATTTATTCTCCATTTAGAATAATGATAAGAGGGGCTGGAGAGATGGCTCAATGGTTAAGAGCACTAGCTGGTCTTCCAGAGGTCCTGAGTTCAATTCCCAGCAGCCACATGGTGGCTCACAATCATCTATAATGAGGCTGGTGCCCTCCTCTGCCCTGCAGGAATACATGCAGACAGAACACTGTATACATAATAAATAAATAAATAAATAAATAAATAAATAAATAAATAAATAAATAAGAATAATAGTAAGGGTAGTCAGAGGCCAGCAAGATGGCTCGGTGGGTAAAGGTACTTACCATCACAACAGCCTGAGCTCAGTTCGCAGCATCCACACGGTGGGCAGAGAACCAACTCCTGTAAGTTGGCCTCTGGCCTCCACACGTCTGCTGTGCTGTGCACATGCACACAAATAAATAGATGCAATATTAAACCACTTATTTCATCTAAGACAGCTAACTTGTAGTTTACATGTCAAATAGAGAACAGGAAACAAATGGTGTACCGTGTGTTTTCTATACAGATGTAACTGTATAGACTCGTATGAACTATACATTCACGCATGCACACATGTAGTAAACCACTTGTAATTCTCAGCACAGCTTCAAGGCCATATTCTTAGACCCTGTGCTGGAAAAGCCCAGGTTCAACCTGAGTCTCAGTGGGAGATTGCTTTCCGGAGCCCTGGTTTCATCTCAGTCCTGAACAAACGAGACAGAAAGGACAGATTCAGATGCGGTGGTAGGCTGGGCTGCAGCACTCACCTGAGGTCCTGGGTTCTACACACAACCCTGCCAGGAAGGAAGAAGGGAAAGGCAGGAGGACGGGGAGAAAATGGAGAAAGGAAGAGAGGGAGGAGAGTGGGAAAGAGGCCCTCGCCCCCTGCCACGTGGGATGGACATGGTGTGATTGGGGCTCTGGGGCAGCTTGGGGCACTTTGCCCTTCTTACATAATTGAACTCTGAGGATATGGAACCTCAGTGACCTTTGCCTTCATCAAGTAACTGAACTGCACCGTGTGTTTCCAGAACTCTCTGCTGCGTAAGCAACCTTGCTGGGGAAGAAAGAAAATGGCTTGTATTGAGTTTTCTTTTCATGTGCCAAGCCTGGAGGAGCTTGCTGAAGGTAAGCCTTGGGATTTTGCATTTTATTTATTTTTACGTGTGTGGGTGTTTTGCCTGCATGTATGTTTGCTTGCGTAAGGGTGTCAGATCTTGGAGTTACAGGCAGATGTGGGCGTTGGGAGTTGAATCCGGGTCCTCTGGAAGAGCAGCCAGTGCTCTTAACTGCTGAGCCATCTCTCCAGCCTAGCCATGGGATTTTAAGGACTGTACCAGAAAAAAAAATAATAATAATAAAGATTCCTGAGATACTTATGTAGCTAATTACCTATCTGTATCTTATTGAAATGGTACTTTTGATACAGAAATTTCCATTTCAGATCTGTTCAGTACTTTTATTTAAAAAAAAAAACTCCAAAATTCTGTCTCTCAAAAAATAAAAAAAACTTTTATGTTTTATGGTATGTTCTTTATAAGCATTTATATTTACTACTCCATCTGATATTAACAAAATAGAAATTGTTTAATTTCAAGATTCTTAGCATGAAACTGCATATAACACCTTAAAATCCTGTCCTCTGTACATGTTGACATGTATGCATAGTTTTAGATTTCTTGAAAGATGATTATAGATAAATTCAAAATTCATTTTGTTTCCAGCCCTGGCGCTAGCTCCTCCTCTGCTTGTTCCCCTGGAAGTAACCATCATGTGGCTAAAGTGGTCTGGTTCCTGCCACCTTTATTCGGTGACAATTAGCAATTAGCAGAGAGCGGTGTAACATTAACAGTGTTCTTTGAATGTGTAGCCTGCTGGGGCTGCGGAGATGGGTCAGAGGTTAAGGGCACTGGCTGAACTCCAGTGATCCCCAGAACTGTCCCCAGAACTCACATGGCAGCTCACGGTGGTCTGTAATTGTCAGTTCTAGGGGGCTCAGTGCCCTTTGCTGGCCTCCTTTAGCACCAGACACACGGATGGTGCACACACATACATACGGGCAAAACACTCACACATTAAAAGTGAATACATAAATAAAAATAAAAGCAAGATAAATAGTTCACTGTAGATCATTGATCATAGTCCCAAGTATACTTTGCTCTGCCTGCTAGGTCACAGATTGTCTGTGGATATTTCTTTTCTTTTGTTCACTCTTGTTCAACAAGAAGTTAAGGAAGTTCCCCCAATCTAAAGTAGAGAAGAGAAAAGATGGATGATTGCACAAAATGAAGCCGGGAGGTGTGCATTCAAACCTCTGATGCCTCAGGACCTGCCTCTCCTCGATGTAGTTAGGCTCCGTTGTGTGGTAACTTCTGTCTCACAGTGTGCTGTCTGGTAGTTAGCGTGTGTTCTTGAAGAGACTGAGTCAAACATGTACCTGCTTTTTCTGTTGCTTTCTCCTTATACTATCTTTTTGATCCTTAAAAATATGTTGCTCACAGGGCTTGGCTGATGAAGTAGCTCAGTGGGTAAACTTAGGTGCTTGTAGAACAAGCTTGACAACCTGGATTCCATCCCAGGGACCAACTTAGTGAGAGAAGAGAGCCACCTGCCACAAGTTGTCATCTAATCTCTACATGCACCTTAGCCTGCATGTGCATGTGTGTGTGTGTGTGCATGCGTGTGGTGTGTCCATGCATGTGTGCGTGCGTGTGTATGTGTGTGTGCATGTGTGCGTGCATGCGTGTGTGCGTGCATGCATGTGTGTGTGTGTCTGTGCACGCACACAGCCTATAAATACATATATTTCTGTTAAATAGATCGCACTGTAGCAGTCTCTCTTCCTAGCCATAGAAGAGCCTGTCCTTGTTGGCCAAGCTGTCACTCAGTTACTTGATATCAGATTCTAACTTTGACAAGTATCATTCTTCATTGGTAAGGAGCTGCGGGATGCCAGGTTATCAGACATACTTTTATACAGTATTATTAAAATGTCTCTTCAACAGAGTCAGGAAGATCTCTGAGTTCGAGGCCAGCCTGGTCTATGTAATGAGTTCCAGGACAGCCAGGGCTACCTAGTGAGACCCCTGTCTCATAAAAAACAAGCAGAGGGCTAGAGAGATGGCTCAGCCGTTAAAGGCTAGGCTCACAACCAAAAAAAAAAAAAAAAAAAGTAAAAGAAAGTTCTATAAGAAAAAAGCTCTGGAATGTTAAGACATCATGCAGCGTCTGCAGAATGTGAGCACTAGGACTTACGTACGGTGGTTTGAATACTTATGGCCCCCAGAGAAGTGTGCGTGCTTTTGAATGCTTGGCCCATAGAGAGCGCCACTGTTGTGAGGTGTGGCCTTGCTGGAGGAAGTGGGGACAGGCTTCCAGGTCTCAGAAGCTCAAGCCAGTGCTCTGCCTGGTGCCTGTGGATTCGTACTTAGAGCTCTCAGCCCCCTCTCCAGCACCATGTCTGCCTACACGCTTCCTGCCGTGACAGTAATGGACTAAACCTCTAAAACTGTAAGCCAGCCCCAATTAAATGTCACCCGGCACTTGGGAGGCAGAGGCAGGCGGATCTCTGAGTTCGAGACCAGAGTGGTCACCAAGAGCTAGTTCCGGTACAGACTCCAAAAGTACAGAGAAACCCTGTCTCAAAACAACAACAAAAAACTTAAGAAGAGTTGCCATGGTCATGGTATGTCTTCACAGAAATAAAACCCTAACCATTGTAACTGCCATTCAGATCAAAACATATTTATATCCAGCACCCTAGTAGCTCCCTTCCAGTCAGCCTTTCTGTCCCTGGAGGTAACCATGGTCCATCGCCTTTGATACCTGCATTTGGCACTTGAGTCTGGCCGCTGTGGCTTGAGGTCTCGTGTGTTGCTTTTTACCTGCAACACAGCGGCTGCACCTGATCCTCTGGCTGCCTCGGCTGCTGGCTGTGCCTGCGTAGTCTCCCTGGGATAACGCAGCCAGGGGAGCCTTCCCAGCCCCCTGCTCCATCTCAACCACTTCCACCTAGACAGGCAAATGTGGTTTTAACTAGGGCTGTGCTTTTATTTTACCAGTAGAGACTCTGGAGCCAGATGCCAGGCTGAAACCCTGCTAGCTCAGAGAGGCAGAGAGAGCAGCCAGGCGACCTTCGCGACCTTCCTGACCTTCCTGCACTGTCTCCTCAGAAAGAGACTTTTCTCCTGTCCTGTCTGAAACAAAAACTCCTCCAGTCAGTCCCCCCCCCCCCACTTCCTGTGCCTCCCTCCCTCTGGCCGCCTGACTCCTCACCCTCTATGGTTACTTTCCAGCCAATTGCTTGCTTGTCCTGCCTTGATCTATGGTCAGTTTTCTTTAACTGTCACAATTCTGGAGTTACAGTGTGATCTAATATCCTGCAACGCTTGTCTATAACCTCCACTAAATCTGTGGCTTGAAATTCCTTCATTAGGTTTTTGTTTAATTCCCCGGGGACATTAGCCTTTACCTGTGTGCCACTCATTTCCTCATGGCGCAGACAGACAGGCATGGTCCAGACAGACAGACAGGCGTGGTGCTGGAGCAGTAGCTGAGAGCTTTACGTCCAGACCCACAGGCAGAGGCGGAGAGACAGGGTCTGGTAAGCAAGGACTGTTGAAACTTCAAAGGCTGCTCCCAGTGACACGCCTCCTCCAAGAAGGCCACGCCTTCTAATCCTTCTCAAACAGGTCGATCCCTGGTAACTATGGTAACTAAGCATTCCAATAAATGCTCCTGTGGGGGCTGTTCTTCTATAAACCACCGCACCAAGGTTAGTAATGATGGGCATTTACATGGCATAGAATACATTATAGCCTTGATCGTGCCAACAGCCACTTTTATTCATCAGTACGACCACTACTTGATGGTTGTGGTGCAGGCCAGGGGTAGATGATGTGCTTTGTGCTGAAGCCCTGGTGCCATCTCTTTTACTAATTTACTTATTTATTTTTTTCATGACAGAGTTTCTTTGTGTAGAAACTCACTCGGTGGATCAAACTGGTCTTGAACTCAGAGATCCACCTGCCTTTTGCCTCCCTAGTGTAAAGATCAAAGGTGTGCACACCACCTCAGCTCTTTTTTTTTTCAAGACAGGGTTTCTCTGTGTAGCCCTGGCTGTCCTGGAACTCGCTCTGTAGTCCAGACTGGCCTTGAACTCACAGAGATCCGCCTGCCTCTGCCTCCCAAGTGCTGGGATTAAAGGAGTGTGCCACCACACCCAGCTTCCATCCCTCTTTTTGATACCAAGTTTGGGTTGTGAGTCTAAAAAAGAAACTTTGAAGGGAGACTTAGTATATGGTGGCCAAATGTTTGTCTAATGCTAAATAACTCCTTTACATGTCTTTTATTAGTTTTGCAGAAGGGCCTGAAGGCCAACTTTGCTGATGTTCAGGTCTCTGTTGTTGACTGCCCAGATTTAACAAAGGAACCATTTACCTTTCCTGTAAAAGGTATGTAGTCTTTAAAAAAAAAAAAAAATGGTTTTGGCTTTCAGTCAGACTCTTTTTCAGAAGCTCGTATTATTTTCCTCCAAGAATAAAGGCTGTTAAAACTTTCAGGCTCAGTTTGGCTAATTTCTGTGGGTCAGATTGCATTGTGTGCCCTCGTGGGAACAATGTTTCAGGTGTGTTCTTAGTGCTCATAACCCTCTATGCTTTAGTTATGTAACATACTCAGTAGGCTAAGATTTGAGCACATAAGAATGTTGTTTCTAACTTCCCAAATGATTTCCAAAAACTTCTGTTAGGGGGCTGGAAAGATGTCTCAGAAATTAATAGCATTGGCTGTTCTTCCAGAGGTTCTGAGTTCAATTCCCAGCAACCACATGGTGGCTCACAACCATCTATAATGAGTTCTGGTGCCCTCTGTTGGTGTGCAGGCAGATGTGCAGGCAGAACAACAACAACAACAACTTCCTTTAATTATTCAAGCTCAGAACATGTCTTGAGAGGCCTATATTTGGGGGCTGGAAAGATGGCTCACCAGGGGTCTTCTCACATCAGGTAGTTCACAGCTGCCTGTAACTCGAGCTCCAGGGACCCAAAGCCCTCTTCCCGACTCCAAGGGAGTCTGCATTCCCGAGCACATATCCCCACACATACACACATCATATACGTGATTTAAAATTGAGTAAGCCTCTTTTTAGCCTTATATTTGCTTCATCTAGTAAACGTTTGCACCCCTTCAAGGAATTTGCCAAGTTTGAAGTGAGAAGGGAAAGAATTGAATACTTGATTGAGTAAAGCAGTTGGCCTGTGACAGACTGGGTTAGACATACTACGGCAGCCCTCCCAGGAAAGGGCTGGCTCCAGCTCACTGGCAAGAAAACAAGCTTTCGAGAGGCTGGTATACCAGGGTCGGGCATAATCAAAGCCAGATGCAGGTGTGTTCAAAGTTTAACCTCGTCCTCTGGTGATAAAGGATTAAAGGTCTTTGCATTTGTCTGGTAATGGTGTTGGTGGCGCACACTTTTAATCCCAGCACTTGGGAGGCAGAGGCAGGCGGATCTCTGTGAGTTCAAGACCAGCCTGGTCTACAAGAGCTAGTTCCAGGACAGCCAAAGCTACACAGAGAAACCCTGTCTCATAGAACCAATTGAAAAAAAAAAAGCATTTTCTGTTTCTTTTATTATGTTAATTGACATATTTTGTTAAATAGTAATCTGCTTGGAACTCTTAGATGCTAGACCTGCCTCTCATGTGTATGAATTCCATTACCTGGACTAAGTCCCACAGTGTACCACATCCTTAGATACATTAAACAGGGAAGTTCAGCTTCATGTTGGGGGGCGGGGGCTTCTAGTAGTCTGTTATTTTAAACAGGCCAGATGGCAGTCCCTCTCCACACCTTGAGAACATGAGAGACCATCTTTTTTTTTTTTAATTTTTTTAATTTAATTTATTATTTTACATGTGGATCCCAGTTCCCTTTCCCTCCCTCCCTTTTACCCTCTCTGCCCCCTCACATGCACCCTGACCACCCTCCCCCCCCACCCCAATTCCACATGTAGGGCAACGCCATCCAGGTGGGGTCATGTAGGTCTGTCAGGTCACTTGACTAGGACTTCCATGAGAGAGCATCTTAAACACATTTTCTGTGCATTAGTGTTTTGTCTGCAGGTATGACTGCACCTTGTGCATGCCTGGGGTGCCTATGGGGGGCAGAAAAGAGCACACATCCTCGGAGACTGCACTCATGGGCTGGAGATGGTGTGGGTGCTGGGAACTGAACCCAGGTCTTTGGGAAGAGTAGGATCCATGCTCTTGACTGCCGAACCATCTCTCCAGCCCCACTTAAACCCTGGACGAACAAACGAAAATCCCATGAGTCCCTGGGTTCCGGTTTTCTGTTTGGAAAGAGCAGCTTGTTTCTCCAGCTGCCTTTCTCTGTGATGCCTTTTCCAGGGTCTTCCCCTACCTCCTCCTATTTGTGTATCCTCTGAGTTTTTCGTCTAATCTCTAATCTTGCCATTTCATCCAGGATCTAACACCTTTGACCTTGTCTCAACTAGCTCTCTAGGAGTTTTCTGTTGTATGTAGCATATCTCTGCCTAGGGCTCCCTTCTTACCTTTCCTGGACAGCTAAGAGCCCTGTAGGAGTTCCACCAGCCATCAGCATCTCTGTCCCTCAATGCACAGTCTGTGGATAATTTCTGTTCCTCCCAAAACACAGAAGACACCTGTAAGACTTTGCATCCCTCCTCTCTATAACAGCAGGGCGAGGGCGTGTGTTTCAATGATGGATACCCTTGCAAGACTTCCCAAGTAAAAGATAACTTCTACTCTGCTTTCAGAAGTGCCTTCTGGACTTACGCTCTCTCTTTCCCTGGGCAGACAGGACTTGTCCTGTCTCCCTCTTCTCCTCTGTCCCCTGTCTCTGTGTCTCTTTACCTCTTTCCTTCCCCCTTCCCTTCCTAATAAAACTTATTGCTTAACAACAACAAAAAAGGTGCCTTCTTCAAAATTGTGTCCTTCGTTATTACTAAATAATTACTAAAATGCAGGTAGAGGGGCTGGCAAGGGCCCTTGCCATCAAACCTGACAACTGAATCTGATCCCCAGAACCCTATGGTAGAGGGGAGATTCCCACAAGTTGTCCTCTGTCCACCAAACATGCAAAATAAATGTAATGAAGACAAATGTAAGTAGAGGGGTTAGAGAAATGGCTCAGTGGTAGCAGCTCTTGCTGCTCAAGCACGAGGACCCAGGTTCACATCCCCACACCCACATACAAACCTGAAGCAGCCATGCGTGCCTGTGACCCCAGCACTCCAGGGTAGGCACACAAGGTTGCTGGGGTTTGCTCCAGGTTCGCAGAATAAGGTAGAGAGTGACAGAACAAGTCTCTGGCCTCTGCTTGCGGCAAATGTGAAAGTATATGCACATAAACATTTACATATATCGTACATACATACAACACGCTTGGATACACACACGTGAAATCAATCAGTTAGTAAATAAAATGTAGCTGGGTAGTGGCACTCAGGAGGCAGAGGCAGGTGGATCTCTGTGAGTTCAAGGACAGTCTGGTCTACAGAGTTCCAGAACAGCTAGGGCTGTTACACATAGGAACCCTGTCTCAAAAACAACAAACAAACAAAAAAAATGTGTTATAAAACGTAAGGGGAGGACCCGGGGAGGGGACAGCTGAGTGGTAGGGTTTGTTTTTAGCCCTGGGTTCCATACCTCCCACAAAACAACAAAATACCTACACAACTATAGACACACACAAACCCTTCCTAGCACCCAAGGGTTATCTATTTGTATAAACAACTCAAAAACATTTCTCAGCATGGATCTAAAGAACAAAATTCTACCAAAGCAAAAGGTTTTGAAAATTTAAATATACAACTTATGCCAAAAAGAATATTTTTTTTTTTTAAAATGAAAATGCCCTTGGTAAAGGGAGATTTTTAAGGGACTAAGCAGATGAATTCTGGGAATTTCACCCAAAAGTTGGCCCCTGCCTTCTCAATACCACTTGTCAGTGTACCATGAGTCAGCCACCACCCACGTTCAGTGATGTGGGTGACAGTTGAGGCGGGACTGAGCAGGGACCACGTGCATCTTCTCGTCTCTGTTAGTTCCAACGCTGAGATTCTTACACCTGTTCCTAGGAAGTTAGTATCTTCTGGAATCTTATACTTGAATGATATACGTGCCTGCTTCTAAGATGGCTTGTGTTTTTTAGGCATCTGTGGGCAAACTAGAATTGCAGAAGTAGGAGGTGTGCCTTACTTAATGCCTCTTGTAAACAAAACAAAAGTAAGTATATGCTTTTATTCTTTGTATTCACAGACTGTAGAAACTGGGTTGACTCCTGTTTGTCACTAAGGCCACGAGTGAGTGTGGCAGGCAGGCAGGCAGGCAGAGAAGCAGTGGACTGTTGTAAAATATAAATCAGGAAACTGTTATATTGCAGTTTCAATAACTTCTTCATTTTTATAGGTTTATGACCTAAACCAGATTGCAAAAGAAATAAAGCTGCCTGGAGCGTTTATCCTTGGAGCAGGGGCAGGTCCATTTCAGACGCTTGGATTCAATTCTGAGGTCAGTATGTGGATAGTTTTGTTATTATGTTCGTTTGACATTTGAGTTACTCAGTGGCCTGTCAGAATCTACTTTTAGCTGGCGACTCCTACACGTAGTTCTAGCACTTAAGAGGCTGAGGCAGGAGGACTGTGCAAGCTCAAGGCCATCATGGTGAATTCCAAATCTGTCTCAAAGGAAAAAATGAAAGCACCTTCTTTTTGAGGGGATTGTAAGCAGCTGATGACTCTCCAGATTTGGGCGAGTGGGTTCTCCAATTGATGCAATGCTGATGAAGCGCCTACCTTTACTTCCTGGTTTCTTAGGGAACAGGTTAAGCCAAAAAGGTGTGTGTGCATGTGTGTGTGTGTGTGTGTGTGTGTGTGTGTGTGTGTGTGTGTGTGTGTGTACGCGTGCCTGTGTGCATGGTGTGTCCTTGTTTTTTGAGGCAGAATCAGGCTATGTAGCCCAAACACTTATACACACAAAATAAATGACTCTAAAAGAAAATTCAAAACCCGTATTGTAAGATGTATGTGTTAGATTTGCACAGCCGTGACAAAATAGTGGAAATAGTTAAAATGAAACAGGCTGAATTTTCCCGGTTGATTCCCCCTTTGGGGAGATAGAATATGGCAGAGAGGAAGACTTAGTGAAGCGGTGGGGACAGGGGAAGCTCTCCACCGACGGACCATTAATTCGTCTGTTCTTGAAATGGCACCGGGGAATGATCAGGCTGCTCTTGTGTGATTAGATTACAGTTTGAAATAAGGGTAGGGAATGTGCGTCGGGGTAGACCCTTGTCCTGGAATGAATAAAGGCCTGGCTTCAATCTCCAACACCACAAAAATATTGTAAATATGTTGGGAAAGAGACCTGGGGTAAGATTTCTTAAAGTTTTTACTCATTAATAAACTAAAATTGACTTTTTATTTCCAGTTCATGCCAATTGCTCAAACAGCAAGTGAAAACAAACGTCCTGTGAATGGAAGTTACTTTGCCCGAATTAACCCTGGGGATGGCAGTTGCCTGCTGGAGAAGTACAGCCAAAAATACCACGGCTTTGAATGCGCACTATTGGCTAATCTTTTTGCCAGCGAAGGCCAACCTGGCAAGGTGATTATGGCCATCAGAACACAGCATTCTTTATGTCTTCTCAGATAGCAACATTTGAGCGTTCATTTCCCCCCCAATATAGTTCTCCCAGGAAAATCAGATAGGCCAGTGCCAAAGCTCTTCTATAGCCTAATTAATTAAGTAATAAAATATTCAGAACAGTACATGGAAAGACAAAATCCTTTTTAAAATCAAAGTTAAGACTATTACTTAGTAAAGAGGACACTTTCTCAGTAGAAGGTAAGAAGATACCATTCTGGGTGCTGCCCCTTCCATAAAACTATAAGGTGACACCTATGTACAGGTAGCGAATGGGCATTTATTGCAGAGTAGCCAGCATTGTGCTTACAATTGTGGCTAAGGAGAGGCTAGGGAGATCTCGCAGTGGCTGCTGTGCGGACTTAGGTCTTGAAAGAAGAGCCTCTCTAGCTACTTGAGAAATGAAACAGAGTTCTGAAAGGACCCAAGAACGTAGAGAAACCGCGTCCAGGCTACAGGGAGTGGGACCTTGTGAGCATGTCTTCAGCCCTCCTTAACAGAGACGGAGCCCATTATCTGGTGGGTAATCCTCAAACTTTCCCCACCTTGATCTCCAGAGTCCAGGAAAGGACTCAGTTCAAGGACTCGTGGGTAAGATGGTTGGAGTCACGCATAGCGTGTGTGTGTGTGTGTGTGTGTGTGTGAGAGAGAGAGAGAGAGAGAGAGAGAGAGAGAGATTAAGATCACAAGGCCTGAGACACCTCATCTCTAACCTGTGTGTGCAGTAAGATTTATAATGGTACATGTAGGTAGTTGTCAACATAGACTTCTACAGTTTATCACACGTAGGTAGTTGTCTACATAGACTTTTACAGTTTATCACATGTAGGAAGTTGTCTACATAGACTTCTGCAGTTTATCACATGTAGGGAGTTGTCTACATAGACTTCTGCAGTTTATCACATGTAGGGAGTTGTCTACATAGACTTCTGCAGTTTATCACATGTAGGGAGTTGTCTACATAGACTTCTGCAGTTTATCACATGTAGGGAGTTGTCTACATAGACTTCTGCAGTTTATCACATGTAGGGAGTTGTCTACATAGACTTCTGCAGTTTATCACATGTAGGGAGTTGTCTACATAGACTTTTGCAGTTTGTCACATGTAGGGAGTTGTCTACATAGACTTCTGCAGTTTATCACATGTAGGGAGTTGTCTACATAGACTTCTGCAGTTTATCACATGTAGGGAGTTGTCTACATAGACTTCTGCAGTTTATCACATGTAGGGAGTTGTCTACATAGACTTCTGCAGTTTATCACATGTAGGGAGTTGTCTACATAGACTTTTGCAGTTTGTCACATGTAGGGAGTTGTCTACATAGACTTCTGCAGTTTATCACATGTAGGGAGTTGTCTACATAGACTTCTGCAGTTTATCACATGTAGGGAGTTGTCTACATAGACTTCTGCAGTTGATGCGTTTTTGTGCACCACCTCACTGCAGGTCATTGAGGTACAAGCCAAGAGAAGAACGGGACAGCTCAATTTTGTGGCGTGCATGAGGCAGACTCTAGAGAAGCATTATGGAAACAAGCCTGTGGGAATGGGAGGCACCTTCATTGTGCAGAAGGGGAAAGTCAAGGCCCACATCATGGTAAGGGCTGTGCATCTGCCGGCATAGACACAGCTTTTCATGTTTTGGGGTGGGGCAATTTTGCTGTGTAATTCAGGCTAGTCTCAAACTTACTACATATAGTGCATTGGCTTTGGATTAACAAGACTTTTGCCTCAGCCTCCTAGGTGCTACGATTACAGATATATATAATTCATGGTAAAAGTTTTTTTATTTTCACATGATTAACCCCAGTGTCATAGGAATTTTCCCCTTTTTAAAACTCTGACATTTTGGTAGAGTTTTTCCACTTAAAAAAGAAAGAAATCGTTAAGATTTAAATAGCAGCTTGATATGGTAGCTCTTGTCTTTAATCCCAGGACTTGGGAAGCAGAGACAGACAGAGATGCCTAGTGAGAACCTTTAAATAGCAGTTACATTGATTTCCTCTGCTTTGTCTTTTGCCATTTGGTGATCAAACCCAGGACCTCCCTGCCACTTTGCCACAGAGCCACACCCCCAGCAATGATATCTTGTTATTGGTGTTTGCTTTCACGGGTGGGGGTGGGATTCTAGGGACAGAAGCTGAGGCCTTCACCTCGAAGCGAGAAACAGAGCTAAGCCGTCCTCAGCACGTTCTGAGTCTTCCCCAAACACAGTGTACTTTTCCATTCTAATTTCTCCATGTTTTTACTATTGTGCGTGGTGTGTGTGGAGATCAGAGAAGTCTGTCCTCAGGCTGAAAGTTGCCTGCTCTGGAGGCCTGAGATAAGCGTTTAATGCCCAGATCCCACTGAAAGGCAGCAGGAAGAAAGACTGTTTTCCTCTGCCTTCCACATTGACTCTGCGACACACACAACCCCATCATGCACACATACATTAATAACATTTTTTAAAACAGAAAGTTGGGCTTTTTCTTCCATCATAAGTGTCAGGGATCAAATTCAAGTCGCCATGCTTACAGGGTAAGGACTTTTGCCCCATTGAAGGTGACCTGTGTATGGTGTAGAGGTCACCTTCGTCCCTTTGTGTCCCTTTGTGTCCCTTTGCATATGTGTGTGTGCAGTTTTGCCTTTGGTTGGTGTTGGCTCTCTGTTGAAAACTCATTCACCCAGGCAGGAGTTACGGCTCAGTGGTTAAGAACACTTGCTGCTTTTGCAGAGGACCTGGATTCAGTGTCCACCCCCACATTGTGGTTCCCAGCCTTCATTAACTCCAGTTCCAGGGGGACCCAGTGCCATCCTTAGGCTCCATAGGTACCAGGCATGCACGTAGTGCACCCACATACATGCAGGCAAAACATGAAAACGCATAAAAATAAAAATGATTACCTTTTGCCTGTTGAAGCAAATTGCTGGCCCTGTTCTAATTCTTCCAGAAACTTTTGTAGTCTCTATATATCATCTCTCATCTCCTTGTTTAAGCTTATCATAAAGTAATTTATTATCTGTATACCTCTATCAACTTGTAGTGCCTTCTCTCTCTATCCACCATTTGCTCTTCCTGGCAGCAGTTACAAGGTACAGATCAAACTCAGAGGAGCTGGGGCTGTAGCTCAGCAGAGAGGTTGACTAGCATGTGCAAGGCCCTAGGTTTGACCCTAGCACTGGAGAGAAAAAAAAAAAGACAGCGTGGAAGGGTTGGACAGGGAAAACTGGGTAGCTCTGTGATACAGTGCTTGCCTAGAAGGCAGGTGGTCCGGGTTTCAGTCTGCAGAATTGCAGAAGATACATATTTTAGAATGAGGAGGGGCTGGCGCCATGGCTCCGTGGCATAGTACTTGCATAGAGTATCAGCAAGTCCCCAAGTTCAGTTCCCAATATCACAACAAATTAAATTAGATTAAAATCACACAGAAGATAGAAAACATATACAGCAGAAAGACTGAGGATCCATGAAAAGTAAAAGGAGATAGTAATTGCCTTCATTAATTTAGGAGTAAGTTTTAGTTTGTACAAATTGGTTGGCTAGCCTTAAAACTGGGGTATGTAATTAATGCCAAAACCAGTCAGTGAGATGTATAAAATTTACAGTGATATCATATTTTAAAGTTTTTAATTCTCATTTAATATTCAGTGTGATTTCCTGTTTAACAATTTTCACAGCCAGCAGAGTTTTCTTCGTGCCCGTTGAACTCAGATGAAGCTGTCAATAAATGGCTACATTTTTATGAGATGAAGGCTCCCTTGGTTTGTCTGCCAGTTTTTGTCTCCAAAGACCCGGTGAGTCTCCATCTGCCTTATATACTCAGTGCTAATGCTTGGTACACTATTTTGTGAGTGTGTGTGTGTGTGTACATGTGCGCACACACACGCACACACACGTGAACACATGCGCACACGTGTGGGCCCCACACACTACAGCACATGTGTGGAGGTCAGATAACACCTGTGAGAGTCAGTGTTCTCCCACCAAGTGAGTATGCAGAGCAATCTCAGGTTGCCTGGCTTGGTAGCAAGCTCTCTTGCCAGCTGGACCATCTGTGAGCCTCATTTGGGTTTTGTTATTTAAGCATGAGGATAGCCTTGTGGATTATCTCTTGTTTTGTGGGGTTTGGGGGGTTGTTGAGACAGGGACTCTCTCCACAGCCTAGGCGGTCCCAGTCCACCTGCCGGCCGCTGACCCTCAAGTGCTGGGATTAAAGGCATGCACCATCACACCTGACTTTTTTTTTTTTTTTTTTTTAATTTCTGACCTCATGGTTCAATCCAGGTCACAGCCAACTCCTTATGTAGCCGAGGATGACCTAGAATTTCTCGTCCTCCTGCCTACATCTGCCTCCAATGCTGAGGCTTCAGGCATACGTCACCATGCCCAGTTTATGGGAACTGTCCTAAAGCGAGGGAATGTGTGGCTTTCTACCTGAGCATCAGGCAGAGCAGACTTTACCTTCAAGAGAGTAAAAGAAGGAGAGAATTTTAAATTACACAGAAGTTGTTCTATTAAATAATAAAAGAGCTGGGCACATGACTTTAATCCCAGAACTCCCTAGGATCTCAGATCCAGGCCAGCCTGGACAAAGTGAGACACAGTCTTAAAAAAGACAATAAATAGGCAAAGCAATATAGAGAAACCCTGTCTCGAAAAACCGAGAGAGAGAGAGAGAGAGAGAGAGAGAGAGAGAGAGAGAGGAAAGAGAGAGAGAGGAGAGACAGAATAAATAATAATAGAGCACAAGATTTATGTCTCCTCCCTTTGTGTTTAGTTCATCATATTCTAATGCTACAGACTTGAAAAAATGTACTGTCAAGCCAGTTCAAAGAAACTGGCTGCCAAAATAGTGATGGGTAGGCCTTTGGAGCAGTGACTGTTAGATTATCTTTACAAGACTGTGACATGATCAGTTAAAAGACTGCCAGTGACATTTTGTAGTAGTAGAAATATTGTAAATGTGTCTGTTGACACACTGAGTCCTTGAGCAGAATGCCCGAGTATCAAAGCCAAAGCATTTAAGTTCTCAGAGGCAGAGATTTTGTAAAGAAAAAAAACCCCTAAATTTTATTACTTTTATGTATATGGATGTTTTGCATACATGTATGTCTGTGTACCATGTGTGTGCCTGGTGTCCCGGAAGCTATAAGAGGGTGTCATACTCCCTGGAACTGTGTTACAGATGGTTACAGCTGCCATGTGGGTACTGAGAATTGTACCGGGGTCCTCTGGAGGAGCAGCCAGTGCTCTTAACCGCTAAGGCATCTCCCCAGTCCCCTATGCAAATTTTTAAATAAGCTAGAGTTGAATAAAAATGTTAAAGTCTTCCCAGAAGGACATATAGGAAAGGAAAGAAGGAAAACAGGGAAGTTACACTTTAGTGACGACGCTGAGTACCCTCCTGCATCCTGCATCCTCTCGTCATGTGACTCCATTGCTTTACCTAAACACCCGCCAGCTGGAGATGTAGCTCAGTAACAGAGCCCTCGCCTGGTGTGCATGAGACCTGGATTCAAGCATCAGCACTACAAAAAGACTTAATTGTAGGTTTAGTGACAGGCCCCTGTGATCTGTCACTCAGGAGATACAGGTAGGAAGATTGCGAGTTCAAAGCTAGTCTCAGCCACATATTAAGTTCCCATCTCAAAGAAAAATAATTTTAAAAGGCTTTTAAAAAGTAACAAAAGACTTTTCCTTAAATACACTGTAGTCAAGATGATTTTAATCCATACTAACGAGACTGCCTGTTATCCTAGGGGCTTGACTTGAGACTGGAACACACTCATTTCTTCAGCCATCACGGAGAAGGAGGGCATTACCACTACGATACTACCCCAGACACAGTGGAGTATCATGGCTACTTCACACCTGCACAGTTCCTCTATCGAATTGATCAGCCCAAAGAGACCCATGCGTTTGGGAGAGATTAAAGCGGCCGATGCTTGCTTAGAAGAAGAAATAATTAGCTAAGGTAGAATCACTAACGCAGCAACTGATACTAATTCCAAAACCCAGTACAGGGACAGGGAGAGCGCTTCCCTAGCAAGCCAACCCCAGCTGAATCCCCAGCACAGAAGGGACAGTGCAGGCAATGTGTGGCATCTGAAGCGCAAGGGTATGGGTTCGTGACGTTCATATCTTGCATCTTCATGTGAAGGAGGTTATTGGGAACAAAGACAGCTAATTAGGCATACCTCTTGGTCCTTAAACCTCACCTTACGCCAGGGCCCCAACAGGGACTTAGCGGGATGATGGGGAAGATGTGGGAAGATGTGAGAACCCTGAGACCTGCTTGTTACTTTTCCCAATGTGACTACATCCAAGAAATCTTTTCATGCTTTTCAAAACAATGGCACTATGGCTGTGTAATGGTGGTTAGTGCGTGGTGATGGTTAGAAAACTCCGTGATGCTCTGCACTATAGAACCCGTGATCATGATCCAGAAATCAACTCTCCAACCTGGATAACATTGACGAGGGGAGGGTTCAGGAACGCCCTGGAATTAAGCCGTAAATGTTCTGATTCTTTATAATGCACGTGTTTTGCGAGTTTAAATTCCCAAATTATTTTCAAATAAACATGATTTTGAGGCAAAACTGAATAAAATCATATTTAATATGATATCGTTTCTTTTTAGTATTTTGCCTACACAAAAATATTATTCTTTTTAAAATGTTATGCTACATGTGTGCATGTCCTCATGTGTGGGTACATGTGAGTGCATGTGCTATGGAGGCCAGAGGTTACGCCCAGTATCTTTGATAGTGAGGTTTGCTGAATCAAAGCTTGCTGACTGAGCTAGGCTAACTAGTGAGAGCACTGGGATTACAATGCGCTCACACCCACCTGGCTGCTTTTAAAGTGGGTTCTGGGGATCCAGACTGCAGTGCAGCTCACTCATGCAACAAGGACTTTATCCCTTTATCTCCGCAGCCCAGTGTCCGGCCACCATGTTACTTCCCTGGCCATCATTGTAGCACAGGGCCAAAATAAGCATTCAATAAAGAATTGTTGGCTGACTGCAGGATTGTGCCAGAGGTCACTAGACCCTGGGATATGTTTAGCTGGAGAAAATCAAACATATAATGTGTTTGAAATGTGGTATTAATATGTGAAGGGAAATACAGCAGGGTGTAAAGAGAATTGTGTTTCCTCGTGGGGTCCCATGCTGAGAGGATGGATTCATTTCTGTAATTTGGTTCGAATATCAAGACTAATGAAATCAGATATAACCCTGATGTAATGAAGGTTTCTAGCGCTGGAGAGATGGCCCAGAGTTTAAGAGCACTGGCTGCTCTTCCAGAGGACCTGAGCTCATTTCCTATCAACCAGCTCACAAATGACTAACTCCAGCTCCAGAGATTCCAGTGCTGTCTTCCGACCTCCCTGGGTACCTGTGCATGCATTCAGGAGCACACGATCTCTCTCTCTCTCTCTCTCTCTCACACACACACACACACACACTCTCTCTCACACACACACACCACACCACACCCCTCTGCTGTGATAGGACTGCCACAGAGTTAAGTCTAACCAGGAAGAACAAATACTCATTGTCCTCGAGCTGGCTGAATGCTCTCTGCTCTACCTGGATGGAAATCCAAGGAAGGCAGGCTTGTTAAATGTTGATCTTCCCTCAGTGTGACAGTAGTGGGGTTGGGGACACTGTCAAATGGCACTCTCTTTTCTTTATGCCCTGCCCACTCTAAGAACTTCCCGACATCTTCAGCTGTCCATGCCATGGCCAGAACTACTTGGGGCATGCTAGAACAGTGTTTGGGAGTCAGGGCACCTAGAAGGCTGCTCGGGCTCTGGACATCTTCTCCAGCAGATGAAATCTCCAGACTTCAGTGGCTGCACCAGCACCACCGGGGCCCTCTGGCCTGTGACACTGCCCGTATTAAGGCTTCTGCAGTCTACAGCTCCTTCAGCTGTCTTCAGCTGTGCCAAAGCCTCCATCTACACTTAATCTTGGGAAGCAAGGGCCGGAAGACGTACGAATGATTACCAGGCAAGGCCCAGCGTCAGATTCAAAGTGGTATCGATGGCCAACCTGATCTGCAGAGTAAGTTCCGAGACAGCCAGAGCTACACAGAGAAACCCTGTCCCCTCCCCAAAAAAAAACCAACAAAATAACAACAAAGGCAATGGGCATTAGCAGGGGGCTTCGCACCGGCCAGGCTGTAAGCCGCAGTGGCCAACCTGCCAAGGCCCCTTGCTTTTTCCAGTGCAGCCTGCATCACTGAGTTAGCAGGGGAAGGCCGCCCAGCAAAAGGCGTACTGGACCTGACATCGCACCATGAAGAGTGCAGCTTGGCAGCGCGCGGAGGAGCCAGCCCACACAGCGCAACAGCACTCGTTTCAATTAGCAGATCAATCGAGTCCACAGGAAAGAAGCCAGCGGCCAGGCAAGCAGCCAGCCCGCCTTCCCCGCAGCCGCCGCGGCCCCGCCAGCCGGAAGCGCCCGCCTCCCCGGCGCAGCGCACCGGAAGTGTCCGGGCAGCTGGCCCTCCACGCCCGCTCGAACTGTTCCGCGGGACGCGGCGCGGAGCCTCGTGGGGAAGCGTTTAGCGGCTGGCTTCCGTGTCGGCGGCAGCGAGCGGCTGGCGCCTTGTGCGGCGCCCGGTGCCCCGCGTCTCGGCCGTGTGGTGTGCGCTCCGCAGGCCGCTGCCAGCATGTCGGGCGTGCGAGCCGTGCGCATCAGCATCGAGTCGGCCTGCGAGAAGCAGGTGCAGGAGGTGGGCCTCGATGGCACCGAGACCTACCTGCAGCCGCTGTCCATGTCCCAGAACCTGGCGCGCCTGGCGCAGCGCATCGACTTCAGCCAGGGCTCGGGCTCCGAGGAGGAGGAGGCGGCGGGGCCCGACGGCGACGCGCAGGACTGGGCTGGCGCCGGGGCGGAGCAGGACGACGACGAGGGTGAGGCTTCGCCCTGGCTGCGCCGCTCTGCCCGGCTCTGTCTGCTCCGCTCTGCCCGGCTCTGTGTGCTCTGCCCGGCTCTGTGTGCTCTGCCCGGCTCTGTCTGCTCTGCCCGGCTCTGTCTGCTCCTCTCTGCCCGGCTCTGTCTGCCCGGCTCTGTCTGCTCTGCCCGGCTCTGTCTGCTCTGCTCCTCTCTGTCCCGCTCTGCCCGGCTCTGTCTGCTCTGCCCGGCTCTGTCTGCTCTGCTCCTCTCTGTCCCGCTCTGCCCGGCTCTGTCTGCTCTGCCCGGCTCTGTCTGCTCTGCCCGGCTCTGTCTGCTCCTCTCTGCCCGGCTCTGTCTGCCCGGCTCTGTCTGCTCTGCCCGGCTCTGTCTGCTCTGCTCCTCTCTGTCCCGCTCTGCCCGGCTCTGTCTGCTCTGCCCGGCTCTGTCTGCTCTGCTCCTCTCTGTCCCGCTCTGCCCGGCTCTGTCTGCTCTGCCCGGCTCTGTCTGCTCTGCTCCTCTCTGTCCCGCTCTGCCCGGCTCTGTCTGCTCTGCCCGGCTCTGTCTGCTCTGCCCGGCTCTGTCTGCGCTGCCCTGCTCTGCTCTGCCCGGCTCTGTCTGCTCTGCCCCGCTCCGCGTTGCTCTGCTCTGCACCCAGGGTCTGCAGCCTGTCACTTTGCTGCTCTGCCTGTGGGTGAGGAGCAGCAGCTGTCACTGCAAAGGCCTGTGTTGACGGCACTGGGAAGGCCGACCTAGTCCGCACTCGGTCGCGTGCAGCCTAGCAGGCTAGGAGAAGCATTCGGCTTTTTTTTTTTTTTTTTTTTTTTTTTTTTTTTTTTAATTAGAACATCTAAAAGCTTTGCGGGGATTTTAGGTGGAGACGGGCGATTCTTAAAGATGACCTCGGAAACTTTGAGGTGAATGAGTTACAGGGAAACAGAACTGAAAGAGGAATTTGGAGAAGCAACCAGACTGGATTTTAGATTCTCCTTATTATCAGAAAATTAAAAAACAAAACAAAAAAAAAAAAAACCACAGTTCTTGATTTAGTGATGCTACAGGACCGATTTAAGCGGGGATGCTCGTGTAGAGTGTGGTAGTATAGGCTTGTATTCCTAGCACCCGCCAGGCAGAGGCTGTTAGATTTCTAAATGGTCACAACAGCCTGACCTAAACCGTCTCAATAAGAAAAAGAAAAAAACCTTAATTTTTCTTAAGCTTTGTAGAAAAATGCAATATTGTTCTTATCCCGTGTTAGAAGGGTAGATCAGCTCAGCAGTTGTGGATCTCATTTGATCCACTAAATCCCCCACTTACAGAAAGAACTATACAGCGCAAGGATGTGTTGACCTGTGTATGACATCCCTCCAGGTGTCCAGATGTCCTATGGCAGCAGGTTTCAGGGTCACCGCCCCCTTGGTCATATACCAGATACATACATTAGGAACATAACAGCAGCACAATTACAGTTATGAAATAGCAATGATGTAATTTTACGGTTGGGGGTCATCACAACATGAGGAGCTGTATTAAAGGGTGGCAGCATTAGGAAGGTTGAGAACCTCTGTCCTACGGTGTGCGGAAGAATGCGTGGGTCCTGTAGGCTAGCGTGAGGTGTCTCTAGGCCATAGCAAAGGAAGGAAAGCGTAAGTGACAGGACAGTGGGGGTGTATGTGTGTAAATTAGCAGAAAGACCTTTGGAAGGGTTTGCCCCAACTGCTAATAATGGGTATGTCTGCGAACGGAGCAGAATCGGGCCTGGGAATAAAGGAAGATTGACTGTCACCCCCCTGGTGCTTTCGCCTCTTTGAGCTGGGATTCTGTACCATGAGCATGTGTTAAAAGTAGTTAGGTGGGAAATACGCTCTTACAGCCAACAGCAATGCTGCTGTTATAGGCTTCGCCTGGCTTTGCTGTGTCTTGTTTTTCAGTGTAGAAATCCACTACAGTTATTCAAGTTGCAATGCTGAAAGGAGACAGGTTGTTTGAAACACTTGTGTTGGGCTGGGGGGGGGGGGTGTAGTTCGGTGCTCATCTGCATGAATGAAGCCTAGGTTCAAAAAGATGTTTGAGTGTCTCCCTAAGATACAATGACAGATTTGTCCCTTGGAGATCAGACTGCATTTGTTTTGCCATAGAAGGAATGCTGTGCTAAGTGTTAGCAGTTCAAGATAGGGTGGAGGAGAAGGAGATGAAAGGGACAGCCTGGAAGAAAACGCACTTCTTTTCATATTACAAAGGAAGTTATTTAAACTCATTTTATTTGCATTGGTGTGAAGGTGTCAGAGCCCCTGGAACTGGAGTTACAGACAGTTGTGAGCTGCCATGTGGAGGCTGGGAATCGAACTGGGTCCTCTGGAAGAGCAGGCAGTGCTCTTCGACGAGCCATCTCTCCAGCCCCCCTTTCTGTACTTTTAAATCTCTAATAAATGTGCCTTCTTCTTTCATTCGCTGTAACCAGCACACATATGTTTTGTTTTCCCTTTCTGTTTTTCAGGGTTGGTAAAATTCCAGCCTTCTCTGTGGCCTTGGGACTCCGTGAGGAACAATCTGCGAAGTGCCCTCACAGAGATGTGTGTTCTCTATGATGTCCTCAGTATTGTCAGGGACAAAAAGTTCATGACCCTGGACCCCGTCTCTCAGGATGCGCTTCCTCCCAAACAGGTACATGTGGCATTTGGCCAAACAGTTTCTCTCTTTAAGTCTCAGGATCAACATGTGCATTTTGCTCCCTTTTATTTTATTTTTCCTCTTCCCCCCCCCCCTCCCTCTCTCTCTCGTTTTGGTTTTGTTTTTCCTAACAGGGCTTCTCTGTCTAGCATTGGAACCTGTCCTGGAAATCGATTTGTAAATCAGGCTGGCCTTGAACTCACAGAAACCGCCTGCCTCTGCCTCCTGAGTGCTGGGATTAAAGGCGGGCACCACCACCACCCGGCTCCTTGTATTTTCTTAAAAAATTAAATCCACAAGCTAGAGAGTTGGCTTAATGATTAAGAGCACATGTTGTTTCGGGTAACCAGACTTCAATACTAGCACCCATATCAAGCAGCTCCAACTGCAGGGTTTCTGACAACCCTCTGACCTCTCCACACGGAGACACACATGCTCACATAATGAAGTAACGTTATTTTTAAGAAAGAAGAATTAAGTCCAGGTGGAGCTGCAAGGACTGGATGCTTCACAGATGAGGAGCATCTTTGAATCAGGCTCCTTTAAGTAGAATGATTGGCCTCTCCTTCCGGAGTACCAGCCAGCCTGAGCCACCTTAGCGAACTGGTGAGGTCAGTTGAGGTTGGGGTATTTAGAGCAGTGTGGTTGTAGAAAGAAGACTGTGGCCTTTTTATGAAACTGTGCGTGCGTGCGTGAGTGTGAGAAAAGCTGCACTTAGTAGACTATATCTGGAATGTTGCTACTCAATGAAACACACAGCTGGTCCTTGTGGCACACACAGTCTCAGGTCAGTTTTCAACACCCGTGGCCAGAGAGTGTAGTTAGCATGGTGCTGTGTGTCGTGTCTGACACCAGCCACGACTTCAAGTGTACTTCAGTAGGTTGTGGTAAGTTTAAAGTGCGTCCACAAGAGGCATCCACGTGGTCCTATGTCGGTTACTGTAAGCTGGGCGTTGATGCACGCCACGTTGGTGGTTCCTATACATAGGTTATGTACGCGGGGATCTGATTTTTAATGTAAAGTGAGAAAGCTGTGGCCTGGAGGAAGTAGATAGAGGCTGTGAATAAGGACAGGGCCCTGGCCTAGGTGTCCCGCGTAGAGCATCGCTGAGCCTTAGTTTCTAGGCCACTGTGATGGTTTTGACTTAAGACCTTTTTATAAGTTGGCTAAGAAACGGTCACTTCTGTTTTATGAAAGGTTTTGCGAGGGAAGAGTTGTGTGTTTTTCAGTTCTTGGTGTTTGTTATTTCACCACCCACTCGTTTTCTTCCACATTTGTGCATTTTATTTTTGTGCTTTGTTCGTGTGTGTGCACATGGTTGGAGGGTGTAGAGGACAGAGGTTACTTGGGTGTCTTCCTCAATTGCTCTCTGAATTGCTATATTTTTTGAGTCAGTTTCTTTTTCTGAATGTAAAATTTACCGGTTGGCTAGATTGAGAGGCCAGCAAGCCTCTAGATTGTCCTTCCTCCGTGGGACTGGGGTTACAGGTGCATATAGATGTGCTGGCCTTTATGTGAGTGCTGGTGCTGGAAGTCAGCAGGCCCTCACGCTTGCATGGCAAGCCCTTTGCTAACCCAAACTTCTTCCTCTCTGTTTCTGTTGGTTTGTTTTAATTAAAAAGTCCGTGCCTGAGAAAGTCTGTAGTTTTGAAGTTATCTGAGAGAATTTGGAGCTCCAGTTTTGGATAGGAAACATGCTGGCTTGTTTTTGGTAGAGTCCTCAGACCCTGCAGCTGATCTCTAAGAAGAAGTCCCTTGCTGGAGCAGCTCAAATCCTCCTGAAGGGGGCAGAAAGGCTGACCAAGTCAGTGACCGAGAACCAGGAAAACAAGCTCCAGCGAGACTTCAACTCTGAGCTCTTGAGACTACGGCAGCATTGGAAGCTGAGGAAGGTCGGAGACAAGATCCTGGGCGACCTGAGCTACAGAAGCGCAGGTACAGATCCGTGATCATAGAAACTGCTTTTTGTGAGCCAGAGGGCTCAACAACTACTCTTGGGATCGTTTCTTAGCTTCCTGATGTACAGTGGTATTTCATGTCTTTACCTATAAACCAAAACATTCTTGGCAGGGCCTGGTGTTGAACACCTGGAGGCTGAGGTGAGAGGGTCAAGAGTTCAAGGCCTTATCTTAAAAACCTCACACAGACAGGTCTTACTATAGTCCTACAATAAACAGCCTACCATCAGTTTGAAAACCTTCTAGATGGGCTTAGGAGGGAGTTCAAAGATGGAATGTTCATAGTTCAGAGCTCAATGGGAAATGGCCGAGCATTCCTGCTGGGAGCTGGAGAACAGTGGTGGGAATGTGCTCGGGTCAGGCCATTATTAAAACACAGCCGGTCTAGGTCAGTGCCCCAGCTCCAATGTGAATCCACTGCAGGATGAATCGGTGGTTTCTGGTTTTAGACACTGTAAGTTCTTTCCCCCAAAACAATTATGGGCAAATACTTAACTTCTCCTCAGGGCTGTCCTTTGAGATTATAGGAGAATTTAGTTGCATTCTTTAACTGCAGGAAGACCCTGAATGTCTTCCCTTGCTAGATGGGCATTGGACCTAGGCATGGACTCCTAACGTAGTAGTTACTTAGACTTTGACCTGCACAGAGGGAGCTGCTTCACATTAGCAGAGAGGAACTGTGAAAATAGTAAGTAAGCACTGTTGATCTGTCTTTCTGAGCTGAATTCAGATCTAAGGAGGGAACTCATAGAAGCATGGTCATTTCATCAAAACCCCATTGGAGGCCTGTGGAGGTCAGGTTGCCCTGGGGCCTTAAGACAGGTGCCGGTGTGGTGCCACCATGTGTGCATAGTATTATTTTGTGGTTGTTTGGTTTTATTTTGACAGGTGATCTCATTGTGAAGCTCTGGCTGGCCTGGAATTAACTATGTAGACCAGGCTGGCTTCCAGCTGAGATTTACCGGCCTCTGCCTCTCTTCTCCATTTTTTGTTTGGCTCACCAGACCCCCCTGTCTCCCCGCATGCGTATTTCTAGTAGAAGAAATTCATGCTTTAGTGGCGTGGGCGTGGCAAATTATATTTGACAGTTGTGTTAAGTTAATGTGCTGTGTTAATTGTTTTAATCTTCAATTAGGTTCTCTCTTTCCCCATCATGGCACCTTTGAAGTGATTAAGAACACAGACATTGATTTGGATAAAAAGATACCAGAAGATTACTGTCCCCTGGATGTCCAGATTCCCAGTGATTTAGAGGGGTCTGCATACATCAAGGTGCCGAGTAGAGTCTTTTTCAAGTAATTTCTTGCCAGTTACCCTGAAGCAACTTTGCTAACATTTTTCATGTTTTCCAGGTTTCTATTCAAAAACAAGCTCCAGACATTGGTGATCTTGGCACAGTAAACCTCTTTAAGAGACCATTGCCTAAATCCAAGCCAGGTATGTCATCATGTCTCACTGCCTGCAAGCCAAATAGAGAGAGAGAAGACAAGAGACCTTTGGTGTGAAAAGAATAGAAAGCGTAGCTTCAAAAGCAGAGTTGGTGACTATTGAAGACTATGAAGCATTGAGAGTTGAGAGGAAGGTGCTCAGAAAGACACCCCAGAGCACTGATGTGGGTTTCTCAAAGAGCTGTCATGTTTTGGCTTCTTGACGTAATCTTTGATTTATAATCCTTCTGCTTCTTATGTGCTGGAATTACAGGCATGAAGTACCATGCTTGCTTCTGAAAGTAAACTTCTCATCATTTATAAATAAACCACTAGTGAGTAGCTATGTGCTTTTTGTAGATTGAACTGTATTAGTTGTCTCTGTAAAAGAAGTAAGATTTTTCAACCCATCCAAGGCTCCGGGAATATGGAGAAAATGGAGACAGAAGGAATGTAGGCGGCGGAGGCGGGGAGGAGCCCTGGGAAGCAGGGTGTCCTGGGTGGGGCACAGCCATTACACATGAGCCCTCTGTGGCTGTGGTTCCCTACTGCGGACTCGTACAGCACTGGGTCCTCACCATTTCACTACTGGTGGTGGAGGCGCTCGTGAGACCCCACATCCTTGCTGAGGGACTGTAGGCGGCTAATGTCTCCAGGCAGGGTGCATTATTTTCCTCAGTGGTGTCGTGCTGGGTCCCTGCAGGCTTTACCGCCAGCAGCAAAACACCCAGGTGAGGTGAGTAGGAAACGTGGTTTGTCTTGGGGTCTGTCACCAGGTCATTTATTCTCACCATATTTAAGCACAGCACAATTTTGGAAAAACGTTTTCTGATAACAATGAACTCCTTCCTCTTGAGTACAACAAAGCTTAAGACATGTTCGCATTGAGACTCTTACAGAGTTCCCCTGGCTCAAGATAAAGGTCTAGGGTGTGTGGCCAGTGGGTGTCGGAACTGGGCCGGCCCTGAGATAACATAGAAGTCACTTAGGCTGCTGTAAAGTACAAGTGCATCCCCGTAAGGCTGACTATGGACTGACAGCAGTGCTCAAGATGAGAGGGCCACAGGCTGTAAAAGTACACCCTTACTTACCCAGGAAGGCGGGCAAACATGTCCTTCCTTTGAACAGGCCAGCCTGTGTCTTTGCTTTTCCTGGCTTCTCCAGAGCTTATCTGTGTGTGCAGGCACCTGGTCTCCTCTACAGCGTAGCCACGATTTATTGTCTATATTCCTGTAAGTAATCTCATGCTTAGTAATCTCAATTCCTTTCCTCTAAATCATCTCACATTATGCTCACAACAGCCACAAACTAGCTCGCTCTCTCTCTCTCTCTCTCTCTCTCTCTCTCTCTCTCTCTCTCTCTCTCTCTCTCACACACACACACACACACACACTTGGGGGAAGAGTTAGAGTAGGAGAGGTAAGGAATAAGAGACGAAACTAAAGTTTGTCAAAAAAAAAATCAAGTGAGATTTTATGTTGGAGAAGAGTCTGTACCGGCATTGTGAACCTTTGATTATGGACTAATGCTATCTTTCGTGCTGCTGTGTACACAGCTACACAGTGGAATTATGTATGCCTTCTTGTTTCAGGCTCCCCACATTGGCAGACGAAATTAGAAGCAGCACAAAACGTTCTTCTTTGTAAAGAAATTTTTGCACAGCTTTCTCGGGAAGCTGTTCAGATCAAGTCTCAGATTCCTCACATTGTGGTGAAGAACCAGATCATCTCTCAGCCGTTCCCAAGTAAGAGCAGCCAGCCTGCTGAGGCCCGCAAACAGGCCTTTGTGGTGTGGGTGTGCTGCGAGAGTGTTTGCAGGAGGCCACACTGTGTCACGGTGGCCAGTAAAGCTGGGTCCCTTCTGTGTCCTGAGGGCATCTTGGGCTTTCACAGTGTGTTGAAAACGTGTGGTGCTGTGGCTTCAGACAGCGGTAGCTGCTACCAGGTAGCGTTTTCTTTCAAGGATGCTGCCTTTTCTAAACGAGGTACCAATTTAAAAATACTTTGAATATTCCTCATTTGTAGTAATGAGAACTTTGTTCAGAAGCAGTCAGCTTTAACCCAGAAATCCATTGTCATTAGCTACACACTAGGTTTAGGCAGTGGTTCTCAACCCTTTTGGGTTTCATGTTAGGTATTTGTGTTACAAATCTTAACAGTAGCCAAATTACAGTTATGAAACAGCAATGATATAATTTTATGGTTGTGGTCACCACAACATGAGGAACTGTATTAAAGGGCCACAGCATTAAGAAGGTTGAGAACCACTGGTTTAGGGTTAGACGTGGACATTTTTCCGCTGTGGGTGGAGCAGGGAAGGGAAGAGACCCTGGTAAAGCCAGGCAGACTCCATGTTGAAATAGAACTAGAAAGGCTTTTTTTAAGAGTCTGTGTGTGTGAAAAGAATAGCATTGTCCCCAGTCTTCAGCTGCAGCCGCAATGCACTGGAGTGTGTGGGATTACCCTTGTCCAAGCCTGTTCTAGTTTGTCACTGGAGTGGAGGCGCTCGGAGGCGCTCGCATGAGGCATGTTGAGAGGACCTTGAGAGCGCGCTTTGGGAAGTTAGTGTCTTGTCAGCTCCTGGCTTATCTGCGCCATCCTGCCTCTCTGTGCACAGGCCTGCAGCTGTCCATTTCCCTGTGCCACTCCTCAAATGATAAGAAGTCCCAGAAGTGTGCCACGGAGAAGCCAGGCCCGGAGGACCACCTCTATGTCCTGGAGCACAACTTGCACCTCCTGATCAGAGAGGTAACAAGTCAAGTGCAGCTCTACAGTGTGAGCGGACCTGAGCGATCCCCCCCTCCCCAGAGTCAGTAACCTGTGAAAGAGCCCGCCGTGTGCCAGCGGATTCCGAGATAAGCCGTGCACATCCTTGCGCCTAGAATATCATGTAGCACCAGAGGTGCAGGGCAGATTGTGGAGTTAGCGTGGGAAGAGTGTGCCCCTGGGCAGAGAAAGGGTGGTCTGGTGGGGAGGCCTGGGCTGCACGGTAATGTCTTGTCTAGGACCGATGATTGACTTAAAGAGTGCTTCATAATTTAAAACCTTTAAGATGACAACTACAGCTCAAAGCAACCTTCCTCTTTAGAGACTTGAGTCATGCCCTTGGCCACTCAGTGCCTTCATCTCTGTATGAAGATGATGATGATTTGAGGGCAGGGTCTCACTGTGTATGTAGTCCAGGCTCACCTGTGCCAACCTATGTAGACCAGGCTGGCGTCTGCCCCGAGTACTCAAATAAAAGTATTGCTACTATGTCAGGGAGGATTACTTTCTATTTATTACTTAACTTTATTTCCAAAACTTTGAGGCAAGCTTTGATTAAACACTTTTGTCATATTTATTACTGAGTGCTGGCTATTAAAGTGGCTTTTTTTTTTTTTTTTTTTTTTTGTCAGTTTCATAAACAGACCTTGAGTTCCATTGTGATGCCTCACCCGGCAAGTGCTCCTTTTGGCCACAAGAGAATGAGACTTTCAGGTCCTCAAGCTTTTGATAAAAATGAAATTAATTCAATACAATCCACAGAGGGACTCCTAGAAAAAATCATTAAACAAGCCAAGCATATTTTTCTGAGGAGCAGGTAAGAATGAAGAAAGTTACTGCTTTTCTGTGACATTGAGTCCCTTTCTCTTTGATGTATGTTAATTCTGAGCGTATGTGAGGTCCTTTCTCCTGGGGAGACAGCGGCTGAGAGTAAGATTGAGGCGATAGACTGGGCCCTCTCCAGCATGGGGACAGAGCCCGCCACTGGCTGAATGCCCCCTTTGAACACTTGGCTGACAGCCAGCCAGGAAAGCGGCTTTCCTCCTGGCTGTGAGTTTTGTTTGGCAGCCTGTCCCTGAGGCCCGTGTTCTGACATGTTAATTGTTACTGGGGGCAAACAGCATGAGAGCTGTTTTCACCGATGGGCTGGTCGAGGCTTTGATAACTTAGTGAATTTGCTCGGAGCTACACAGCTAAAGGTAACAGCTAGGGTGTCAGCCAGGTTGTGATGGGCCAAACATGTTGTCCTTTCTCTGTTTTGAGAAGGGTTTCACTGTGCGGCCCTGGCCTTGAACTGGCAGCATTAGAGGTGCTGGCACACCCGGCTTCGGTGTCCTCTTTGTGCAGGTATTTGCAGGATGGACGGGTGTGATGAGAGGAGGTGCTGCCTGTTGGTGTTAAGGCCTGCCCTCCCTCTCATTACTGTAGCTGGTGGAGAAGTCTGTTTCTCCTCGATGACCGTTCTGTGGCACTGCCGCTTGACAGGTGACACTGCTGATGGGCATCTGGATGCTTCAGGGTCTTCTTGCCGCTTGTCACGGTGATGCTGTGTGGGGTGCAGGAACAGCTTTGTGTTCTCTGTTGATCAAGGCATTAAATGACCGAGTCTGGAGACATGCCTCAGTGGCTAAGAGCGCTGGCTGCTCTTCCAGGGGACCAGGTTCAGTTCCCAGTCCCCACATGGCAGCTCACAGCTGTCTGTAACTCCAGTCCCAGGGGATCCTACACCCTCACACAGACCTACATATAGGCAAAATATCAACACACATAAATCAGTAAATAGATTGGTTTGTTTGCTTTTTTAATAGGTTAAGCAGCAGGAAAGAAGTATCACCACAAATCTTGAGGGCTCCCAGCAGAGCCATCTGGTGTACCTGCGAACCAGGGCTCCCTCGTGAGATTAGAGCAAACAGTTTACTGGTGTCTGAAAGGGAAACCCTGGAGCAGGAAAGCCATAGGTCTCCAGCCGCCTGAAAGGAAGAAGGGGAGTACAACGGCGTCCAGCGTGAGTTGAGGCAGTGAGAAGTCAGAGCTTTAGCAAAAGAACAGGCAGCTGTGAGGGAGTCCACGAGCTCCTGCCAGCACCCAAGAGAAAGAACAGTCAGTCAGATGGGTAGGCCTAGCTACCCTCAAACTTAGTAGTGGCTCCTGGGGACTGTCCCAGGATGAAGAAGTGGTGGAAACAAAAGCACACGTTGTCTTAAGGCGAACTGGCCTCACTTCCTAGGGATGATGTACTGGCTCGGTCCCTGACCTGCCCCACCCGCCCCTCTGAGTTACCCTTTCCGGAGAGAGGAGGGCTTGTCTTCTAGAGGCAGAGTCCATTCTTTACTAAAGTAGGAAGATGTTTTAAAGTTCTGGGATGCAGTGGAAGGAAGGTGGGTCGGGTGCAGATGGGTTTAAGATGCAGCTTAATTACTGTCGTGTCCGTGACATCTCTATGGATTTCAGTGGTAAACGGTATTGATACGAATGTACTGTTAGTCGTACATTTTCTCTTTGACCATAAAGTTGAGTATTCTTTGAGGCATGTGAGGTACACAGGAAGAAGGACCATTACTGACCTCAAACAATAGAATGTTTCAGAAGTAGGAAAGCTTTAAAATGTTGTCCCCACCCAACCATTTATAGACACGATGGACTCATGTGCAAAATTTTTTTGGAGACAGGATCTTTCTAGTCTGTGTATACCTGGCTCTCCTAGACCTTGCATGTAGACCAAGCTGGCCTTGAACTCACAGAGCTCTGCCAGCTTCCATCTCCTGAGTTCTGGGATTGTGCCCAGCCAATCTTGTTACTTTTTGTTTTGTTTTGCAGTGCTGTGATCAGCCCTGTGCATGCTGAGCAAGTACTCTCCCACAGACTACACCCATAGCCCCAGTAAGCTAGGGGCTTACTGTAGACCTTACACTGAACTCCCATAGCCCCAGTAAGCTAGGGGCTTACTGTAGACCTTAGACTGAACTCCCATAGCCCCAGTAAGATAGGGGCTTACTGTAGACCTTAGACTGAACTCAGGTTTGCCCCTGCCTCCTCTTCCGTAGGCATGTGCTCGCTCGCTCTCCCCCCTCTCAAAAACAAAAGAAAATTTAGAATTGTAAAATTTTAATCCTTAGTATTATGCATTTTTCTAAGTGCTTCTCAAAGATATTTTAGTAGTTGTGTAACATAACATTAGTTTCATGTTCCATGATTTATTTCCCCAATTGCTGGGGTGTGTGTGTCTGTGTCTGTGTGTCTGTGGCTATGGATCAAGCTTGGCAGACAAGCCTCTGGCACGGAGCTCCATCTAGCATGTTGACACTGGCTGAGCGGAACATCCTCCTAAAGAACTAGGGTCAGACAGACAGTGAGAACTGAGGCCCCTTGTCCTGGTGGACGTAGTTACTTTATGCTTTGGATTTAAGCACTGTGTGTAAGGAAGGAGGATTGCTGCTCTGAAATTTTGTTTCTGGGTTTGGACTCTGAAAGTAAACACCGTACTGTTCCTCATTTTATTTCGGTAAGAGCCAGCATAAATGCTTAACCTGTTTGTGAAGCTGGGATAGTGGGGTGGTCCTGCCATCCTACCACTTAGAGGCAGGAGAATTAGGAACCCAAGGCCAGCCCTGGCTCCCTGGCTACGAGGGATCCTGTCTTAACCCACTCCTCCTCATTAAAAAAAAAAAAAAAAAAAAGGAAGGAAGGAGGAAAGGAAGGCTTTCTTAGGTAACAGAGCTTACCTAAAGCCAGGCAAGGCACAAAGCTGTGATCTCAGCTCTCAGGAGGCCGAGGCAAAAAAGAATTGATTTCCAGCCAAGCTGGGACTACAGAGGGATAGACTGCTTCAAACCACGATAAAACAAACAACCAGCAAACAAACAAAAAACCCAAAAGCCAATGCCTACCAAACAGACAGCAGGGCTGTTAGGGAGAATAGATGATAATGTTCTTGACCACATGCACAGTTTTAGATATTTAAGTGTATCAGGCATTGTGATTTTCTTGGTGGATGATATTTGGATTGTGCTCAAGGCTCTAGTTTACCTTGGTTATGATTTTAATAATAACAGATGTGGGTGTGTCCCGAATCACCTGCTGCCAGAGATCAAACACTAACACCTGTGAATGGATGACGGATTAGCTTGGGAAGTGATAAGCTTTCATAAGCAGATCTAGATGAAAGGAGTCGTAAGGGAGCCAGCCCGTCAGTATGATGAGAGGTGGGGTGTGTGTGTGTGTGTTGCATGCAAAGCTGAGGCCAACACAGCAATGTGTGCCATTTATATGCTGACTTTAGTTTTTAAATTTCCCTTTTGAAGAGCTGCTGCCACCATTGACAGCTTGGCGAGTCGAATTGAAGATCCCCAGATCCAGGCCCACTGGTCAAACATCAACGACGTTTATGAGTCCAGTGTAAAAGTTTTAATCACATCTCAAGGTTATGAACAAATATGCAAGTAAGTTTCACCAATAAATTCCAGGGGTAGCTGCTGAGGTTCAGGTTGTACCCTTTTCTAAGGACTCTATAAAACCTCAGGCTTTCATTGGCTAGGTTGTCATGGAGTTCCCATAAATTATATCCCCTGTAAAGTGTTTGCAAAAACAAGAGGTCAGGGGCTGCAGAGATGGCTCGGTGGTTTAAAGTGTCTTCCAGGGGACCTGGGTTCTGTTCCTAGTACCCGGTTAGGTGGCTCACATGCTAACCTAAGACAGAGCTGACTGGCCACTGTGAGCCCCCTGTGAAGGAGGAGCAGGTCTTAGTGCACTACAGTTTTCAGTGTGCCTGTTTTATTAACAATAAAAGCATAAGATCCAGTGCAGAAAGTAAAAGCTTATGATGTGAAGTAGCTGGGCGTGTGCCTCACATTGATTTCCTTATTTGGGGAGTCATCATGTCTGCTGTCTTTGCATGCTGTCAGCGTGATAGAAAGGTCCTGGGACTGTACAGACTGTGTGTGTCCGCAGGTCCATCCAGCTGCAGCTGCACATCGGTGTGGAGCAGGTGCGTGTCGTGCACAGAGATGGCCGGGTGATCACATTGTCTCATCAGGAGCAGGAGCTGCAGGATTTCCTTCTGTCTCAGGTTCGTGGCACACGGGGCTTTTGGTTGGAGGTTTTATTGTTTTATTTCTTTGAGATAGGGTCTCAGTGTGGCTCAGCCGGCCTGGAATGCGTGTGCAGCCCAGCAGTCCTCTGCCTCTGCCTGCTGGAGCTGGGATTGCAGGTGTGCACGTGCCCGGCCACCCTTCACACCTAAGTCCCTTCGCTCAGTAACTGCTTGAGCAGGCAGTAGCTGCAATGGCTAGAGAAGAGAAGCAAGCCTTTTTCCGCCCTGTCCCTTATTTCCAGCGCACCCTTTTGGTTCATCATCTGTCCTGGTTTTATTTGCACTTTTTGTGATGCAATAAAGGATCAGTTAGTTCTGCAGCCGGCAGGGTTTCTGTCTTTCATGACTGTCACCAGGGAATAGACCCTCTTTAGGAGTGGGGAAGTATTAGCCAAGGAAACCAGAGAGAGGAAGGTAGATGCAGGCTGCAGCAGCCATTGTCCATAGAAGCAAGTGCGAAAGTGGGAAAGGTTGCTCATGGGAAAGGGCAGTATGGAAAGTTCTGGGTTCTAATCCCTGCTCCATGGACTTGTCTTTTGACGATGGAGTTCAAGAAGAGCAGTAGTTTGCCTTCTTAGCGTTGGGATTTTCGAGTGATGGGGTGTGGCAGGAAAGGGTTTGTCACTGTCTCAGTGCTAATGTAAAATAATGATTATTCACACAGATTAAGAAAAAATATGCCGGTAATTTTGTTCAGGTGCAGTGGTCTCATAGAGGATTTGTCTCTTTGATGCCAGGTAATCAGGTGCATCTGTGAGGGACATGGCTAACGTAGTCCCTCGAGTTTGAACTGGAGGTTGAGAACCCAACAAACTTACCTGCATCACATGACCAAAGTGCGTGACTCACACCTTCTCTCTCACAGATGTCACAGCACCAGGTCCACGCAGTTCAGCAGCTCGCCAAGGTCATGGGCTGGCAGGTCCTCAGCTTCAGTAATCATGTGGGGCTCGGACCCATAGAGAGCATTGGCAATGCCTCTGCCATCACAGTGGCCTCCCCAAGTGGCCACTATGCTATCTCAGGTACTCTGTCCACGCCTCTTAAGTCTGCTTTAACAACTAAACGTGAGGAGGAGCCAACATGTCTACACTGCTGCTATCCGGTGTTATTTGTTACTCAAGACAGGCGTGTGTGTGTGTGTGTGTGTGTGTGTGTGTGTGTGTGTGTGTGTGTACGCGCGTGTGCGTGAACTTACTAAGATGATAAGTTCAAAGGTCTATCTTTTATATCTTACCTGCATCAGTTAAAACTTCATTAAAACCAAGCTTTCTTTCTTTTTTTTTTGGGGGGGGTGGTCTTGGGTGCGGTTTAGGCTGGTTTCAAACGCTGTAGCTCAGGCTGGCCTTGTTTGCTTTGTAGTCCAGGCCAGCCTTGGTCTCCCTGTCTCAGCCTTTGAGGGCTTAGATTGCAGGTGTAGGTCACCACACCTGACACACCTTGTTTAGTTTTATAGGACAAATCATTCAGACATTTAAATCATCCTAGAGTGTGTGTATGAGTGTGTGCATTTGGAGATCTGACAAGATGGTGTAGCAGGTAACGGCACTCAACTCCAAGCCTGATGACCTGGGTTTGATCCCAAGACCCACATGGTGGTCAGAGAGAACAATTGGAAATTGCCTTCTGACATCCACACGTGCATACACACGTACATATACGTGCATACATTAATGAATACACTTAGTATTTTGGAACTGAAATACACTGCCCTTGAACTTACTGTGTAGCCCGAACTAGCCTAGACCTGCTGACCCTGTAGACTGGGGTTAGGGGTGTGCGCCACTCTGACCAGCTCCTGAAATACTTGTTAATGAGATTGGCTCAGCTGCTGGGGAGGTTTCTAGAATGAAACATACTGATGTTTGGTTTCCTCAATAGTCCGTAATGGGCCCGAGAGTGGTAGCAAGATTCTGGTTCAGTTTCCCCGGACCCAGTGCAAGGACCTTCCGAAAAGTGACGTTTTACAAGACAGCAGGTGGAGCCACCTCCGAGGGCCATTCAAGGAGGTTCAGTGGAACAAGATGGAGGGCCGCAATTTCGTTTACAAAATGGAGCTGCTTATGTCTGCACTGAGCCCCTGCCTGTTGTGATTTTCTCCAGAAGAACAAGTTCCTGAAACTTGGACGTTTGCAGATCAGTCACAAACACAAGGGAGAGATGTCTTCCACGTAAGTTCTGGCGCTCCAGCCAGTCCTTCACAGGAGCCCTGTGAGAAGTTAGCAGCCGGCACCCTCTCACTTCATAAGTGACGGGTGCTTTGGGAGGGAAAAGTTTATGTACAGTTGTAGTATGCAGTATGGGGAGATGTAAAATAATACATTTTTTATACAGCGAACCTGAAAACGTTACTAACTTAAGGGCTTGAATTTACTTTTTAAAATAAAAAAACAAAACAAAACATATCTTTGATGTTAACATAAACTTTGTGTTTATAATCTGAGTATTGTTGAATTTCTTATAACCATATAAGCTGTGTATCAAATCAGCCGCTCCTACTGTTACTTCAGAGATCACTGAAGAAGATCTTATAACGCAGTCACTGAGCACTCCAGGAACTTTCTCTGAAGTTCTCCAGGGTCACCCACAGGAAGCAATCCTCCCCAGCATCGGGGCTCTTGGGGTGTTGGGGAACTTAGGTGCCTCTTACATACCTGTGTCAGCAAGAGCTGGTTAACTTACACAGAGAAACCTTGTCTTGAAAAACCAAAAAAACAAAACCGGTTAAGAACTTCCTCAGAAGGTAGCGTGGAAGGGGACAGGTGCGTCTAGGGCTTGCTCTGATTCGTCTGTTGGCCCACTTAAGTGGCCTATCCACCCCAGATATTGCTACCCTGCCTCTCGATGCTTCCTGATTCCTATTAGTCTTTGACATCCTCGGCAGATCTTGTTTTTTGGTGTGAGTTTTTGCTTTGTGTTTTGAGACACAGTCTTACTCTGTATAGAAAGTTGGCCTTGAATTTGTGACAATTCTGCTTCAGCCTCTGCAGTATGATTCTAGACAAATGCCAAGTGTGGGAGTGTGGGCGTTTTTTCACTTTAAGGTGTTTGGACTCCGTGTCCTACCCCACTTTGTACAGAAACCAAAACAAACCTGCCATGATACAGTTTTCCGTTATTGGTGACTGAGTGTTTGGCTGTCCAAAAACGTCGTAGAGCTGACCGCACTTGACTTGAGATTGACAGGTCTGAGATCTAAAGGAGACGTGCCAAGTGTGCTGCCACATGTCTGTAATCCCAGGACTAGGGAATCGGAGACAGGAAGATGAGTTCAAGGCCAAGGTGGTCTGCCTGAGGTTCTGTTTGGGATTGAAAGCTTATGTCACCACCACCAAGCTGAGGTTGTCTTTTAAGTGTGACGTGTAAACTGAGAGCCTGGTAATAACGGATAAAGCGAGTGCTCCGGGAAGAAGCAGAGCGTATCACCCAGTCTTCACTCCTTCTCTCAGGAGTGCCCAGTATGAGTCCCTCGTTGGAAATTCTGATTGGGCAAACTTGAGGAATAAAGTAGGAAACAGAAGTACTTAATAAGTCTACTTTGTTTAGTCAGAAAAGAAAAACCCTAAAGCAGGCAAAGTATGAGATTCCTGAAGGAAATATTTGCAGGCATAGTTGGGTCACTGTTACTAGTTACACCAATAGAATTTAGCCTTCCCATATGTACACAACAGTGTACTCATGCTACGCTGGCAGAGTCCTCTCTCCTCCCAATACTGTCTGACAAGCTTCTCCTTTATAAACCACAGAGAGCCCCTCCCTCCCCCGGCAGATGATAGTCAAAATCATCACCAGGGAGGCAGGCTGGGGAGCGTGTGTGTGTGGGGGGGAACGTGTGTGTGTGTGTGTGTGCGTGTGTGTGTGGGGGGGGAGCGTGTGTGTGTGTGTGCGTGTGTGTGTGGGGGGGAGCGTGTGTGTGTGTGCGTGTGTGTGTGTGGGGGGGAGCGTGTGTGTGTGTGTGCGTGTGTGTGTGGGGGGGAGCGTGTGTGTGTGGGGGGAGCGTGTGTGTGTGTGTGGGGGGAGCATGTGTGTGTGGGGGGGGAGCGTGTGTGTGTGTGTGTGGGGGGAGCGTGTGTGTGGGGGGGGGAGCGTGTGTGTGTGTGTGGGGGGAGCGTGTGTGTGGGGGGGAGCGTGTGTGTGTGTGTGTGGGGGAGCGTGTGTGTGTGGGGGGGAGCGTGTGTGTGTGGGGGGGAGCGTGTGTGTGTGGGGGGGAGCGTGTGTGTGTGTGGGGGGGAGCGTGTGTGTGTGTGTGTGTGCGTGTGTGTGTGTGTGCGTGTGTGTATGGGGGGGAGCGTGTGTGTGTGTGGGGGGAGCGTGTGTGTGTGGGGGGGAGCGTGTGTGTGTGTGGGGGGAGCGTGTGTGTGTGTGTGGGGGGAGCGTGTGTGTGGGGGGGAGCGTGCGTGTGTGGGGGGGGGGGGCGTGTGTGTGTGGGGGGAGCGTGTGGGGGGGGAGCGTGTGTGTGTGTGGGGGGGAGCGTGTGTGTGTGGGGGGGAGCGTGTGTGTGGGGGGGGGAGCGTGTGTGTGTGTGCGCGTGTGTGGGGGGGAGCGTGTGTGTGTGTGGGGGGAGCGTGTGTGTGTGTGTGTGTGTGTGCGTGTGTGTGTGTGCGTGTGTGTGTGTGTGTGTGGGGAGCGTGTGTGTGTGTGTGTGTGGGGAGCGTGTGTGTGTGTGGGGGGGAGTGTGTGTGTGTGTGTGCGTGTGCTAGATGACTAACGATCTGACTGTGAGATCTGACTGTAATCCCAGTTTCTTATGGCAGAGCTGGAGTCCCTGGGGCCAGCCCTACCTCACCCTTTAAGTTGGAGAGCCATTGAGGAAGATACATCAACCTCATGTTTCCATGTGCACACATGCATGGATGCATACATCTACAATGTTTACATGCACCACACAAGAAAAAATGTGAGTAGGAAACCATGCGCCTGTATTCTGAGGTAATAATGGAAATTTGGCTAAGTTTTCATCCCCCATCCCCCGCCCCACGTCCGTCCCCCCACCCCATGGTGTGCTGTAAGCTCAGCACTTGGGAGGCAGAGGCATATGGCTACATGAGGAGAATCCTGACTCAAAATTTAAAAAATTAAGAACAAATACGTCATGAAATAAAAAAGGATTTTAGTAAAGAGACATGAAAGACATCAGGAAGAGTAGGTGATGTGTACCACAGAGTCCAATCGGACTGAACAATTGCGGGCTGTGACGTAGTTCAATGGGAGGGAGCTTGCCTAGTACACATGGGGGCCAGGTTCAATCTCCAGAATTACAGGGAGAAAACAAGTGTGTGTGTGATTGTTGAAACGTGTACTGTAATGTGTACATGTTTGTGTGTGAAGAAAGATGCCGTTTCCTCTGAGATGTGAAGATGGAGAACTACCCTGTATTAGAGACTTCAAAAGCATTATTCTTGCAATTAAAGATTCTTGAGGTGGGTGGAGCTGGCACACGCCTTTGGTCCCAACACTTGGGAGGCAGAGGCAGGTGGATCTCTGAGTTGGAGACCAGCCTGGTCTACAGAACAAGTTCCAAGACTGTTACACAGAGAAACCCCGGGGGGGGGGGGTCTTGAAAGGCAGGGGAACTAATGACAGCTGTACTCTCATGAGGGACAGGCAGCTGAGATGGTGATCACACACAAGCTCACACGTGGGCAACCCATCCCTCTTGTGAGTGGAAGCTGATGTGAAGTTGTGCTAACAGTAACTTTTCAATTACTTCCGGAGGTGTCTGATGTCTGCAAACGGCACACGTCAGTTCTGATACATGAAAGCTGGTGGCAGCTGGAGGAATCTCCACTGTGCAGCACCCTCTAGGTTGTCAAGGCAACTGCATCTGAGACACATTCCTAGAGGCCACCCCATCACACTTGGCCCCTTGGTCGTCTCTTGGCATTCCAACTGCCACCTCCTCTGCCCATGGTTACTTTTCTCCAGCCCTTCTGAATGATGCCCTCCTCAGGCCTTGTCTCCACATCCTTGCAGTGGCCAAGATGTCCTGTAAACTTACCTCACTGTATCTGTTACTCACCGGTGTTGCTTCCGGTCGTACCTGAGACGGTCTCAGTCACATCACTGTGGGTTTGATTTCTCTTTAATACCAGAAAGCTGCCACAGCTCATATCTCTGTGGTTCTCAGTCCATACTCTGAGAAGGCACAGTTGACCACAGGGTCTACAGGGCAAGATTTGCACCACCAGTCTCCTAGTCTCCTTTCCAGAAGGAGCAAAGACTCTAGAATTACAGTTAAATTCAGAGGTGCACATTTCAAAATGGTCTTCTGGCTATAACACATGGGCTTTATTTTTCTAAGGTGCAAACGTATGTTGACAGAACCACTGTAACCACGGTTAGGACCAATGTAATGTAACGGGAAGGATGAAAATACAGCCCAACTCTCTAATGACCACTGAAAGTTAGAAATTTAAAAATATCCCCCAGCATGTATTCAAAAATCGCCCTAGCTGCATGCAAAGCTCAGGAAAAAGAAAACACATGAAATAGCTTGGTCACGATGACTGGTTTCTGGAAATTATTATTATTATTATTCATAACCACCTAGTTTCTGAAGAATGTTGTTATTCTCAACAACAGTCTGGGAATGTTATGGGTCATCCTGTCCACAAAGAAAATTAATAACTAAAAGAGATGGGACTCATGGCAAGAAGGGAAAACTAGAAAGAACAAGTGCTTCTGCCAATAGATATAGATAACGCCCTGACTGGAGAGGACATTATCCCTGCCCCCTCGTATCTTAAGGACAAGGTCACTGAGCCCGCTGGTCCTAGAGAAAGAAAACCCCCTAACCTTGCAGGTGCGCTAAACAATCCTGCTTTGTAAAAACTGTGTATTCTATGGAATCTCTGTAACCTTGGAAACCTTACTAACCATCCAAGTTTTGATCTGTCCCACGACCTTGCTTTTAGGCCTAATGAAAATAACAGGCTAGCTCTGAAACTGGCCTTGTTAGCTTTGATGTAAACCCTATAAAAGCTGTCTCAATTCTGCCCTCGAGGTCCTCAGTCCTCCACCCCTGCGTGGTGAATGACTGTGGACCCCAGTGCACTTGGAATAAAAACTCCTCATGCTATTTGCATCGAGACCACTTCTCATGAGTGATTTGGGGTGTCACCTTTCCTGCATGGGAGGTGAAGGTCCAGGCTCTGCAGGTCTTTCATAACAAGGTTAGGGACCAATGTAACTGTTGGGACCAATGTAATAGAGCCAATGTAGCAAGGGTTAGCACGATTGTCACTATTAGGGCAGATGTAACTGTTGGGACCAATGTAATAGAACCAATGTAGCAAGGGTTAGGACCAATGTAGCAAGGGTTAGCACGATTGTCACTATTTCACTATTAGGGCGGATGTAACTGTTGGGACCAATGTACGTTGTGTTATGTCACTTCCACCCACCCCTCCCCCCTTTAACAGTTCTGTATGCGTTTAGTATCACCTAGAAACTTTATCCAGAGCCTTTGGCTTTTTTAATTTTAAATTATTATTTTATGTGCATGGGTGTATTGGCTGTCCCACATGCATGCATGAAGAGGCCAGACAAAGGCATCAGATCCCCTGGAACTAGAGTGACAGACAGTTGTAAGCTGGGAATCAAGCCTGGGTCTTCAGGAAGAGCAGCCAGTGAGTGCTCTTAACCTCTGCACCATCTCTCCGTCCCCAGCGTTTGCCTTCTTGACAGGAGCGTACACACTCACACACACACTCACTCACACACACACACACACACGAACTAGGACCTTATTTTCAGAACTATTTATTTTCATTTATTTCTTAAACAAATTTTTCACAGCATCTGAAACAACTTATTTAACACTACATTGGTCATTCTCTATATAACTTAATGTTTCTCTGAAAATAAAAAGACAAAACTTCAGATCCTAGAATTTAAGAGGCGCATAGCATAGGAAAGCCCCTTTCCAAACAGGGCTGCCTAGACAATGACGCCATGAGACTCTTCCAGATGGATGGGATTTACTGCTCTGCCCATGGAAGCCTCCTTGGGATCCGCTTCCATCTCTCTGGTCATGAGGCGTAGTCTCACCCCCACCCCACACACCCCCACCCCGACTCCCAGCCGGGAGTGTAGAATCAATCCCACAAGCTCCTGCAGCAGAGCACCCTGGGGCTTCTGAGAGGCACGTGTCCTTGCGTCCTCTGTTCCCCAGAGGGACACGTGGACACTGCCCTGGCCCAGTGCTGTCTTCCTGGGGGCACAGGCGTACACAGAGAGTGCAAGTCAGGTGACACCAGCTGCTTTCATTGCTACTGTCCGAGGCCCGTTAGCCTGCCGCAAGCTCCTGTGGGACACTCTGCAGACCCCTTTAGCCCTAATTTGCTCTTCTTAAAGAGGGGCTTACAAATTGCTTCAAGGGTAACTCCGCTTGTACAGAACTGCCCTCCCATCTTCAGGGGCTCTGCTGGGCCCATTGACTGCCTACTGCCCCCCCCCAGAGGAGGGAGCAGGAGGACCCTGGAACCCTCACCTAAGACCCACCCCACCCCCATAGTTCTGCGCTATTGTATGTGGTCTTCTGGGAGAGGCTAGAGCTTCATAAAGCGGTGAGGCGGAAGCTGGCATTGCCTCCTCGGGGCCCAGGCCTGTTGTTTTCAAGTCACCTGTGCTGTCTCCCATCATCCACTGCTCTGTGGGAACCCTAATACATTCATTAGTTTCTGGGTGAACCTTGGTGGCCTTGCACCTCGGTGGTTGGGACTTGAGGAGGAGGAGAGGCAGCCAATGGTTATGACTTCCCAAGGAAAGGGATTTTAGCAACAATTCCCTACCCGCCACGCGGGAAGTAGAAAAGGTACGGGCACCCGGGGGGCCTAAAAGGAGAGAGAATAAAAGGAATGCTCTAGCACACTTTTATCTTTGTACACAAGACTCTGCAGCCAAGGGCTGCACAAAACTAGTGACCTCCATCATAGTTGGAGCGCCGGCTTTGATCTGCAGCTGTGGATACTGAAGCAAGAAGGGCGTGACACCGGCTGCTAAAGATTGGCAAAGGGAAGCTGGGAAGGAGACTCCTTCAAATAAACACTGTGACATCAGCCTGAGAATGTGAAAGCCAAGGCCAGCTCAGAGCCAACCCCCAAGCTCAGCTGGAGTCCTGATAACCCAGATGATTGACGGAAATTTGTTGGGTTTATTTTTTAAATTTTATTTCATGTGCATGTACACACCACATGCGTGCAGTACCCGTGGAGACCAGAGGGGGCGTCATGCCCTGGAACTGGAGTTACGGAGGTTCTGAGCCACCCTGTGGGTGCTCAGAACTGAATCTAGGTCTCTGTAGCTCCACCCCAGGGTGTTTTAACCTTTGCTACTCCATACGGCACTTTCCAATATGGCTTTCCAGATGCTTCAGGGAGTCTCATACTCTTCTCCATCACTCCGAGACACCCCGACTCCCCCCATGGCTCCCCCCATGCCCGGTGAGGTAGGTGAAGGCCACAGGCTCTTCAGCCCCAGATCTGACTGGAGATGAGTGTTGGTGACTGTGAAGCCTGGCCTTACAGGTTTTTCCTGTTGTACGGCCCATCCAGCTGCCCTGGTCAACATAAGCCATGTATGCTTTCCTCACACTAGACCCAAGTTTAGGCCACGCGATTAGGGTGCTCAGTTCGGCTCCCTGGGGTGCAACCCTCTCCAGCTCGCCAGACTGTCTCAGAGCCTCAGGCTTGCTCCCATTGTCTGCACAGAGTGTTTACCGGATGGAAGACAGGGAGATGGAGGGTGCAGCAGTTTTCGGATCAGACAGGAGCACACAGGCACAGAGAGCATGTCCCAATGCGGGCTGCACATCAGCCCATGGAGACAGGGACTCCTCCATCAGGCCAGCGTGCATCACAGCCAGTACTGTAAGCAGCTCCTGGTGCCGGCCTGTATCATTGGGTAGGGATCAGCATGGCCCCGAAACTGCAACCACGGAAAGTTCCTGGCCAAAAGCCTCAGCTGAGGCTCATCAGGAGAGGGTGCAGGCCGGGCCTGTGAGGCTGCAGCAAGGATGGGCTTGGCGTGTTCCTCTAACTGGAAAATACTGTCTCTCTCTTGAGGTAGCTATTGATTGGGCACAGTCTTGGCTAACACTCGATGTCTTTCATTTCAAGTTCCTCAGTGGCGCTTTCTGCAGAGCAGAAGACAAATCAGGGGTTGGAGAGATGGCTCAGCTGGCTGAATGCACAATCGCAACGATCTGAATCCAGAGCCTCAGAACCCGTGTATAAAGCCTGGGCGTATATCTGGCATTCCAGGGCCAGGGCATGGCTCGAGACAACAGACTCTAGGGTTTATTGGACAGTCAGCCTGGCCAATAAGGGATCTCCAGGTCAGAGAGAAACTGCCTCAAAAATAAGGGATGGCGTGTGCTTGAGGAAGACACCTGACGTTGACTCTCTCTCTCTCTCTCTCACACACACACACACACACACACACACACACACACACGCGCGCACGCATGCACATGTACTCATGCACGTGCACACACAAAGCACACACACACCCACACTTACTCCAAGAGGTTGAAAACCTCCCACACAGTGTTTTGTTTTGGTTTTTACAGTGAATGAGGTAATGGGTACCCCTGTCCTCAAAAGCATGAAGGGATTATCACAAGGCCCAGGGCGTGTTACCTTTGAGTTTGTGTCTCCTCGTCCTTTGGAATTTGTACGCACAGCGATTGCAGACCCACATGAGGCTGATCAGCACCACAGCCACAGCGGCAAGCAGAGCAAAGAAGACAGCAACAAAGTGGAGGTCTTCGTAGCGGATCTCTACAGTGGGGGGGGGGGAGAGTCTCTCTCAGTGCTACGGTCGCCCACCTTGGCCTGTAGCTCGGGAAGGCCTGGGGCTCCCTTACCAGATACATGCAGCACGATTGTGCCAAACTGTCGGCTCCCCGGGTGCTCTGTGACAGTGACGATGTAGCAACCAGAATCCCTCACGCCCACACTGAAAAGCTGGATGGAGCCGTTGTCAAAGGTGCAGACTCTGTCTCTGTGGCTTTGGGAAACATTGGCTGGGGTCCCGGGTTTCCACTCCGCGATCTTCTGCTCACCCCGGCTGGAGGTGCACTTCCACTCAATAGTGGGCACTCCATGGCAGGAATAGTCCACTGACAGCAGCGTGTCTTCTTGGACAGTGGCGTTGATGGCTGACCGCGGAATGTACAGTGACACACCATGACCTGTCGGGTACACATATGAACCTATGCTTGAATCAACTTCTCAGTTCTTTGTTTTTAAACATTTATTTTTATTTGTGCCTATGTGTATGCCTGTGTAAGGGTGTTGGGTCCCCTGGAACTGTAGTTACAGACAGTGTAGGTGCTGGGAATTGAACCCGGGTCCTCTAGAAGAGCGGCCAGTGCTCTTAACGGCTGAGCCATCTCTCCAAGTCATGGTGAACACCTATTGCATACAAGCTGGAAAGACACAGAGGCCGCTCCAGCTCTGCTCAATATGCAGCAAGGGGCAGAATATTAGGGACGAATAGACAGCAACCTGCTAGAAGATAATGGCCAGCGAATGTACTGAGGAGAAAAGCAAGGCTAACAGTGAGCAGTAGAGGGGGCTACACAATGGCTTGGGAAACCTCTCTGAGAGGATGACATCTGAGTTCAGAAACCGCGGACAAGCAAGAGGAGGAAGTCCCTGAGAGTTAAGATAGACATCACTGGCAGAAGTAAAAAGAGGTCTGATGGCCATGTGTCCTGAGGGTGGCTAGGTCACTGGAAGGCAGGGAGCTCTGGGCAGAGCTTAGGATACTAGAGAACCGGACAGGAGTCCAGACATCGTCAGAAGCTCGGACGTCATGGGAATGGCAGGGTGTGCCTTAGGCTAATCCAACGATGATGCTAATATCTGCCGCGGTGGCCAGCCCGGAGGCTGGGGGTAAGAGTGGAAACAAGAGAGTGGCAGGAAAATATAAAGGGCAGGGTGGGGCTGGAATGATAGCTCACTGACTGTTCTCCCAAAGGACCCAGGTTCAAATCCCAGCGCCCACATGGCAGCTAACAACGGTCTGTAACTGTAACCAAGATCTGACATTCTCACACAGGGAAAATACCAATGCACATAAAAATAAAAGTAAATAATGAAAAACAAAAAGGGCGGGGTGACTTAGGACAAGCATCAGGGAGTGCTTGGGACGGAGCATTGTGGTCAAGTGCATGTGGGTGGGGGTTGGATAAGGCAGAGGCATCACACAGAGATTTGTGCTGAGTGAGTGTGTGAGGGGATAACTAGCAGTGTCTGTGCTGAGTGTGCGAGGGGATAACTAGCAGTGTCTGTGCTGAGTGTGCGAGGGGATAACTAGCAGTCTGTGCTGAGTGTGCAAGGGGATAACTAGCAGTCTGTGCTGAGTGTGCGAGGGGATAACTAGCAGTCTGTGCTGAGTGTGCGAGGGGATAACTAGCAGTCTGTGCTGAGTGTGCGAGGGGATAACTAGCAGTGCCTACTTGAGTAAGGTGTGTTTCACAGTGTACACCAGGCACCAGGCCCATGCTCTTGACGCCTCCCACAATTCCTTGCCAGTTAATCAGTGATACGCCTCAGGCTCATCGTGATGAAAACGCCTGTCCAGGGTCACGCTGCAGGGCTGAGGTTTACACATGGGCCGCTGACTTCAAAGCTCGAGCACCTGCATCCAGACTCTACTAGAAGGCCAGTGGCTGCAGGGGAGGGGACAGAATGTGACGGGAGCCTCCCACACAAAGGAAGCCTAGGGGTGGGTGAGGGAATGGTGTGCTGCCTAGTTTTGTGTCACCTCGGCATGACTTGGAGTCATTTGGGGAGACTTAGCCTCATTGAGAAAATCCCCCCAGCAGATGGGACCGTGGGCAAGCCCACAGTGCCTGGACTGATGCCCGAGAAGCCAGCACACTGTGGGTGATGTCACCTCTGGAAGGCTGTCCGGAGCGGAGAAGAAAGCAGCCATGACCAAGGAAGCTGGTAAACTGCTCCCCAGGGCCTCTGCCTCAGTTCCTGCCAGCAGCTTCCCACCTTGAGTTCCTGCCCTAACTTCCTTCCAGGAGAGTGTAGGTGAAACACACCCTTTCCTCCCCGTGCTGCTTATGGCCATAGTGGTTTTATCACAGCAGTAGAAACTCTGGGATACTCAGTTTTCACTGTTTAGCTTTCTTATCCTCTGGTGTCCATCTGCCCTGGATGCACGCTGTTGCAACTCCACATGAAGTATTTCTAGAGCCTTCCTATTGTCCTATGCTGTCGATGATAGTGTCCCACTTGTACCCATTTACTAAGGCCTGGCTGGGTAACTGAAGCAATGCAACGATTTCATGCTAAAAACAAATGGGTAGCAGGCCACTGGGATGGCTTAGAGGGGTAAGGAACTTGTCCCCGAGCCCGATAGCCTGAGGTCAGTTCCTGAGACCCACATGCTGGGAGAGAATTGATTCCTTCAAGCCGTCCATTGAGACCCACACAATCCCCATGTAATGTGTCTGAACACATCCCACACAAAATAAATAAATTCAGTAAAAGATTCTTAAAATGGTAGTAATGACTTCCTCAGTGATTCTGCCAAGAAACAGGAGTGCATTTACTTTCTTCCTCTGTTTTTGATCAAGGAATAAATATTTGACTTGTCTCTACTTCCTAAAACCCTGGACTCTCCAGAGTGACTGGGCTGACGGTGAGCCTCTGTGTATGGTACTGGTCTCCAGAAAAGACAAGGAGTGGTTGGAATGTCGGAGCCTTAAGGCCTTCTCCCAGCCTCCAGGGGTGGAACATCAAACATTCCCTCCCTTCCTCCCTCCCTCCCTCCTTCCCTTCCCCCCTTCCTTCTTTCTCTCTTTCTAGAGAGAGGGAGGGAGCGGGGTGGGGGTGGGGACAGTTCCCAGTGATCTGTGCACAGTCACCCGTAGAAAGTGTTTGGAAAACCCCAGAGGTCAGTGCTCCGAGAGTTCTGGAGATTCAGACACCCCTATGCCCACAGGGTCGCTTACCCAGAAAGGGTAGAAAGCTACATGTGGGCAGCTGACTTCAAAGCTCGAACATTTGCATCTAGGCTCAAGTAGAAATCGGTGGTGGGCAGTGGAGGGGGCAGAAGGTGGCAGATGCCTCCCACACACACCTTTCCTGAGTCTGCCTTCCTCTAGCGTTCCCTTGCAGCCCGTGTAAGATCCTCAGGAATGGTAAATATAAGGAAAGTGTTTCTACATGTTCTAGCAGATTAGTTGAGTACACAGAGTGGGGCGTGTTAACTCGTGACATGTGGCCGTCAAAGCATGGGGACAGCCTGGGACTTTCCAGGAACCGAGCGATTTATCCTTCTTTTGTTTGTGTGCATTGCCCACACAGATGTATATGTACCACAGCAGAGGCCACAAGAGGGCGCCAGAGCCCTTGGAACTGCAGTTACAGATGCGAGCGCTGGCAGCTGAATCCCTGCAGCATCCCAACAGCGCTGGCCTGGGGCTTCTGACTGAGCAGGGCAGCCTGAGGGACTGAACCAGAAGGAAGTTACAGGCACCCTGAAACTTCACCTCAGAGCAGGACTTCTCAGGCAGCACAATGCACATCGTCGCCCACCCCTTTGGAATAACGCCATTTTCTTAGTACATGCTTATTTACGGATGTGGCTGTGGGTGTATGTGCATGCAATGTGTGCCATCCTGCAAAGCTTCTACCTTAGAGACGGTGTGAGACTTTCAGGATAATATTTGAAAACATCTTACTCTAGATTTGTTTGGAAACAAGGTAAAACCACTGTAAAAGTGAGATTTCCATGTTGCGTCAGGCCGGAAAATTAATAGAAATTTGTCCCATGGTTGGGGGAGCTAAGTTGGATAGAGCACCTGGGTTCTTAGGCGGCACTGGCGCATTTGGAGGATCTGGCAGCCATAGATGCCCTCTGTTAGCTATTTCATAAATGGATATAGACATAAACTGATGTGTGTGGGGGGGGCAGGGTTTCTCTGTGTAAAAGCAAGCCCTGGCTATCCTGGAACTCGATTTGTAGAACAGGCTGGGTCAGAACTGAGGAGGTCCCTGAGGCTCTGAAATATAGTGTTAAGGACACCGCCTAGAGCCAGTGATCCTGAATTCCGTCCTCCACCATGGACGGCGGTACACGGCCACCTTTAGGACAGAGGCCTGGACTGGTACTATGCACAGGTGGGTCTCAGCCTCTCTAGGTATAAAGACTTCCTGGCCAACATTCCCCCTGGATGAAAAGCCAAAGAGCTCAGCTTCCAGCCTCTGCCAGGACTCTCCCTGGAAGGACAGTGGGGTCTGCTCGAGGCTGCCTTTTCTAGTGTCAAGGCTCCTTCAGGAATCGGCCCTTCATCCCTGATCACAGGAGTTGTCTAGGGTTCTAGCGCTTCAGCTACCTAAGGACCATTCCTGTGACTGCTGACCATTGCCATGGCCACTCACATTCGGGTCAGTGTGGCACAGTTAGTTTCCTTTAACAAAGAACACAGGACAGAGTTCAAGACTCCTGGAATAAATAAGAAGACAGATCAAATTCCGGGTCAGCCTTGGAGGGTCAGACTCCTGTGTGCCTTCATCTTGTGCCTCCTGTAGCCAGGGCAACGTGGGTGGTTGGGTGATTAGTCTAACAGCCAGTATTCGGGAGCACAGGGCCTGTGTGTGTGTGTATCTGTCTATCTATCTATCATCTACCTACCTATCTATGTATTTATCTATCTAGTATTTATGCATGTTTGTATGTATCTATATGTAGGTCTCTGTCATCTATCACAGATTTTTATTTTTACTTATTCATTTATCAACTATTTATTATTATTATCATCTATTATAATCATTGATATATCAACTCTCTATAACATACCAATCATCAACCTATCATCAATCTATCTGTAATCTATCACCCATCATCCATATATCTATCAATTTATTGTCTAACATTTGTCAATATTTTTATCACCTATTTGTTCATCTATCTGTCCTCTATTACTTATTTTTAATCTATTGATCGTCTATCATCTCTCAATTTGTCATTTATCTACCCATAATCTATCAATCTATCCCTCTATCATCAATCAATCAATCAATCAACCAAGCTATCTATTCACTTAGCTGTGTGAGCTAAGGATCCTGTTATGTGATCCTGGCTGTCCTGGAATTTGCTTTCTACACCACGCCTGGAATTTGCAGTGATCTCTTTTCCTCTAAATGCTGGGATTAGAGGTTTGAGCAA